ATTGATACATTCAATATCGTTTTGTATTTAGGATTCCCCACTATTATAAGTTGATACTTAGCGCACCTTACTGCACCTGGGTCCCAACCTGGGGTAAAACAGGGTAAAACTATTCTGGGGAGGTTGTCCCTAGAGACTACAGTATGGGACTACAGTCCTTCAAAAAGGGTATATTAAGGTTTCTTCAGGGTCAGCATCGCGCACGTGACACCTCTAGTGTTACAGTATAAAAAAGAAGGTAGATTAATCAGGATAGGTAATAAATGATTTAATTCCATGTTCTCTAATCCCATATTAATTTAGTTACAAACTAGTGTCGCTGTCTTTTTGCGAAAAATGCCCTGGATTTTTTATAATTGGCAGATTATCGTGGTAGTAATGTTTTTTGCATGAAGGATAATGGTGGGAGACATATTTTTACAACTAGATCAAAGAGATAAAAAGATTAAGAACAAAGGAATAACTGTTCAACCTAGTTTGGACTGGTGTAGTAATTAGAAGCTAAAACGAATGTTTGTAATGAATAGATGTTTGTTGCTCTTTCACGCAAAAACTACTGAAAAAAAAGAATTATATTTTATTTATTTTATTATTTTTTCTAAACAAAAGTCTACGTTAATATGGTGCCATACTAATTTTGTCTATATTGTAGTTTATTTTTGATGTTTCGCAAAAAAATCTTTGCATGAGGACATTCATCATTAAGATGTAGCAACTGAACTAAGACGATGCAAAACAATATCCGCCATATTGTTTTGCGAAGCTATACCTGTCGTTACGTCAATCAATCCTCACAAAATGAATATGAAACCAACACGGGACTATATCGATTACCAAAATAATTATATAAAGCGATTCAGAAATGACGATGTAACCGTGTAACCAGGAAGGAAAGGGAGTGCTAGTAGTGAGCTGTAACTGCCCCATTACTAGCAACACGGGTATACCCTATCAGGTTGACCTCCACGCGGTTCCCCCTGGAAACCATCGTGGTTAATAAATGTTCAATTCGTCACAATAAGTCAACTGGCCTGTAGGTCTGTCATGAAATTAAATTCCGAATTTTCGATCTCAATTTCGTGTTTTCATTCAAACCGAAATCGACTCAATAAAAGGAGCTTAACATTTTGTTCGTCATAAATGATGGCATAAAATTCCAAAGGAGTAATATTTTACATTTCTAATATTTTTAAACACTGCATTGTGTAATTTTAACATCGATTTGTTTTTCGTTCGATCCCGAAATTGCAAAAACATTTCATGGTAGACCCTCTGCTCTCATTCTCACCTATCATTCCTCACTGGTGTCCCGCCACTGTATACCAATAGCGCCGAAAAGGTCACTATTTCATTTTCACCCATTAAAAGAAAAACTGTGTAACCAAAGATCAAATATGAATTGGGAGTCTCTTCCATTTGAAAGTAGCTCACAAATCGTCAAATAGACTAAATCTAATTAGGTATTTTTAACATTTTTCTGGAGAACTCCTTTGTACCTATATGTAACAGATGGGATAATTTTCAATGTGAATAAAATCTCTTTCTTAGAATCCGTAACCGAATATTCCAAATGTCACTCACAATTTATTCATTAAAGAGAAAAGAGTTATACTGCTGTGAGTATTACATTTTCGCATTATCGTCTCGCAGTTTTCGAAAAAGTTTCATCCAAATTCTGAAGAATACCAGGTGCTTTGTCCCTGAAAAACGAAAACCTCTGCTCCCCTTATATGTAACAGGTGAAACCCTTAAGAATGACAGTGGGCATGGAATACTTCATAGTGGGCACGATTTATATCCCTCCAAACAACGACTAGCACATTCCATCAGCAGTTGTCAGCTTGTTTACCACTCCGAGTACTCAGTACTATATAACAATACAGGAAAACTGTTTGTGGAAAATAAACTGAGATAAGACGAACCTAAAAACATTGCTATATGACTAAATTCTATCATTGATCGATAGACTGATATATGGACAAATTATTTGTAAATAATATGTTATTTTTACAACGCAAGGGGTGAAGATATAATCTGGAAACCTAGTTTTCATACAAAAGATAATAATGTTATAAAATGTTAGAAAAGTATAAAATATCTTTAGTAAACATATTATATAGTATATTGTTCATAAAGATAAATAAAGGAATATAATTATGTAATCTTAGCATACAGTCCACACACCGATACATTCGGATATACCATACACCCATACTTAACGCACACAAACACACTACACGCAGTCACTTAATGTTTTATAATATAAGTATTAGTAAAAAGGGATTGTTACTTCAGTTCGCAATAAAACGATGTAGTAAGAAGACGTGTCATTTGATTTACTAAAACAGATCAAGCAAAAACATTTTTGTATCTTAAGGGCTACAACACATATCGTCACAGTCGTAGAATACTGACGAATCTTTATATGTAATATTTGTCAGATCCGTCAGTATTGTACGACTATGACGATATTATGATTGCAGTATTCAAAGACCCTTATATCTGAGCCAACTATTGCATAGATAGTTAATTTCTTTATTTTTCATCCGACCCCATCATCAGATACGACATACCTAATATGCTACAGTTGGAAAAAATCCCTTTATCATGGTTAATACCTAATTTATATACCAAAAAGATTTTCCTTTTCCCTACCTGTATCTCTACTACCAAATGAATTTATATTATTAAATAAAACTAGTTTTTTTTTATACACTTTATAATGGCAAACAAGCTAACGGCCCACCTGATGGAAAGTGGTAACCGTCACCTATAGACATGAGCAGTACCATGGACATAACAGAGTATACTGTTTCGCCCATGATACCCCCATGCGTTGCAATTCCTGAGGACTCAGGTGTTCTTCCTCCGTACTCAGTAAATTCACGCCATATCCCACCCTTCAAACCGAAACACAGCCATGCAAACACAACTGCTACACGGTTGAAACACGAATGGGACAGAGGTACTCAAACAATCGACTTTTGTCCAAAGTCTCCCTCTAGTTAGTATAAAAGTTGTTTACTAAAGTATGCCCAAACGTAACAGTGTTGTTTTGTTTAATTTTTTTTCTCTGTTTATTTATTTCTATTGAAGAAAAAACGCGCTGTTGGTTTCGGCCGCTCGGTTCTCCTGGAAATATCGTCGTTAATTTCTAATAAATTAGCCACGATGCCGACTGCTCTGCCTTTATTTTCACCTGTAATTGTTCACGGATACTCGGCAGCGTATGCTGATAGCGTTGGATTTTCTTTTAATGTTTGGAACGCAAACGAACATTCGCTTCACCTGATGGTAAGCGGCTACCGTCGCCCGTGAACAGGTGGGGTTACCATATCTATCATCATCCATAAGCCCAGCACTACGGCGGACACAGTGAGGATTTGAGCGGTAGTAGTCTGGCGGTACCCACTCATCTCGTCGTGTTATTTCATATATATTACTTATTGCATTTGTAAATTATATAGATAATACATTTATAAACATTGTAAGCAAGGGTGGACCTACCTTTTTTTTTTATACAACTTAGAATGGCAAACAAGCTGACGGCCCACCTGACGGAAAGTGGTAACCGTCGCCTATACACATGAGCAGCACCATGGACATAACAGAGCACACCGTTTCGCTCATGATACCCCCCCTGCGTTGCCATTCCTGAGGACTCTGGTCTGGCGGTACCCACCCATCTCGTCGTGTTATTTCATATAGATTACTTATTGCATTTGTAAATTATATAGATAATACATTTATAAACATTGTAAGCAAGGGTGGACCTATCTCTGAAAGAGATCTCTTCCAGCTGATCCAATACAGTGAGTAAGCATGTAGTCATGTAACAATATTAACATAATCTCCTCATAAATGTATCTTGTAAGAGCAAAATATAAATCTTTATTGAAATATACTTGTCTTTAAGCTCTTTAATCGTTATTTTGTGGTTATACTGTTGGGTTCAGCAAATTCTCGTTAACTTCTATTATTACGCTGTCGTCGTCAACATCGGATATCGTATTGCGCTCTATTCCCCTAGTCGCCTCTAACGCTATTTCAGGGATGGAATCCATACTTTCCATCCAGGATAAACAGTGCATTATCAGGCAATTAAGGAAGTTGAGCGTTTATCGGCCAAGCCGTGGCTCATAACAGACGGGTCGTTATCTGGACGCTGGCTGAAACATTACATTGAATAGATACTACAGCTACTAACAAAATGTTCAATAGATAAGATTTACTACGCAGCCAGATAACGTCTTTAAACAAATATGGTTTGTTGCGTAATAACAATACTTGTTTAATTTTAATGATGATGGAATGGTAACCCTGCCTGCGCTAACGGTATACGCTAGCGGGGCACCAGTGAGGGATGACAGGTGAGGGTGAAAAGACAGGTCAGTTAGCTCATCGTGATGAATACACTTGGAATTCAGCGTGATGGTTTCCAAAGGGGGACCACGGGAAGGTCGATCTGGTTGGGTATATTACTAGCAATGGGGCCCTTAGTCTCCGCTATTAACAATCCCTCCCCCCAATAACAATACTTAGATATTTGTAATGTACAGATGATTGGTTACACACATAATCAAAAGGCAGCTACATCAGCAACGAGGGGGGAGAAAGGATTGTTAGTAATGGGGATTTGTAGCCCCATTGCTAGCAATATACCCTGTCATGTCGACCTACTCGTGGTTCCCCCTGGAAACCATTGTGATTGATTCATTGTTAGATTCGTCACGGTGGGCTAACTGACCTACTTCATCCTCACCTATCGTCCCTTACTGGTACCCGGCCAGTGTATACCGATAGCGCAGGCAAGGTTACCATTCCATTATCATTCTTTAAAAAAAAAGCCTCAGCAACGATGTTCAAACACTGAGCGAAGGGTGAGATAGGGTCGTGGCTGTCGTGTAGGTACGGCGACTGAAGGTCTTCACATCATAAAAATAGGCAACGCACGAGTGATGTAACATAAATTATAAACCTATTGTTATTACTTGTTTCAGGTTGCAATAAAAATAATAGACAAATCTAGGTTAGACGAAGACAATTTAAAGAAAACGTTCAGAGAAATCGCCATTATGAAGAGACTGAGGCATCCACATATAGTCAGGTTATATCAGGTAAGACTTCCGTCGGTATCCTTGTCAGCACCATCTACACACCAGCTGTCACTTGTAGCACTAATTGCATTTGAATTTTAAACTGCACTCAACGCTTTTGAACAAAGTCCTCATAGATCAAACAGTTCACCCAAATGCAGCATTCTGGTTTAAAGGGGGTAAAATATGGCAGCGAATTATTTGGGTAATCTCTCAATCTTTGGATGAGAAGGAATTTTGTTTATGCAACTTAGAATGGTAAACAAGCTAAAAGCCCACTTGATGGATAGTAGTAACTGTCGCCTATAGACATGAGCAGTACCATGGACATAATAGAGTATACTGTTTCGCCCATGATACTTCCCATGCGTTGCCTCTGTAATTTCATTGCCATATCCCACCATTCAAATCGAAACACAACCATGCAAATACAACTGCCTCACGGCAGATACACGAATAGGACAGAGGTACCCAGGTAGACGATTTCTGTACAAAGTCTCCCTCTGGTATTTGGGTAATCCCTCAATCTTCGGATGACAAGGATTAAACATGCGAATGATGACTATGGTAATGCAGGCATTCATAGGTTGTGGTGATTATTTATCATTATGTATGCAGAGTGCTGATTACGTCCCTCGATTTATAAAAGTTCCACCCTATATCCTATCGATTCTATCCACATTTTTTCTATTCACATAGACTTGACCATGTAGTCACTACATGTGTTTATAAAGTGCATTTACCTGTGTCTATATGATATCGCTGTATGAAGTTCACGTCGTATTCCATGATATTAATATTTCTGGTGGATTTTTACACTTTCAGGTTATGGAAAGCAGCCACACAATATATTTAGTGACAGAATACGCGCCAAATGGTGAAATATTTGGTGAGTATCATTAGTAGAGTTAGTTGACATCAAGTGACGGATTAGAAGTACAATATATCACTGCTCCTTTACATCCCCAAGATATCGTAAGAATTTTTTTTATACCACTGAGGTGGCAAATAAGCATACGGTCCACCTGATGGTAAGCGGTTATCGTAGCCTATGAACGCGTGCCGTTCCAGTACCAGGGGTATTACCCACGCGTTGCCGACCCTGAAGAAACCTCTTTACCCCCCTTTTGAAGAACCCCTTGCTGTAAAGCCTCAACAGAGAGCTCATTGACTAAAAGAAACCTGAGTATTCGTGAGAGAAAACATCTCTGAAACCGCGTTGTACGCGACCATCTAGGCTCTTGGATATAAAAGTGAACTCTCTGTCGATGGTGAGTTGTACAATGGTATATCTTTATTCAAATGTACTTGTTTACAAGCACTTTTAAATCGTATTTTTTTTATGAACGCAAGGTTCGAAAAGTTGTTATCTCTTGAGAAGAGCCCGCAAGAAACTCAACAGTTACTCTTTTAAATTTCTGTGAACATTACGTGTATTTATTTGAATGTAAAGAGAACAATACATAATATATTAGAGCTAGAAGAGAGAAATTCTAAATTAACTTTATTTAGCCACCTGAGCAGCTTGGTAAAAGACTAATATCATCTCTTTCTCCCTTATATACCCATGCCCAATCGTGGAATGTTAATGAGTTGTTATAATGTTGAAGTATGAGGCGATTTCGATTTCTGATATTGGGATAAAGAAAAGATATAATATTTAGATGTCAACGCTTAACACATTGTCGTAGGGGCCTGATAACACGCCACCGTCACGACATTATTGTTGCTGCAAACTCACTACGAGTATTATGCACTTATCTTATATGCCTTCAATGTTATCGATAATTGTGGATTTAACAACCATATGTATGAATTGCTTTATATACATTCAAAAGAGGCATGTCTAAATATGAACATTGACGATTTGATTCTAAGCACCCCGAACGATATAGCCTGGTATGAAGTGAAAATATTAAAATATCCACAAATGTTAACTGGAAGGAAGTACACGCGGAAACTTGAAGTACTCCATTATTTTCCGTTTTTATGGGAATTTCCAAAAACGCATCCTGGCTATATTTACATTATATAAAGTCCTTATTTATTAAAGTTTAATAATACTCTGTGGTTCTGGAGATATCTTGATAAATTAGGTTATGGTATTTTCCAGAATGAAGATTACCTATTTGTCATATACGTAGTGGTCATATTTAGTATTTCGCAGTGTACACACGAACGAATTTACAATGATTAAAAAGCAAATATTTTATGATTGAACAGTAAAATGCACCATAAAATAGCAAATCCAATTTATTAATGATCCTTTTTTTACTTTGTGAAGCAATTACCTAAATATGAAACCAATACTAAATTATTTCAGCTCTAAGTTTTGTTTTAAAAAAATGACGTTATTAAAGTAGCCTGAAGACTGGATTGATTAATTGGTGCAAACATACTCACGGATAGACTAGAGGACGACATGTGAATTAGTTTTTCAGATCGGCCCCAAGTAGAGGCTTTCTCCAAAATCTTCAATTACCTTGCTTTAATACGTCTATCAATGGTATCGTGCCATCCACAGACCATCTAGTCTCCAGAGGCCGCATGCCAGAATCAGAAGCGGCGAGGTCCTTCGCCCAAATGGTGGCCGCTGTCGGGTACTGCCACGCAAATGGAGTCGTCCACAGGGATCTAAAGGCCGAGAACTTACTACTAGATAGGGATATGAATATAAAGGTAGGTCAATTTTGCAGTCCACCACTGAGTTTGGTTTACTGGAGCTATTTTTGTTTAATAGAATACCTTACTGTTTTCTTTGAAACGCCTGGTCTTTTATTTTACTAATTTCTATTGGATATTTTTATTTCATAAATGATAGAATTTTGATTCGATTCCTATTGGGTTATCTATTTTTTGCCGAGAGGCTGTCACGAATGTATACGTCTTTGGCCTTGGTCGTCTTAAGGTTATGGTGGCCAGTGCAATCTCTGACACAAGCACATAAACAACTTATTAAGCATAATCGTGCAAGCGTTTATGTCTATGATCCATGATTATGGGCTTACAAAATACTTTCATTAAAAAGTATTAGCAATTTTATAGGCTAATGTAATCTATAACCAATAAGACCGTGTGCTAGCTTATCTTCAACATAATATAGCAAAATATTTGGCGGTAAAAAGACGTCCTTTCGATCACAGACGGTTGTTATCGCTTGATGTTCTCCAACAGCTGGCAGATTTTGGGTTCAGTAACGAATATACATCGGGGTCTCCGCTCGCGACGTGGTGCGGCAGTCCGCCTTATGCAGCGCCAGAACTCTTCGAGGGGCGGCAGTATGATGGACCGAAAGCCGATATTTGGGTGAGTTTCATCAGCCCTTGAACTCGTGACTTTGGGTTGTTGTATTCCAAAAATTAATTTTAAGTAAGCCATAAATAACTTTATATATTTTTTAATAGTAAATGATAAGATCCGCCATCATAGGATCATAGATTTTTCACTTTCTATTACATTTTACCTTAAACGTTATTTTTTAGTCCTTTGATCTAACTAAGGCATATAAAACCTACAGACAAGTGGCAAACGGATATTTTTTCACGCCTTAGCGAAATAAAATGATTTCCATTTTATGCACCAAGATAAAGGCATTTTTTCTGTGTTATACGTGAGGTAGCGAAAATGTACTTTTTGAAATTGTTTGCCACCTGTTTATGCGTCCTGATCTGAGCTGACGCCCGTTGATGACATGTGTTTAGATGAGATAATTTGTTATGTTGGCGGTGTGCGTGTGTGTTGGCGGCAGTCGCTGGGCGTGGTGCTGTACGTGCTGGTATGCGGCGCGCTGCCCTTTGACGGCGGCACGCTGCACGAGCTACGTCAGGTCGTGCTCAGCGGGAAATTTCGCATACCCTACTTCATGTCCCAAGGTGAGCTGAGAAGAAGAGTACTAGCTCGTGGCCAATGGGAAGTTCCGCATCGCCTACCTCTTATTGCAAGGTAGACAGGTCGGAAACTGCACCTGCCCTTACACCAAAGGAATACTTTATACTAAACTCGTCTTCATTGTTACCTTTCTCCCATCCTAATTTCTGCTTTGACTCAGCTGTAGTGTTTCGGTTTGAAAGATGACATATGGCAGTAAAATTACAGGATACAGAGACATAATGCCCTTGTCCACAAGAATGGCAACGCATAAGATGCTCTTTCATATCCATGGTGTTGTTTATATTTATAAGCATAAGAAGTATCATAATAAATATTGGTTTGACAGTGGTCTACTAACTTGACAAATTACTACAGCGGAAAATACTTCATCCCCTATTTCATGTCGCAAACTATAAGAAATAGTCTTGTTTCAGCTATGACATGATACACAGTCTTCCTAGTGGCTTTATCTTTTCCTTCTTAAAGATGTAAATTTTGCTCATTGCTTCAGGCTTAAAAATGGTGTTTCAATATTCTGCCTCCTTGAAACTACGGAAGAAGGAAACTTGATTTCATGCGCAGAAACTTTTTTATACCCGTTCTCGAAGAAATTCTCAGAAAATCCTTATTGTATGCCATGCATATGTAGGAAGCTTTGTACATAAAGTTTGAAGTATATATGGTTCGTAGTTCCGTAGGTTTTATGATTAGAAGCAATATTTCACATTTGAACGTAGCGTGTGACGTACCACACGTGTTGCAGACTTTTTCAATGGATGATAATGGAATGATAACCTCGCCTGCACTAACGGTATACGCTGGCGGGGCACCAGTGAGGGATGATAGGTGAGATGAAAGGGCAGGTCAGTTAGCCCATAGTGGTGAATACACCTGGAATTCAGCACGATGGTTTCTAGGGGGATCACGTGGAGATCGACTTGATCGGATATATTGTTAGCAATGGGACTGATAGTCCGCATTACTAACCAATTCCTTTCCCTCCCGTGTTGCAGACTGCGAGCACCTGATCCGGCACATGCTGGTGGTAGAGCCCGAGAAGCGGCTGTCGCTGCGCGGCGTGGCGCGCCACCGCTGGCTCGCCAAGCAGCCCGCGCCGCACTACGGTACGCTACACCCCTCTCCTATCGACCACCACCACATCCTCGGCATCCTCCAGCAACAGAGGAATTTATTTAGAAGCTCCATACGCACTGTTATAAAACTTCAGGCGATTAGTTCCAAGCTAGAGTACAGTTTACTATCACTGTTGTTGGTAAGCACGACCAGGTGGAGAAAGCGCAGTAAACGCCAATTAAAGAGAAGCTACATTCGAGCAGGTTGAACTTACGCTTTAGTAAATGCCAATATCTTCCTCTGACGAGGAAGGGTGGTGCATTAATGACGTGTTCAATGGATTACAATGATCTTGAAGGCTTATTTTTGGGAGTCGTGACCCAGTCAATAATACTAGCAAATGTAAACTCAATGTGTACTAGCTTTAGGTCCATAGTCCGGTGGTGACAGACCAATAACTGAAGTGGTTGGCAACTGGCCGCAGATATCGCGCAGGGGGAGTGCGCGTGCCACGGCGCGTGGAGCGAGACGGGCGCGGGCGCGGAAGCGGAAGCGGGCGCGGCGGCGGGCGGCGGAAGGCAGTCGGCCAGCAGCCAGCACGACACCGTGCTGGCGCATATGCTCACGCTGCCCGGCCTCACCGACCACCACATACACCAGGTCACACCACACCACTCTCTAGACAAAGTAGCGGCCACTGACTATGTGTACGAAAAATTTCACGTGTAACGTGAAATATCATATGTTACGTAAAATCACATGTCACATCACTTTCATCATTTCATATAGAACTGCTATAAATTACTAAAGTGAAATAGCAGTCACTAGCGTTCGGATTTAATCGTGAGGTGTGTTATAAGATGCGCTCAGTTAACAGTGAAATGAAATCACTGCAGGCGACCAGCTGTACCATACAGAGCTCTTATAACAATTATAATTTCAATAGCAAATAGTAGCAGTTGTGACATAAGTTTATTGCGAGCGAAAATCACTTCCAGTGATTTTCGCAGAAACCGTGAAGCAGTTGTGTTTGCATGACTGTGTTTCGGTTTGAAGGGTGGGATATGGCGTGAATTTACAGGGTACAGAGGAATAACACCTGAGTCCTCAGGAATGGCAACGCATGAGGGGTATCATGGACGAAACAGTATCTCCCATGGTACTGCTCATGTCAATAGGCGACGGTTACCACTTTCCATCAGGTGGGCTGTCAGCTTGTTTGCCATTCTAAGTTGTATAAAAAAAAAAATTGTGGATCTTCTTAAATCAATCTTAATGAAATGGGATTGTGAATTGAAAATACTAACGACTAATTTACGGTATATTTAATGTTGACAGTGAATAAAATAATTAATTATCATTTAATTGGTAAAATTAATTAAAATATATTTAATTAGTTAAAATAATTAAAAATCATTTAATTAATTATAATTTAATTTCGTGTAATGTGATGTGGGCGCAGAGCGTGCAAGAGGAGCGTTTCGACCACATCTCGGCCATCTACCACCTGCTGATGGACAAGCTGCAGCAACGCTCCAGCGCCAGGAACAGTCTGCAGCACAGAGGTATACCACCGCCGCATTATGGCGCGATAAGATGATATGTTAAGCTCTTTTGCACTAAGGTTCACTTTTCAATGTCAACACACCTCATTATCTACGTCCTTAAGGACCTTGTCAAGAGTTGCTGTGTAGCGTTGCTTTCTCTTGTCAAATTTTGTAGTTATTTGCGATATTGTTTAAGTGTTTTTAGATAATATACTAAAATTGGTAACGGAACGTGCTGCTAATAATCTAGATCGGTGTTTCCCAACGTGAGGCCCACGCCCCACAGAGGGCAATTTGATAGTTAGGGGGGGGGGAGGGGGCAATTAAAAAATGGACTTAAACCTATTTTAATCCTTTTGCTCCGGGATATTTAAATGCAATGCTACGAGTAGATTAGGTATAACTTCGTTTGACGTTACAATGCATGATAGCATAAAAATTTTAGAAATGTTTAAGTGGGGCATGGCACGAAAAAAGGTTATACATATATACTGGATGATAAAGGTATACGCTGGCGGTAAGGTGTGGTGTGAGGTATAGAATGAAAAGGCAGACCAGCTAGCCCATTGTGATGAATCCACATGGAATCCAGCACAATGGTTTTCAAGAGAGACCACAGGAAAGTCGACCTGGTTGTATATTGCTAGCAATGGGACCCTTAGTCTCTATTACTAACAAACCTCCTCCCCTCCCCCACTACACAAGTATTGCGTACCAGAACCGTGGATGCGTAACATGCACTGGACCAGTGTTTCATATGTCTACATCTGTCTATAATGATTATTACAGATTCCTTGGACTCGACCACCGGCCAGCCGTTAGATCTCACTAGTTGTAAGGTAATGGCGAATACGTTGCTTGACAATAATATATGTAAATAATAAAATATAGCTTCTTCATTGAACTATTGATTTATAATGATAGCGGAATTAAACAAAGTAGTTCTAATCGACTAACCAAAACATGCTTACTTGGGTTTAATAAAAGATTACAATTTTTAATGTTAACAAAATTAATCAAATTTAAAATATGTTGACTTTCAAAGAGATGAAATTAATGTTTCATTTCTTCATTTGTTTTTCAATTTGAACATTCGTGTTTCAACCGTGAAGCAGTTGTGCTTGCATAGCTGTGTTTCGGTTTGAAGGGTGGGATATGGCAGTGAAATTACAGGGTACAGAGGAATAACACCTGAGTCCTTAGGAGTGGCAACACATGGGGGGTATCATGGGCGAAACAGTATACTCTGTTATGTCCACGGTACTGCTCATGTCTACTCATGTCTAGGGTGTCAGCTTGTTTACCATTCTAAATTGCATAAAAAAAGGAACTCTAAGGATAAAGGAATAAAGTCTAAAGCTCTGCCGTATGTGATATAAAGTCTAGAATAAAAACAATTTGTTAATTTGTTGATCAGAGCACAGAGGACGAGCAGATGGACGCGGAGGAGGCTTCTTCCCAAGAGTGCCTGGTCTCCATCCCGTGCGCCACGGACTACCTCGCAGACGCGGCCGACAGCCTCGAAAAGGTTACTAAATGTTTTTATTTTATTTTGACTCTGATCTGATACTTCTTTGTACAGTTTAAATTTGACATCTGATAAGTAGATATAGAAATATACAGGTCGTTGAGAAAATTAAGTAAAGAGGTCCAAGATATGATCCCTGCGGCACTTCATTTAGTTCGTATGCAGAGTACGTTTTAAATAATTAGCTAGAAATATTGAAAATTCTTCAGTTGTTTTTGAAAATTTACAGTTAACTGCGACGGTGCCACACTTCGTTATGAACGTTCTTAACGAGGGCATCGGTATTTATTTTCTTTTTTTTTTTATGGGTGAAGATGGTATGGTAACTTCGCCTGCGCTATCGATGTACGCTAGCGGGGTACCAGTGAAGGGTGACAGATGAGGATGATGGCAGGTCAGTTGGCCCATAGTGACCAATTGAACAAGAATTAAACCATTATGGTTTCCAGGGGGAATCACGTGGTCGACTTGATAGGGTGTATTGATAGTAATGGGGTCTAACCTCCCCATTACTAACAATCCCTTCCCCCCACGAGTATGTATTAAGTATGAATGTGGCTAGTCGTAAGTATCGAGGGAGACCCAAGAAATGGATGGAGTCTGTGAAACATGAATGTATTCAGAGCCTACGTTTTTCTCCCTCAAATATATGGTGTATTGGTAGCAATGAGGTTGCTAAGCGTGATTGCTAACAATCCCTCCCCCCCCCCCCCCGACATTGCGTGTTACAATAACGAGCGCCGCCTGCGTTGCAGTTCGACGAGGGCGGCGCGGCGGCGGAGGAGCGGCGGCCGGCGGCGCCGCAGCCCGCCGCGCCGGCGCCGCGCCGCCACACCGTCGGGCCCGGCGACTGCCGCCACGCGCAGGTACGACATCGTCGCCTCGCCTGCACGCCTGCACACCTGCACACCTGCTGCGACAGCTTTGCTTACCATTACAGTACCACATAAATAGTACATTACTGCAGCGGCCAGCAACTGAGCCATTGATGGACGAACGTACACATACGTGAGTCCATCAATGCCTAGTTGTGGCCAAGGCTTGTATAGTACTTTTCTCAAACAATGCGCGGAAATCAAAGACACAATTTTACTTTTTAAGTTCAATGACGAATAACGAACAATAATAATTTTTCACGCGCCATAATGTTCCCTAGTTTTTTTTTTTTTTTTCAATAAACAGCTTACTTTTTACAAGCCAGTTCGAAATTTAAATAAAACCTTGTATTAGTCACCTCCTTGGTAGCCATGTTTCGAAGTAAAAGGTCATTCCATTTTTAAATTACAGGACAAATATGAGTTTACATAGTAATTTATCTGGCCGCGAAATACGACAGATATGGATTGTCTTACAACTTTTACCGGCCGCTGCCCGCATGTATCTAGCCAGTACGGCAATTTTGATTTATCTCGAGGAAGATTGTCAAAATAATGCTCACATTTCCAAGCATGTTTGAGAAAAAAACATTAATTGCTGAACTCAATTAACATAGATAGATAAATAAACACTTTATTTGAGCCATTTATGACAAACGTAAATTAATAAATGAGACCATACAATCAAATTATTTACACTTTTAAATATAAAACAAAAGATGAAATATGGTAGTATGTTTTCACCAAGTGTGTCGCAGTGACCCAAATAGGCCACAGTTCAGTGATGGTTTTGCTTAAAAGCAAAGCACTGATTTTCAGCTGCAGCCTGAAGTTAGGCTACACGGACGTGTGCAACAAACCCAGTGTAATCCTGTGTAACAGCTCTTTCTTTTAATCTTATTTTTATTTTTTATCTGTTATATATTTTATATTCTTTATTTTTTTTTAATCTTAATCTGTTATTACATGAGAGAATGATTAAGTTAAATATATGAATATATTTTTTAACGATTGTCTATACACATGCACTACGGAAATTCTACGAACTTGCTATATTTTCCCCCTGAAGAAGACTTCCAGATGACGTCGAAATAGAGAGAGACAGAGGGAGACTTTGTACAAAAGTCATCTGCTCAGGCACCTCTGTCCTATTTGTGTTTCAACCGTGAAGCAGTTGTGTTTGCATGGCTGTGTTTCAGTTTCAAGGGTGGGATATGGCGTGAATTTACAGGGTACAGAGGAATAACACATAAGTTCTCAGGAATAGCAACGTATGGAAGTATCATGGATAAAACGGTATACTCTGTTAGGTCCATGGTACTGCTCATGTCTATAGGCGACGGTTACCACTTTCCATCAGGTGGGCCGTCAGCTTGTTTGCCATTCTAAGTTGTATAAAAAAAAATTGTTAAAAATGAGTGTAAGTTTTAAAAATAATATATTTTCTATTAAAAATCTGATGATATAAAATACCGTTAAATAAATCTTTTACTACATAAAACCAAGGTTGTTTGGAACAAATCGACCAAGAACGAATCGAGAAAGATCGACCATTGTTACCTCTTTACCTTGCTACTTGTGATTAAATTTTTTGTTTGTGTACACGTGTCGTTCTTTGAAGGGAGCAGTGTTTCATTAATTCACGCTATAAATTGCATGTGTGAATAATGAATGAAATGCCATTGCATGATTTGTGCAGGGCGGCGAGCTGGGCGCGGCGTCGGCCGACCTGCGCGCGGCGCCGCTGTACGTGTCCGCGCACTTCAACGTACGTACGCACGCGCACGCATACTGTTACAATCATACGTTCAATACATTTTTTTTTAATGGGTGATAATGGAATGGTAGCCCGCGCTATCGGTATACACCGGCGGGGCACCAGTGAAGGATGATAGGTGAGAATGAAGCAGGTCGGTTAGCCCATCGTGACGAATTCAACAAGAATTGTTCACGATGGTTTCCAGGCATATTGCTAGCAATGGAGCTGTCAAACTTCATTGCTAACAATCCCTCCCCCACCCCCCCCCCACCCCACATTCAATACAATTAGACTAACAGAGACGAAATCGGAACTGACGAAAAGCATTATAATTAAAGCATTAATTACTATTTTTTTTATACTGTTAACGACAGAATTAAATAGACAGAAAATTCTCCCATATTTTCAATAAACCATAGAAAAAAATTACAACTGCAAATACTACTTTACTAATTTATCAAAAAAAAAATTTTAAAAAAATATTATTAGTTTTTTTTTTTTTTTTAATTCGACTCACTTTTTAAATGAGTGGTAGCAGCAGCAGTGTGTGAGCGTGTGGTGTGTGTGTGTGTGTGCAGCAGCAGTCGTCGGCGAAGGTGTCGCTGCTGCCGAACACGAACCTGGCGGCCAAGCTGCCGGCCGTGCAGCACCAGCCGCCGCGCTACTTCAGCGTCAAGGACCAGCACCTGCTCAAGCCGCCGCACGCTATGCAGACGCACGGTCAGTACACACACGACATAACACCTTCTGTCGTCCACATCATGTCTTTTGGACTAGTACAAGAAGCTTAGGACTTAATACTACAAAATTAGTGGACCTAACAGATGTCCTGCTTAGTTTTTAATTTAAGTAGTGAGAAGAGAGGAGGAATCCAGTTTTATTGTTTTACATTTTAAAAAGTATTGCAATGCTATCTATGAGATTGAATTGTGAATTAAAATTATCAGAGAATTTATTTAAATTGATACAAAAAGTCATCAATACCAATTCAATGGTTTATGAGGATATAGGGAATAGTACATTACTGCAGCGGCCAGCAACTGAGGCATTGATGGACGAACGTGCAAATGTGGGCCGAGGCGTAGCCGAGGCACACATACGTGAGTCCATCAATGCCTAGTTGTGGCCAAGGCTTGTATAGTACTTTTCTCAAACAATGCGCGGAAATTAAAAACACAATTTTACTTTTTAGGTTCAATGACGAATAACGAACAATAATAATTTTTCAGGCGCCATAATGTTCCTTTGTTTTTTTTTTTCAATAAACAGCTTTCTATTTGCAAGCCAGTTCGAAATTTTAATAAAACCATTTATTAGTTACCTCCTTGGTCATATAGCCATGTTTCGAAGTAAAAGGTCATTCTATTTTTAAATTACAGGACAAATATGAGTTTACATAGTAATTTATCTGGCCGCAAAACACGACAGATATGGATTTTCATACAACTTTTGCCGGCCGCTGCCCGCATGTATCTATCTCTATATGTACGGCAATATTAATTTATCTCTAAAAAGTTTGTCAAAATAATGCTCACATTTAACAATGCAAGCATGTTTGAGAAAATTGTATTTGTAAACTTAGATGTGTGTTCTACGTCTTGCTAGTTAATCTATCGTGGTATCAAATTTTATTTTTAATAAATTATAATGGAATGAAGCTCTACTTATGCTGGTGGGTTATCAGAGGGGTGATAGGAATGACAGCGTGGAGGTTATACACTTTTTCTTTCTGTCACCGACAGTGAAGTTTTAAAAAATATATATGCTACCAATTTATGGAGGGTTCCTTCGCTTAATGAGTGACCTACAGCTGTACGAATGACACAGGTTCCCCCCAAAAATCCTGTTGTCTATTCAGTGTGGTGATGATGAGGAGCAAAGAGGGTGTTTTTTTAATAGGTGATAATGGAATGGTAATTCTATCCATGCTATTGGTAAACACCGACGGGGCACCAGTGAAGAATGATATGATAGGTAAGGATGAAGCAGGACAGTTATCTCATCGTGACAATTTCAACAAGAATTGTTCTCGATGATTTCCAGGGGGAACCACGTGGAGGTCGACCTAATAGGGCATATTGCAAGCAATGGAGCTATCAAACTCTATTGTTAACAATCCCTTTCCCTCCAGCAAAGAGGCAGGCGCAGACGTCATGCAGGCGGCTGGTTGTAAAACTATAAGACAAATCTCTTTGTAATATGGATAAAACCATATTACGTCGACCCCATATAATAATTGGGACAAGGGTAATAAGATGATGATGATGATGTTGGTTTTTTTTATACCACTGAGGTGGCAAACAAGCATACGGCCCACCCGATGGTAAGCGGTTACCGTAGCCTATGAACACCTGCAATAGCAGAGGTATTACGCGCGCGTTGCCGACCCTAAAATGTTGTTGTGGTTGTGGTTGTGGTTGAGCGCGCGGTTGGTTGTTGCAGCGTCGTCGTTCGGGCGGCGCGCGTCCGACGGCGGCGCGCACGTGGCGCGCGGCCGCGAGCGCGCCTGCTGCCGCTCCGCGCCGCCGCACCACGTGCGTACACCGCCGCCACCGCCACCACCACCACCACCACCAGCACACGCCGCCACCACCACCACCAGCACACGCCGCCACCACCACCACCAGCACCAGCACACGCCACCACCACCACCAGCACACACAGCCACCACCACCACCACCAGCACACACAGCCACCACCACCCCCACCAGCACACACAGCCACCACACCAGCACCAGCACACGCCGCCACCACCACCACCACCAGCACACGCCGCCACCACCACCAGCACACACAGCCACCACCACCACCACCACCACCAGCACACGCCGCCACCACCACCAGCACACGCTGCCACCACCACCACCAGCACACTCCACCATCACCACCACCACCAACACACGCCACCACACAGCACCAGCACACTCCACCAGCACACGCCACCAGCACTACCAGCAGCACACGCCACTACACAGCACCAGCACATTCCACCAACACACGCCACCACCAGTACACTCCACCAAATGTCAACTCGCTTGTCAACCGCAATTACACTTTTAGTGACACTTAAAATGGATACTACTGCTCATCCCTCCACTGTTAAGTTCCCTTACCCTCTACATTACACATCTTTACACTATACCGGTAAACAACCTCACTCCCTCGCCGTACCCTCCCCATCCTGCTGGATTACTTCTACATTACATTCTACACGACACCACCCCATCAGTCACCACCTTCCTCTACACTTCATTTGACACTCACCCACCTCATCAGTGTACATTCCATAGAATATAGTAGTCACCTCATCCCATGTACCATCTATACTAAATACATCTTCCATATATATACCATAATCCATACAAGCTCATTATGTCAGGCTACATTTTACCCTACTCCACCCCATGAATATACCGAACCCGTTATGTGTACAGGTGTCGGACAGCGGGGCAGGCAGCCGGTCGCCCGGAGACGGTCCGGACGAGCAGGCCAGCGACGCCGCCTACGACACTACACTCTGCAGGTACACGTACCACCGTCTCACCATGTTGTTCTTTTTTTTTATGCAATTTAGAATCGCAAACAAGCTGACGGCCCACCTGATGGAAAATGGCAACCGTCACCTATAGACGTGAGCAGTACCATGAACATAACAGAGTATACTGTTTCGCCCATGATACGCCCCATGCGTTGCCATTTTTGAAGACTTAGGTGTTATTTCTCTGTGAGTACAGAGAAATAACACCTGACTGTATTTCTTCATAATATACTAATACTGCCTGCGTTACTTGTTTACGCTAGCAGGATACCAGTGAAAAATAATAAGTGAAAATGAAGTCACTTGCCCCATTGTTAAAAATTGCCATAAATATATCGAGTTTTACTATTAAGTCCCTAGCAGCCTAGCTCTTTCGATTTAAAGATCGAGAAAAAGTACAATCGTTTATTCCGCTTTACAGAGTAATAATTTTAATTTATGATTTATAAGAGACAATAATTAACTCGATTAACTTAGTCGAAACGTCAAGATGGCTCATGTAAAATATTGTATTCGACTTAAATGATCACTTAAATTCCGGTCTCTTATAAACCATAAATGGTGCAGCGCCAATGTGCAAATGTTAACGATTAATTTGTTTCGGATGTGAACAGGTACATGCTGAACCGCGGCAGCAGCAAGCGGCACACGATGGCGACGCCCGAGGACGCGGCCAACGTGGCCACCTCCTGCGCCGCCGGCTCCATGGTCAGTCACTATACACTACACTACACTATCTAAGCCCTAGGGCCACTTCCATTACAATTATGAATTGGGATCACTTTCATTAAATCATATATTTATTTATGAAATTATATAATAAATTCATGTTCTATCCAAGATTCGCTCATACAAGAAATACTGAGGGTAGTTTGTGTTTCCAGCCAAACACATCGCCGTCGTCCACCACGAGCCTGCGCGTGCGCAGGACCGGCCTGCTCACCGTGACCGAACGGCCGCCCGGTGAGTACGCACTCACACACGCGAGCCTGCACCCTGCCGTAGAGACACTACATTTGCTGACATATTTTGATGTTTATTATCTACGGAGTAGAGCATAAATTTATGTTAGGTTCATGAATTTACACTAAATCGAATTTTTGCATGGCTGTGTTTCGGTTTGAAGGATGATATATGGCAGTAAATTTACAGGGTACAGAGGAATAACACCTGAGTCCTCAGGAATGGCAACGCATGGGGGGGTATCATGGGCGAAACAGTATACTCTGTTATGTCATTGGTACCTGTCATGTCTATAGGCGACGGTTACCACTTTCCATCAGGTAGGCCGTCAGCTTGTTTGCCATTCTAAGTTGCATTAAAAAATCAATATTTAAAGATCGCCACAGAATATTTTTGTAGTTAACGCATATTTGTTAATTGATTGCAATCAGTGATAAATTTCTTATATTTAACTTTATGTTCTACTCTTAGATTTTATATAAGATTCAGTTTTTTATTGCTTTATTAATTGCGTTTGCATATTATAAAGATATGAAAATTATTGTCAGTAAGTAATTCCAAATATGGCCATCATAATGTCACATTTAACTTAAATCGACTAATGAACTGTTAACTTGCTAAAGTTCGCCTTGCCCATGTCCAGTACCTATCCTTACCTTACAACAAACAGTGCAGTATCTTAAATGTGCAATCGCTAAAATTGTTTGATTTAATGTTTTTCTTTTTTGTTTCAATTTCTACCAAGTAGATCATAGTAGCATGTCGCTAAAATTGCATTATTTTTTTTTTGCTAATGTTTATTTTTTTCTGATACATTAATTTTTAGTTATAAGTCCGGAATTAGTAATGGAGGTCGAAGCCCGAATGAAGAGGAATTACCTACCTCCATCTATACAAGGCCAATACCAAAGCCCACCTACTCCCACTGGGACGCAAAACGTACCTCAGAGCCCTACACAGGGATCGATAACCGCCGGTACCCCAAATTATCAAAACCAAAACCAGATAAGCCTAAAGCCGCTTTTAGAAACTATACCCCAAGGCAACATAATGGGGGGTACCCCCATCGCTAGTCAAACGCTATCATTAGGTCAATATTCAAGTTCTGGTGGCCAAAATATGGCCACTGGTTCAATTACGAGCGGCACTTCGCTGGGAAGTCAAAACCAAGGGCCAATGACAGCTGTTAGCCAAATGGATTCCCAAAATCAAGTCTCAATTATGCCTGGAATGTCAATGAGTCACCAAACGCAGGGTTCTATTTTATCTGGCACCCCAAACCAAGGTTCCATTACGTCTGGTACCCCATTGAATACACAAAATCCAGGTGGTTCGATTATGTCTGGAACTCCAATAAACACTCAAAACCAAGGTTCGATTGTGACTGGAACCCCATTGAGTACCCAAAATCAAGGTTCGATTATGTCTGGAACCCCATTGAACACTCAAAACCAAGGTTCAATTATGTCTGGAACTCCAATAAATAACCAAACGCAAGGTTCTATCGTATCTGGAATACCAATAAGCGGAAAAAGTCAGGGATCAATGGTTTCTGAGACACAAATAGCATCACAAAATCAAGGCTCTATAATGTCTGGTACCCCCATGAATTCCAATAATAATTTTGGCACCAATACAACTTTTGGAAGTATTACACCAGGAATGAATGTAGGAACCAATACCAACTTTGGGAATGCGCCTAACTATGGTACTAATATGAATAGTAACAACAATTTTAATACAAATACCAATTATGGTTCGATAACGTCGGGTACCCCAATAAATACATATCAAGGCCAAGGATCTATAACCAGTGGTACCCCGGTACCCAGCGGGGCCACATTTCAAACACCTAGCACCAGTTACAATCAAGGCCAGTACACGCGGCAGCGAAAATATTCCGGACCTCAGAGAGTCAAACTACAAATGCTAGCAACTGTCCAGGAAATGGGTAATTTTTTGTTTCTTATTATTTCCTTTTCGGTTACGGTTACGGCACATGGAAATTAACATGGAATTCTGGTATAATAATAATAATAATAATTTTTATTTCAGACTTTTTGGTCCATTAAATAAATTAAATAAAATAAATTTATATCTTTTCATATTATGTCATTGACCTCATTTATTATTTTATTATATCATTACTAACTCCTCATTGGTCAAGTAATTTACACATTCCTGATCACTTGTGCAAGTTTACAACATTGGGTTTATTTTAACCCAAATATTCGTGTCTGTCATATTGGTGATTTCATTTCTTTGGTGGAGGTGTTTTGTAGGATCCATTGCCTCTTATTAATAAAAACGTAAACCGTCAAATAAACTATTACAATATTGTATTTCGTTTGGAAGTTCATTATTTGAAATAAAATGATCAAATTTGCACCACATCAACACTCACAAAATTTTGCCCTTAAAATGTAGAAGAAAATATTAACTTTAAAACAGCCGAATTTTATGTAAAAATTGCTTGTCAACTTTTTTTTATAGGACATCTTTGTAATGTACTAAATCAATTTGTATTTTTATTTTTTTAATTCATATTCAGAATGTATATTCAGCCTGCTCTTGTCCAATCTATAGTAACTGCGCAACAAAACGAAAATACCTATATGATGTTAGAAGTAAAAAAAAAAAAACAAATTTAAATCCTCTAATGGAAAAAATAGTAGAATTTAAAAACGAACACATTGGACGAAAAGAAGCACTTAGGATATAAGTAGAAAATTCATAGTTTTCTGTCTTATATAATAATTAATATAAGCTTAAAGATACATATTTAAAAAAAAATCGGCAATTGTAACAAATTTAATAACTAAAACAAAGAGTTGTATTATAAGTTTCTCGCAGGTGTGGTGAGAAATATGAATCACTTGGAGGGACAATACTCAGCTGTCTTTTTCTTTTGCTCCAAATTCTTAACTTAAAATAAAGCGACAAAACATTCTTATAATTAAAATAGGTTTATATTTGGCTCTCACAATCAAACAATCATACTCAATCGATCATTGTCTTCCCACAAATTTCTATTATTGGAGGTTTGAGCTGCTAAATTAAGGTAAGTATATGTTACATTTGTATGTGTGCGTGTGTGTAATAGTCGTAGTTGTGTGCACTTTTGTGTTGTAGTGTTTTTTATATTAACAAAAGATACATAAATAAAAGACAGATTTTGTGCATGAAAATGTCGTTGTGTGTATGAAAATAGTTGTTTCCGCTAAGTTTGATTATATCATTAGGTATACTCTTCCTTTTTGTAGTAAAAGAGAATCGCTCCCGAGTGTTAAGTGTTTCCTCCTTTTTACTTTCCTCGTTTTATGGAAGGTTTAATTTCGAGGAAAACAACTTGCCTCTTTTCACCGTCAATTAATTTGTGCACTATATATACATAAAGAATAATAGGCTAGTTGCCAATTTTTCAGAAATATGTTTAAAATATGTCTCATAGTCAAATATACTATAAATATGAATATTTTAGTAAATTCAAATGTTTACATGGTTTATTTTACATTTTTACTGAATCCATTTAAATTTCGCGTCAAAACACTACGAACGGTCATAGCGTCATAGTTTCTGTTGTTTGTCAGGGCGTGACGTCACGCGTCTCTGATTGGAGTTCGATATTACATGATTTCTGTGTGAAATTTCACCAATTTATTTTTATAAAATATTACTTAATTCTATATATTTATATGTTTTAAATTATTTTCTTGATATTTTAAACATCTATCATTTATGCAAAACAAAAATTTATGAAGACTTCATGGTGGCAACTGCCCTATTTAATGTAAGAAAAATCAGCTAGTGTGAAATCGCTGAAATGAAGAATGATGGAATATTTAGATCTTTATTTAAGTTGTAGGGAGTTCCGTAGCAGAAACAATCTCTGACTCCGATTCTTTAAAAAATCTTCTGTGTAATAATGTGAGGATTTTACTAGAAGTACTTTATCGTGTGTGGATGCGGTGCGGGAACGCATGCGGCGGGAGGCAGCGTAGTGACGGCGTGTGTGTGTGTGTGTGTGCAGCGCGCGAGCACGCGGAGCGGTACTCGCCGGTGCGGCGCGCCGAGAGCTCGCCGCCGCGCGCGCTGCACGACCTGGCGTCCGCGCGCCTCGAGTACCGCCAACTGCAGCGCGGCCTCGAGCGGCGCGGCGCCGGCGCTGGCGCCGCCTCGCCCGCCGCCAGCCTGCCCGGTGAGCCGCCCGCGCCCGCGTCCGCGCCCGCGCCCGCCGAGCGCCCGCGCCCGCGCCCGCCCGCTGACCGTGTGCGCTGTGCAGGCTCGCCGATCCACGCGGCCGCGGCGCCGCTGGAGCTGGCCGCGCTGTCGGCGGAGGCGGCGCGCGCGCTGCTGTGCGCGCTGCCCGAGCCGCTGGCGCAGGAGCTGCTGCGCACGCGGCTGCTCACGCAGGTACCGCCCGCCGCGCGCCCGCTGCGCACCCGCCGCCGCCTAGCCGCCTAGCCGCCTCAGTGGCAGGTACGTCCTCTTGCCTCTTTGACTACCGACTGACCCCTTGTTTTTCTCCAGGACATCGCGCTGAAGCTCGGCATAAACCTCCACACGCTGTACCTGCCGCACGTGAACGTCTCGCAGGAAATCTTGAAGGCGCTGTCGTTCGGTGGCTACGCGCTCCTGTCGGGCCATACGTCGCCCGCGAGTCCGGGCTCGCCGCTCCACCAGATCACCGAGGGCCTGAGCTACCTGCACACGGGCTCCATAACTAGAGGCACCCCGCAGCCGAGCGCCACTCCGTTGGACCTCCGCAGCAACGTCGAAATGGACACGGGGCAAGCCTACCCTCAGCTCCATCCCATGGTGCATCCCCAGATCCACATGGTCACGCATCGGTCGCTGAACAACTCTCCGATTTCTAACCCGGGGTCCCCCCTGGACATGATCCAGGAGGAGATAGGCAACGGAAGTATTGACGCGAGAAATTTCCAGGACGGCAGGAACTTGCAGTTCCAGAATTACGTTTCCACACACCCGCAAATAAGTCTGACCGACTGCTTAGGGTCGGAGATAACGTTAGTTGCTTCCTCGTCGGAGGACAGCATGGATAGCCTAGAAAATAATATGAAGTATTCGTTGCCTCAGTTCGTAATATCGGAGCCGTCCGACCTGGACGACCGGCCGTCGATCACGAAGGGTATCGGCAGGAAGGTGAGCCAGGAGACGGAGCCACCGCCCCCTATCGAGCTACCCAGAGAAATAGAGTCGGATAAGGATGCGGAGATGCAGTCGCCCAAGGAGGAAGACACTAGCAAGTTTCTGAGCGAGGAGCTCAAGTACCCGAGGCGGGGGAGCGACAAGTCGCTTGGATTCAGTGACGATTCATTAAGTAACGACTCGGCCAATGCGTCGCCGAACTGCGAACACAACGTCCAGTCGATATATTCGAATATAGTCTCGATCAGTTCGGGATTTAGCGAAAACCGAGGCAGCTTTTCGGAACATCGAGAATCGTTCTCCTTTTCAGATCGGGGTAGTTTTTCAGAGCGAGGCGATTACGGCAGGTCATCATTTTCGGAGCGGAGCGATTTCGGCCGCGGGAGTTTCTCAGAGAAAGGTGAAACTCCTAGGTCCTCTTTCTCCGCCCAGGGAACTCTCGGTGAAGTGAAAGAGTACTACGAAGATGTGTACATGCCCAGAGACAATAGTAGGCACTGTTTAGAGAAATGCGACGAGGAAGGTCAGGAGAATGAGGACATTGATAAACTGCAACGATCCACTATGGATCTGCGTTTGACCGATATCTGTAGACCTGAAGAGCAAAAAATCCCTATACTGCTCAGCCCACAGAAAGTGTCCTGCGTGCAGGAGTACTACGAGGTTAGTCTGTCGACAGTCTGCTCAAAGCTGGACTCGCAGAGAATTGTTGAATTGCTAAAAGAGGCGATCAACACGAGGGTCCCGCCACAAAATATATTTGTAGAAACGAATGACCAAACAGACGGCGACGACGCGGAATCATTAACAGGATTCCTAAATTTAGAATACTCTGGTGGAATCCAAATCGAGCTAGTGGTTTGTGAGAATAAGTTGAAAGAGAAAAAAGGTCTCAAAATGAGGCGGATATCGGGAGACCAGAGGGAGTATGGGAAACTCTGTCAGCAGTTAATAACAAGTTTGACAGTCTAATTTGACAGTTAATGTCAATTTGATACCAAAACATTCTGGTTCTAGATATTTGATAAATTCGTGGTATATCAAAAGGGTTTATCATTATCGACTACAAAATTTTTCACATTGAAAAATTTTATAACTTAGCATTCGCATATGTCTAAAACCAGCTTTATTCTACTAGATAGCTTTCAATTTTGCATGTCAAAGTACTCGTACATGATCAATGGTATTTTGACAACCTGTTGACAGCTGTCAAAGTAACGTCAATTCAATACCAAAAAAGCTAATGTCAATATAGTATTCCTACGATTCCTGATTTAGTAAATTGTATATTTGATACGTAGTACATTAAGATTCGACTAGAGTTGCCATCTGGACTTCGTAAGCTGTACCGATCGCCCCCAGCCCCTCCCTCATCATAGGATCCCACTGTTGGACAAGTGTCTCCCTTCTCTCATTCCACTGTTCTTACCCATGTGCTTTTAAAAGGCCTAATTAGATAGGAATTACAATCTCTAAAATCTTCTGTCCAGTTTTGTGGTGTTACATTATAGATACAAAATCATAAGGTGAAAATATAATGTGAAAACTGGACAAGAGGCGGCGACATTGTCATTCTTAGCCGGAAGGCCCTCGCCTTGCTCCCGTCAACTCAGACTTACTATCCACTCGTCTGTTGCCAACTCTTCTACCACCCACAGCTATTTGAACTAGAAATTTTACAAAAAAATATTAAATTCTAGCTTTTAAAGTGAACGACTAGTATGATGTGCATTTATTAATTGAGATATCAATTCGTCCATTCCTATATACAAATTGTATGTAAATTCCTTTATATATATATGTAATATGATTTTTATATAATAAACATTGAGTGTTTGGTCAAGCAATAATTTAGAAATAGTGATCTATTTCGAAATAGTCTGACGATTTAACCTTATCTCTTTATATTATATATAGGAATATATATTAGAAAGATATTTCGTTCGCATGTTATGTTTTGAACAATGTAAATAATACCAAAATGTACACTAATGATTAAATCTCTTGTTAAATTTGTTTTGTTTTTATGTCTGTTTAAATTTTAATATAAAATTAGAAAATATAGTAAATTAAATGTGATATACTTATTAACGACTTCGAAATATGTTGTATGTAACATGTGAAATATAATATAATAATATGTTATGTCTACAATACACTGGATATAGATTGTCTATGACAACATGGCGCGCACATCCGAAATCAAAAGAGATTTCACGAGTAACGACAACAAATAAAGTTGAAATTTTTGACTTTTGAAACAAATTCTTTCTTTTTCATGAGATACTTATATTAATCATGACTCTTAATGAAAAATTATGAAGAGAAAATGTTGGAAGTATTTTATATTTTTTTATCCTATTTAAGAGCTGCGCTCTTGTCGGTGGAGCTCTTGCCACTCGGTACGATTGTCAGCAAGTCTCTTCACCTCTTGATACGACACGAGATCAATTCTTTCCTTGATCTGCCTGATGTAACTATGCCTTGGAGAAGGGGAAGACCCCTTCCCCTCATTTTCCCATCTTACTTTCTGTTATAATGTTCATAAGTTCGTCTTGTCGTATCAAGTGTCCCAACATTTTTTCCCTTCTGACCTCAATTGACTGTATTTTATATTGCAGTTGCCAAATTATAAAATTTGCAACTAAATTAAATTAAAATGTAAATTGAGCACAAAACTAAATACTAATAAATGTATATTAAAAATACTTAAAAACTGAATGTGTAGGCGATGTATTAAATAAAAAGTGATAAAACAGTTTTGTAAAATGTTTATTGAATAAGGAGATTTAGTGCTCAAGTCGAGAGTGAGGTGGACGACTAAGATGAACACCAAGTAGTATTAAAACGAACATGAAAAAGGGCGAACATAGTGCATGCCTTTTTTACGTGTACATAATTTATAAACTTTTTTTTGCAATGAGTACATTCAAATCACCTTGCAAAGAAATATATAAGATTGTCCGTCTCGGACGGCTGTTGGTTCATTCATAGAACATTATCTCTCTACTGGATTCACTACTGAAGACATTTCCTTATAAACTATCTATATATATGTCATACACGTCCAAGTAAAAAGTTGGAGGGGCATGCCACGTTGACGTAGATAATTTATTGTTTAGTCAAAGCTGACACAGTACATGTTATTACTGGTTTTACATATTAAAATAATATCGTTCTGAAATTTTTATTGCTCTGTGAAACAGTCCTGCCGTATAAAATGGACAAGTGCTAAGTTTTATAGTATTCCTTTATTGACAATAAATGTTTTCGCGTAATATTTTGCCGCATCTCAATATAATATGTACCAAAATTGTCCTATTAAAAATTGTTATTTATTTTTGTTACTCGATTATTTTTATTATTATTAAATTTGGTGACAGAACCAGGAAGCTCTGTGCCTGTCCGTATGTATCATTGGTAAGGTTTTCACCTTTATATTTATGAAAAAAAATTCCATAATAGACTTATAAACTATTCTTTTAATAAACATCAAGAAATGGCGCTAGTGAGGCGATTATAATGATATGTTTCATTATAAAGAGAATATAAAAAAAATAAAAATAAATAACCATTCTATTAATTATTATATTCCAAAACTATTTCGCATCACTAGTGACATCTCTTGGCGTTTTCGAATTATAATACTAACACTCGATCCGTCATTCCATAAATCTTTGAATGTAAACGAAGTGGACGTACGCTGGATCCTGCTGAGAACGATTCGATTCGAATTTAAATCGCTACTTTGTTATGTCCGTCATAAAATTTTATATATTGCATGCAGATATCGTTGGCGAACCGTAACTAGCTATAGAATACGGCGATTCGTAGCGGCCGTATCGAATTGTGATTAGTCAAAATAAATATGTTAATATTAAAATGTATATATAAAATATATTGTATATCAAATTTTCCGACATCTGTGCGCATATCTGTATAGTACGTATGTTATTTATTCCAAATAAAGTCTAGGTGATAATTCCATTCTAGTAATAGATGAGGTTAGGTAATTGTAAATAATTAGTCTAAGTTAATGTTGGTTACATTACACTATTCTGTGGACGCAGTCGGGTAAAGCTGTGTTTGGTGTACTGGTGTGTTGTTTTTGTTACCAAATTGTTTTAACATTATTTCTAGTGCATCATTTATAAGCAAAATCGAGAATTTACAGATTTGCTATTTGAAAATTCCTCCCTCTAAAGCCAGTCCTCATAGGTAAAGTATTTTTTTTTTTTATTAAATTACTTTTTACTATTACTAAAATACACAAACTTTTTTTTTTTTAAGAATAGAAAAACAACATACAAATGAAGGCACCGGACACGGCCTGTGCGGTACAGCCGTATGTAAGACACGCGAGGTTGTAAAGCATCGTACGGGGTATTCTGGTGTGCGGGAGAGACGGCACGTGTTGTTATCTCACTTGTATAATGTTTTTATGTTGCCAAGTCTTTTTGTAACCCTTTCGTATTACAGTCAAAACTAAAATGGATCATACAATATATTGTAAAATATATTGTTTAATTTAAAAATAAATTAAATGCTGTTTTCGCTACAGCCATCTCTGTCGCACACTATGTAGACAATTAGCCTAGATACTGTATTGCCATAAGTATGTAGAACCAAGTTATAAAAATTTACGATCTTGTAAATATAATTTTAATAAAAACGATCCCGAATCCAATAATGTTGTCTGTTGTTTTATTATATTACTAGCGGCCCGTCCCGACGTCGCACGGGTGGACATTTGTACATTTTAAAAAGTAGCCATTAAGGCTGCGCACGCGACGAGGCTTAAAAATGGAGTAACTTCTCCCGTTTTCCCAACATTTACCTTCACTGCTCTGCTCCTATTGATCGTAGCGTCATGAAAAGTATACTATAACCTGCCCAGGAGTATAAAGAATAATTGTACCAAGTTTCGTTAAAATCCGTCGAGTAGTTTTTGTTTCTATAACGAACATACAGACAGACAGACAAAAATTTTACTGATTGCATTTTGTCATCAGTATCGATCACTAATCACCCCCTGATAGTTATTTTGCAAATATATTTCATGTACAGAATTGACCTCTCCACAGGTTTATTATAAGTATAGATAGACTGTCCACTGGTGAACATAGGCCACCCCATAATCCCCTTATGTAGTAACCTTGCCAGTATTCGCCAAACTTTGCATACCAATTGGCAACCACAGTTAGGCGGGGGGGAAAGGTATTGTTAGTAATGGGGTCAAATAGTCCCATTACTATCAATATACTCTGTCAGGTCGACCTCCACGTGTGGTTCCCCCTGATGACCTATATTATACACGAAATTGAAATATATATATATATATAACCCAACTCTAACTTGACCGTATTTGCAACATACCAAACAAAACAACGTTTATAATGAGGAATGTATAATTAATAGGGCGCCATTCTTTCCGTCCTTGAACAATTGGGAGGATGCCTGCGTTTATACGCGACTTCCTTCCGCAGCCGCGCGGCGCACAGCGGGAACTCTCCTAAGAAAGCCATCTCATAAATACTTTTTCTAAAACTCTGTGGATATGCATGTATAATACCTCAAATTGTAGCTAAAGAGTTACTCTATCATTATAAGTATGATTCAAATCTGTCACTGTTCATACTTCATAGAACAGAGCATCTAAAGTCAAGGAATGAAAAAAATACAAAAATAATTATGAAACTTAAATTTCGTTTGGTATAATTTTATAGTATCAAAACAATAGAGGTCATATAGTGTGATACCATTTTAAAATGCTTAGAATGTGTACTTTACTATAAAATAAAAATATATTTAGTTTAGTACAATATTACTTAACCAAAGAACCATATATCGTTATATGTATTATTTTCTTTTCTCAAACTTTCAGTTGGAGATTTGACAGTTGCCGAAGCTTGCCGAAGTTCTGATTTTGGTTTAATTTATTAGGAAATATAATGTAATTTGAGGGCAAAAGATTTTTTTTTGCAGTTTTACTGCGTAATATATTTAAATCTAGTATAATATCATGGTGAGAATGTTTTTTTCTAAGTACGTATATTAAGATTTTTTTCTTTATTTGAGATTATCTGTCTGGACACTCAAAAAAATACTTTTGTCTCAATTATTACTTTATATTTTATCTTTTACGTTACTTTTAACAAGTATTTCACATAGTATTTAGTTCCCATTTCCATACAGACCTATTCTTTACCGCATAACCGCATAATGATGAATTTTTTAAATGAAGTAATTTTGCACACGTCTATGATCATTATTAAGTATAAAATAGTGCATTTACATATGAAATATTACAGTTCTTTATAAGCATTTGTTATTTCTAAACAATTGTTAATTACTTATCTCTCCGCAATAAGTGAAGTCTCGTGTACCGGACGCGACTTAAGTCTCTTATTGTTGAAAGTGATACAAATTATATTGATTATATCTCAAACTATGTACGAAATAATATTACCGAATCTTCAGATGCGAATATAGAATTTTTGCTATATTCGCAAGTATTTAGAAGTCCTTCATAACTCAGTTTCGTCAACGCTATACGAAATGTGGTCGAAAGAAAGAACAGTTTTTAAATCAAAATAGCAATTGGTTTAATGTCATTTTCACTGTAAATCTAGAAAAAACAACATGCGAACCTGAACCTACTACTTCGACAGAGAAAAGAGGAAGACCTTCTAAAAGATACAATGACAGTTCAGAGAGTACAAAGAAACGGAAAAACAAGGGACTGCTTGATACCTATGGACTTGATTTCATACTGAACTCATATGTACAGGGTTTAAGGTCACGTGGTGAAGTAGATGAAGCATTCATCGTTGATATTTTACGAGCATGGCCGTCAGAAAAAAAGAGTGAAATACGCAGTAATTTTCTTAATGAACCGACAAATATAACAGCATATTCAAAAGATGAAGATCTTAGCATTTTTATAGAATTGGATCTGAACAAGGCACAGTAAGAAAATATGATGAGTTGTTTGATAGCAAAGAATTGCTTATTGTTTCCATCATACAAGTTGATTCGTGAAGTTACAGAATCTTGCTATCCGCAAAATCACAAGGTGTTGATTCATTGTGAAAGTGTGATACGTTACTTTTCTGTCTTGCCTTTTGGGCAACTTTTAGAAGATGATCAAGAGTCACGGAACAAAGACTATAAACAGTTCAGGCTTCATCATGCAAGACAATGTTCGAGGGTAGCCACTAACGAAGATGTTCTACACGCACTTTTATATACCTCTGACCCATACATACAAGTTTAAGAAAACCTTCCAATAAAAAATATTTAGAACTTTTTGATGAAGTATATATATATATATATATATATATATATATTTGTATTTTATATATATATTATATAAATATATATATGTAAGCCTACAAATTTTATATTTCTTGTATTCCTATATTATTTATAACTATTAGAAATACATTTTTACTCACAACGCATACATAATTTAAAAGCATATATATTTAAGATTATCAGGAAAAAAAATCATGTACATATCTTTATTAATACGGAAGTTATAGATTTATGAGATGAAAAGGAGTTAAAGTTCCCACTGTGCGGCGTCGCGCTGTCGTGCCCGCGGACACACCGTCTAGACGTCTGTACGTCTGTCACATTTTTTATGAGTGATAATGAAATGGTAATCCCGTCTGTGCTATCGGTATAGCTGGCGGAGCGCCAGTGACAGGTTGTTTTTTTTTAATAGGTTATAATGGAATGGCATCCCGCTTACGCTATTGGTATATACCGGCGGGGCACCAGTAAGAGATGATAGGTGAGGATGAAGTAGGTCAGTTAGCCCATCGTGACGAATTCAACAAGAATTGTTTACGATGGTTTCCAGGAGGAACCACGTGGAGGTAAAAAAAAATATCAAAAATATTAATGCCTGTAAACCGTAAATCAAAAGTTATTAGGTGTCAACCCTATCTAAATAATAAAAAAAGACTTGTGGTAAATAGGTAGATAAGTAGTAAGTTTTGCCTATTCAATTTTAATTATAAAAGTTGTAAATTAAACTAATTAGACATTTAAAAATAACAAATAGTCGTTTTTCGTCGTCATTTAAGTATAAAAATACTTGGCAAAAAATATAAGAGCTATAATTTCCTAACACAAAAACCTCAATCGATCAGCACGCACAGGAAATTGGCGACATTTGTAAAGAGAAAAAAAACTGTCAAAGTGTGGTGCAGGAAACGAAAATTTCGTTTAATTGGCACACATAATTAGGTAAACCACCAATTTAAGACTAAAATCTGCAAAAACTTACTTTCAAATAATAAGCATAAGATTCTAAATTGAAAATTGCAAAGAATTGTGTCCCGTCTGAAGAAGGCCCGTATACCACATAAAAAGTCAAAATAAAAGAATACTGTAAAAAGTATCTTATTTCTACTTTCACTAAGGTCGAAAATGTTAAAGCTAGGCAGAAAGGACAATTGCATTCAAGGACAACAAGGAAGAAAGCCAAAAAACGTTAAACAGATTATAAAGATGTTTGAATCGCCGCCACGTGCAGTGGCGGCTGCGCCGGATGGCCCAATCGCGCTGGCAATTTAGAGAAAAAAAAATAAAGCTAATCAGATGTTCTAAACGTTTATTTTTTAATGCTGTGAGATTATCTGATTGTCGGTCCGCGCTGCCTAATGTTTCTCGCTCGTATATCAATAAATTAATCTGTACCTACGGTGCATGTGGACTTTTTTTTTGATGGGTGAAAATGGTATGGTAACCCCACTTGCGCTAACGGTATACGCTGGTGGGGCACCAGTGAAGGGTGATAGATGAGGATGAAAACAGGCCAGTTAGCACATCATGATGAATTCATCAGGAATTAACCATGATAGTTTCTAGGGAAAACCGCGAGGAGGTCGACCTTCATTCTCATCGATATACGTATCCCGTTAGCGCAGGCGGGGTTCCATTGTATTTTCACTCATCAAAAAATACCCTATTTCGAGTTGATCTGTCATTTACGCGACCCTCACTTCTTTTGCATGCCTTTCTTACCTACTCGTACCCACGTAAACGTCTAATTAAATAAATACAAGTAAATGCCTCTTCTCTTCTTACCTAGAAGATGTCAAAACGTGAATTAAACCACTTTATATTTTAAGCATAATCTGTATTTGTATTATATTAAAAAAAAAAAAATACCCAAAAAGAAAAATGTTGACGTCACCCTAATTTTTTCTAAAAACCGGTAAAATCTGACACATTTTGACAGCCGACCTTAACGGATGTGACTAATTTCGCGTTTCTACCAAAAATAAGCTGTTTATCCCCAATCCGGCTATATGATAAGCTTTACGCAAGACGCCGAAAAATAAACCCTATTTATAGAGCTATTGTCGTACACGGAATAAAAACCTTATTATACTGTTCTCACTTCCGTCTTGAGACTCTTGTGACAGTTTTTTTTATTGGAACGTGTTCCGGCTTGGGTGTCAAATTATACATCTTCACATTGATTTCGTTTCAGAGGTTCCATTTCAATAGCTACTGTTTTTTTACTAAACTATGGTAAATCCGTATGAAATTTAGGTAGAATATTTAAATTTGCAGACAAGTGAAACGTATAAAAAATGTAACGAAAAGGTCTCTCCGATAAAGGGCCGTTTGACGGTAGTTGCCACACTTGGCATGCGGGTTGGCAACCGCAGTTAGGCTTTAGTGATAGGAAAAGGAAGGGATGTAGGCCATCCCTTCCTTTTCCCATTTTCTATGCCGGGCTACACTGCAAAATCATATGCTGGCATTCTATGCCGGGGCTACACTGCAAAATCATATGCTGGCATTCTATGCCGGGCTACACTGCAAAATCATATGCTGGCATTCTATGCCGGGGCTACACTGCAAAATCATATGCTGGCATTCTATGCCGGGGTTACACTGCAAAATCATTTGTGAAAGAACAATTTATTCGAAGAAAAATCGTTACAACGTCAATATATTTTTTTTCAATCTATTGCTTCTGGGGAGGGGATTATTAGTAATTCGGACTACCAGTCTCATTACTAGCATTATACCCTGTCAGGTCGGCCTCCACGTGGTCCCTCTTGGAAACCATCGTGCTGATGTCCAGATGAATTCATCACGGTGGGATAACTGACCTGCTTATTCATTCTCAACTATCATCTCTCACTGGTGCCCCGCCAGCGTATACCGTTAACGCAGGCGGGGCTACAATTCCATTATCATTTATTAAAAAAAATCTATTGTGTATAAGCAATAGATTTTTTTAATATATTCATAGAGGATCAAAAAAATATGATTTTCGTTTTTGGCACTTGTCTCTAAGAAAATTGAGACTACAAACTATTACAATATAATCGTAAATTTTAAAAACCCTTACCGAGGTCAAAGGTATTAAGATCTGTCAATACCATTGAAAGAGCTAATGACAGTAGTATGCCCAAGGATATATACATATTATGTAAAGCCACTGTGATATCACGCTAATAACTCATTTCCGACCACGTGGGGGTAGCAAGCAACCGACGAATTCACAATAAAGCTGTTTACAGACCGCGTCCGGTGGCGCACTTCCGTTCGGACCATACAACTCTAGATCTTTTATGTAAAAAAAAAAATTACAAACGTGATTTCTACATCAAATAAGTCACGTATTCTAGCTAGGAATGTTGAGTTTGTTGATGTTGCTTTTGGTTTAAAAAAAATATCTCCATTGCCCTTTACAATACAATACAAAAGAGGACCTTGTAATGCTATTAAAAACTTTAGTTTTATTTTTATTTCCAGATTACTTATATGCCCCGATTGTTTATATTTTTTTATTATTTCAGCCGTTAACTGTCCAATGCTGGACATAAGCCTTCCCCATAAGGGGAGTTTTGTCAATAGTTGCCACGCTTGGCAGGTGAGCTGGCAACCGCAGTTAGACTTTTAGAGATGTTTTAAGAGGGACGCTGCTGCCCATCTCTCGCCTTCCCACAGTCGCCTCTTAAGACACCCACGGGAGAAGAAGGAGTGACCCATTTTATGCCGAGACACAGCAATTATTGTTTATATGTTTATTTAAAAATTGCTAATGCAAAGCACAATTGTTGACAAGAAAAGTCATAATTTTATAAAATATTTTTATATATATAAATAACATAAATATTATTGAAATTTTATTTATTAATTAGTGTGTATTTTAATAAATGGATCTGAAGAGTTTTATCTCAAATCGTTATTCATTATAAATAAATCATTCGTGTTAGTAATCCACTAGGCTTACTGCTGTCATTAAAGTTGACACACATTCTTCAAAATAATTGAAAATATATTTACGGCGGCCTGCACAGCAATTGATTTTAAATAACTGCTAATTAATACAATATATTTAAATGCGTTTATCTGCCTGAATGCGGTATACTGAAGGGTTGTTATATTTATCTGTTGTCCAGCTCCGCTGTTGACATTTCTTCAACCTCACCTGCTCTTTGTAAATTGAGTGTCTCTATTGAACGGAATCATATTTAAAGGCATATACCTGTTATTGTTTTCATACAAAAGCCATTAATAATAGTGTTAGTGAAACAGTAAAAATGTACACAATGACCACACCGGATAGGACAAACAAGGGAGTCGTTATGTTTAAAAGGACAGGACATCCCAGACTTTACAACCTTTGCTCCATAGACAGCACCACTAGGATTGTTTACAATGCACTTCCGTTTCCGGGAGGGACGGACAAAACGATCTTTTATTATATTAATAAAAGCTACATCGGCGACTTACTGTCTGAGGTGCAACACGATGAAAAAAGAACTGTTTATATTCTCATTGTTAGCGCTGGTTCTGTAAAATTGTTGGACACGCTTGCGATTCCATTAGAAACAACGAAACAATATGGAAACCTGCAATTGTCAACAATACGTACTATACAAGATCTATTTGTTTTTCTATAAAACTCTGTTAAGGATCTTCGCAATTTTCGTAAACCTTAAGAACACTGCGATCGGGAATTATTTTATGCAACTTAGAATGGCAGACAAACTGACGGCCCACCTGATGGAAAGTGATAACCGACGCCTATAGACATGACATAATAGCAGTACCATGGACCATTCCTGAGGACTCAGGTTTATTCCCATTCTGTTTTGCCCATACACAGCCGGGGGGAAAGGGATGTCGCACAAGTAATGGAGACGAGAATTGCCATTCCTGAGGAAAACTCATGGTTAATTATGAATTCATCTATTCTCTGGAAAATTCATTGGTGCTCCGCCAGCGTTCAAACCCCATCAACATAAACAGCTATGCAAATACAACTGCTTCACGGTAGAACCACGAACGGGACGCAAACGACTTTTGTACAAGTCTAGTGAAATTAATCTTACTTTATACATACACTCCGTACTTTGTTCAATAGAAAAAATAAAATGATAACCCCATCTGTGCTGGTATATGTTAGTTTAAAAAAAGTATTTCTAATAGGTACTTTGTCGCAGTCTTAGCTTTCTTATGACTTAGGTATAAATTTAGTGAATTTCATTCGCCTTGCAGCTTTGTCTTATTCGATGGTCAGTATCGATCAACAAGGATAAGTTGCCTAGAGCACAGTAGATATAATCCGCAGTTATGGCAACTATCTCTTAACACAGCAGGTAGAATTTCCAGACACTGGCCGTGTGTTATTGTTTATTGAATGTTTTTTTTTTTGTATAATTTCTACATGTATTTTTACACAGTAATTAATGTCTAGTTTGAGTACGGACTCTCTTAATATATGGCTGTTGGTATCTGCCATTATATATTAAAAATATTTTGCGCGGGAAACTGAAATAGCGGCGGAAACGCGCCCATAATTATCGTTTTGAACATAATTATATTGAGCATTGCGAAATCTTTTATGTTGAAACTCGACTCTAATCTAATGTAGGACAGTGTATATTTGGACACCTTAGGAATTCACATAAGATGTTTGAAATGAAATAGATGATACGGAAACGATTAGTTTCACAGCCACATGCTGACAGGCAGGATGCTAGATATTCATTATCGATTCTAAAACATATTCTATCTTTCGCTCGCGTATGGCGATCAGAGAAGGTGGGAAAAGAATAGTAAATACCCGCATCCGGTCACTGACGGCGCATGCTTGCAAATACGTTACGAAAATATAACGTTAGAAACGTCACTTTGCACAGGTGAAATGTTCGTCCTTACCGCTCACGTAATAGAGTTAAATTTTCAGTGTAGTACCTATCGTATAATATTTTTTACGTATACAGGATCGTTTGCATTCATTCATTCGAACATGAAATTCACGATTCACAAATTTACTTGTTCATTCATTCAGTCGTCAACATCTGTTGAGGAAGGTTGTGCTTACGCAAGTAAGTAGGGAAATTACGCGCTAACTTCGTATACGCCATTCGGTTTTGCGAATTATTGTGGAGATTTTGTGATTAATCAAATAAAGTGAAAATTGGTGGTTGAAGATACCAGGAATAAAAAGGGATTTATTTATCACTATTTTTATGGTAAGTTATTCTATTATAGTATAATATTGGGTAACCACTGACATAACTGCCCCTGTTTTAGGCATCTGTTCACAATTACTTTTATAATAAATATTAGGGTATTAACTAATATATAATTAACTAATTCAATGTAACAATTAATATGTATTTAGAATAATTATTTGGACATATGTAATTGATAAATTTTTACTTAACATGTGCTAAGACAATTATTATTAGATAAGGCTGTGTAGCTGTATTCCGTACGGTAAATTATTCCGATTACATTTATTACCTGTATTCGTTCCGTATCGGTATATAAAATATCCTATCTTGTAAGTTAGTATACAATCCATTCGAGTCCCAAATTGCATTTAATTTGTTTTTCGTGAAAAAGTAACAAGCAACCATTCGTCCTCGCAAACATTCGCATTTAAATAGTACACAATGTGAGCAGGGGTGATGCGACCAGCCTCCTAGGTACTGTTCATAACAAACAAGAATTGCCATTTGAAGGGTCATTTTCAACCAACTTTAAAAAGAAGGAGATTCCTGATTGATCACTGATGAATTAAGTTGTAATCTTTTTTGTTTGTTACCTCATAACTCCGTCAGTTGTAAATCGATTTGGAAAATATTTTTATATCTGTAAGAATAGATATACTTAAAAAAATATTAAAATCGGTTCAGTAATTTTAATTATTACATGCAATGATCGAATGTATCCCAGTTTATGTTCGATTTTGTCCACCAAAACCTCAATCCTACTAGATCTTTTTCTTTTTATACAACTTAGAATGGCAAACAAGCTGACGGCCCACCTGATGGAAAGTGGTTACCGTCGCCTATACACATGAGCAGTACCATGGACATAATACAGTGTACTGCTTCGCCCATGATACCCCCCATGCGTTGCCATTCCTGAGGACTCAGGTGTTATTCCTCTGTACCCAGTAAATTCACGCCATATCCCACCCTTCAACACGATTGAAACACGAATGGGACAGAGGATTTGATAAACATATACGTTGTACTGTACCAAGCTGCCACGTTTCTCTTCTAGAGAGACTCCTGTGCCCAGCAGTGGAATGTTAATGAGTTATATTGGCATTGGCCTTAATCAAGTATCCAGGAGCCCTTACCAAATTTCATTAAAATATCTCCCGCCTCTTGGCTGTGTATCGTAGAAAATTATTCACATTTATTGATCCAAGAACATCGCTGAGTAGCTTCGACAGATAATATAAGTCTTATTAACATGGCACATATACATACATCACCGTCATCATATTACACTTTGACTGTCCACTGCTAAACATAAGCCTTTCCCTTTTGCCAGTAGTTGCCACGCTTGGCAAGCGGATTGGCAATAGCAGTCAGGCTTTAGAGAAGTTACAAGAGGGATTCTGTTGCCCATCCCTCGGCCTCCCTTAGTCGGCTCTTACGACACCCACGGGATAGGAAAGGAGGCCTATTCTATGTCGCGACCGCACGGTACATAGTATATGGAGGGTTTATTTAAAATCATCAATCAAACTTAGACCATTCCGCATTTTTGTTCAAAATTATAGATGTCAATTTTATGGGAGGCGCCCTCTTACAATAAATTTAGGAGGCTGATTAATCAGTCAATGGATGCGCTAACGCAATTTTGTTTGATTTATAATTATAATCTTAGATTCTAGCAAAGATCCCCTCTTAGGTACACCAACAGCTTGCTTAGCATCTCAAGCATAAAAAAATTACGCAAGATTGACATATATAAATAGAAATAAGAAATTAATTAAATGGGAAATGAAACTTATTTATATAGGTATTATATCCTATACAAAAGCAAAGGAACAAACAAAGCCATGTATTAGAATGTTTTGGTAATTTTTACACACGTATTATTTTCAGGGATGGGCTAGATCTTAAAAAGGGCACACATGTATCTACCTACCAAGAGAAAAAATTGAATACGGAAAATTTTATTTGCATTCTATATTGCGAGGAAACGTCATTACTATTATTTACGTCAATATCCTTTAAAGTTACCAATTTAAACATCCGATACTTAAAGTTCACAGGTATAAATTAAAAAAAAACTTCCCATACTACTTAATCAGTATGTAACATGTTTCCTTCGTCTTAAAAAACAATTACGCGCCATAATGACGAGTTCCCGCCATTGTGTTGCCGGATGGAGAGAGCGCGGGAGAGTTGGCGGGAAACGCAACAATAGTCGACAATTATCTTAAATTGCGGATTTTATACTCTCACGGCTTTCTCAGAAATATGTCAGTATATATGTATGTCAGAGTAATAGCGGATGCTTCACTCTTCCATTTTTATCATAACATTTGCTACCTATTGTTTTACTGTTGGTCGATTATGAGGCGCCATTCCTAAGTCTATATCTAAAATTTAAATTTGATATCACAGCAAAATTATTATTCTAAGGATCAATATGAACTAATTTTCTAATAGATTTGAGTAAAAATTATTAAAAATTTAGTTTGTGATAGTCTATAAAACAGTAATTTTGCAAAATTACCAAATTAAAATAATAAATACAAGTTTAAAGAAATAGCGCCTCAGAATTTGTCACATTGTCACGATGTATATATAGTATACGGTACGTATACATATATTCTTATACCTACTATTCACCTAGTTTACGAAATCTACAGAATAAATTTTAATGTAGGTAACTAGTTAATCTTTTCGAAAATAAAATATAAAATTGTAACTGTAATAATAAATGTGTAACGAGCGTAAAGATACACTCGTCCATCCGAACGTACTATGTTATGACATAGTATAATGTACTTTCGTATACTTCATAATTTATGCTGAAGATTCAGTCTGCAAATTCATCCGTAGCTCGTTTTATAATAATGATAACGATAGGTAATTAACTTTTTATTTAGAATAAACAATACATTATAAACAGCCCAATAAAATGTAACCATAAACAATGGTGCATTAAAGGATGTACGTAGAGCAGAACAGACGTTATATCTTTGCCAGCGGATAATAAAAAGCCGACGTTCCTTTTTTGAGACGAGCGGAAGTGTCGATTTCGATTATGGTACGTCCGTCCGTTTGGCGGGAAGGCGCGTTTCCGTTAAAGTTGGCGGGATTTTTTTTTTATAATTTTTCCCTCTGCTGTAAATAACAGAAATACAGGTAATTGTAAAATAAATAAGTGTATGCCACTACATACAACCTACACCAACACATACAACATACAACCATTACAAAAAAAAAATCAAATAAATTTTATTATGATATTATTATAAAACACTATCGTGACTCAACGCGATGGATAATTGCAGATAAATAGTACGTACATATCTGCTTTTTATTGCCAACATTTCGACTTTATTTATTTTAGATATACTTAATATCTAAAGTCAACAACGCGAACATTTTAAATTAACTAATTTTATTGTGATTCTTAATAAGTATACTATCAATTTTAATTTTGTTTATTAAATACAGAAATAATATCTTATTAATATAATAACATTGTAACCAGACAACCCGTCCTTTACATCGGAGATATTTAAGAAAAAATGAAATGGGGCTTCTTGATAAGATCAATAGAAGGCAAAACAATACGTTTTAGTATTGTTTTCTGTCTGTACTGTTTTTGGTATTATGCAAAAATTACTCTACCAAATTAGAGGCGGTTTTTACAATTATGTTCTGAAGGTCCAAGTTAAAATCTTGTGTAAGTTTTATCTAAACGTAGTCACCCATTTCCAAAATCCCCAAATGTAAAGTTACGGGCAAATTCTAAGTTATCATCATTTTTATTATATAGTTTTACAAATTAGGTATACATAAAATATAGAATATTAACTATTCTATTTTTATTATTAACCTCTGATGTTCCACTGTAGTGCAAAGGTTTCCCTCCATTCTTCTGATCCACTTTTCATCATCTTTAATGCGCGTTTGCGAGCGCAATGTGATGTTGAATACGCCATCAACAGGGAATTTATCTGCACATACTAGAATCGTATCGAGTACAGTGCGGTTTCCAAGGAGCTTCCTTTTGCGAATTTGTCTATACTTTCAGATTGGCCCCACAGAATTCACTTACACAATCAATTTAGTAGTTTGGGTTTTAAATAAAACAAAAATGCCACGATTGAAAACAGTGCTTTATTTGTTTTGTAAAGCAAAATAGATTATTATTGTATAGATAAACAATAAATATAATAATAATATAAACAATAAACTCTTGCGACATACTCGGAGACAGTGGCGTAGTAAATACCTTTTCACGCATGGCTACACTGTTGCTAGGAAACGAGCTCTCGTATGAAAAATAACAAGACCGTTATTTTCATACGAGCTTGAATACACGACCAATCAAACATACCAAATTCTTTGTAAATAATCTATAAATTCATTGCAATTATATCTATTATGAGTACATTCATTATGAAGACTGGAATAATCATCTTATGTCCCCGTTTCCTACTGCCAAAGAACGCACATGCACATAGAGGCTGGCAGTTTTTACTTTAATAGATGATAATGGAATGGTAACCCCACCCGCGCTATCGGTATACACCGGCGGGGCACCAGTGAAGGATAATAGGTGAGGGTGAAGTAGGTCAAATAGCCCATCGTGACGAATTCAACAAGAATTGTTGAATTCGATGGTTTCCAGGGGGAACCACGTGAAGGTCGACCTAATAGGGCATATTGCTAGCAATGGGGCTGTCAAACTCCATTGCTAACAATCCCTTTCCCCCTGGACTGGCAATTCATCCACGCAACTAAATGTCTTCATACATACATGTCGCTTACTTTCGTTCTTCTGTACTAATCACGTTTCGCCCATGAGACATCTGTGCTTGTACTGAAAACCAGTCCAGTTTGAAGAGTAAGATGGCAGCAAAATTATAGGGCACAGAAGCATATGGGAGACGCACGGTACGACATAAGAGATACTATGGGAAACGTAAAATATTGTGTGATATCCGTGGGGTCATTCATGATAATAGACGACGGTTATCACATTCCATCAAATGGGATGGACCGACCACTAATTTGCCAAAAAGAAAATGAAATGCCAGTCGGGAGTGTAGGTACTATTATTTATTTGTATAATTTGTACGGATTAGTGACGTATTATGTATAATTGTGTCAGGATGTCACCATCCTCCGTCGACAGTCGTCGGCCAACAAAAGCAAATAATTATATAATAGGCCACCCGTCAGCCGCCACATTTAATCCGCCATTGCTCGCCCACATCCCGTTTCCGGCAAAATGGCGCCGAATCGGTTTCCGCGATGCTATTCAATATTTGGTATTTGTTAATTTCTGAATGTAACGGATATCCTATATTGTCGCGCTCGCGGCTCGACCGGTTGGCTGTATTCAAATGGATTACATTATATCGAGAGATGTATTCAGGTGCATTATTTGTCCCTACTTGTATTGCAATAAATAGACGGCAAACTTTTTCTAGCAAAACTGATACATTATTTGTCTATGTTAATGTCTCTCCGTATGAGAATGTTGCTATTATCAAACTTCTGAGTTGGAATATAGCTAACAACAATTTAAAGTTACAACTGATGGAAAACCGTTAGCAAAGAGACAGCGGTAGCTGTGGCAGTAGGCTCGCCCCTTATCATGTTGATTTCTTGACATGTGTGATCATATCGAATAGAAATTGAGTTCACAAAAACAGTGACAGTCGATAAATTCCTCTAGAGGATTAGTCCTGTGCATACAGTAAAGTTGCACTGTGTTATTTAAATTTGGCACTACACTATACTAAATTAACAAAACAAAAAAAAGGCTTTATATAGGCTGTGTTTATCAATTAATAAGTATTGAATTTGTAAGTTTTCGTATAAAATTTGTTCAAAATATTGGCACCATTTTTAAATTTAGAATTTCAATTAACTTTTTTTGTTTTGTGCGCTGCAGACGTTCGAGTGCGCCAGTGAGAGCATGCCGTCGCGCGCCCGCTGCGAGCGCGTGCCGCCCGCCGACGGCGGCGGCTGGACCGCGCTGCACCTCGCCGCCTTGCAGGAGGACGACTTGCCATTAGGTATTGTCATGTTACCACGCACATAGCTCGCCAATCGAATAACAACTGAACTCTCCCCGTTCTAAATGGAATGTGAGTCAGGCCCCATTTTGTTAGACACTAGCTTTTTGCCCGCTACTTTGTACGTGTAGTTGCAAAAAAAGAAAAACCAATGCTGTAGACTACTTGTAGATGTGGTGTCAAGATAAAACATACCCCACACTTTAATACCTCCAGGAACATAACTGTGACAACCGTATCCAATTCAGTGCAGGAGTTTTTGTGTGCTACCGGAATAAACATACGAATAGATATTAGTCTTCAAATTCAATTTTTTTCTTAAATGTCTCCCGTGTACAGGCATTGTTTTACCAGAGGGGAATTTTGTACAAAAGTCGATTGCGAGTACCTCTGTCCCATTCGTGTTTCAACCGTAAAGCAGTTGTGTTTGCATGACTGTGTTTCGGTTTGAAGGGTGGGATATGGCGTAAATTTACTGGGTACAGAGGAATAACATCTGAGTCCTCAGGAATGGCACCGCATCGGGGGTATCATGGGCGAAACAGTATACTCTGTTATGTCCATGGTACTGCTCATGTTTATAGGCGACGGTTACCACTTTACATCAGGTGGGCTGTCAGCTTGTTTGCCATTCTAAGTTGTATAAAAAAAAAGGTATATAGTATCTTTCAATGGTTGAAGTAATGGGGATGCTTGTCCCCATTACTATCAATATTCCTTGTTAGGTAAACGTCACATGGTTAATCTAAAAACCATTGTAGTTAATTTGTCATGATGGACTAACTGAGCTGACTTCACCCCCATCATTTTATCCCCCACTGTATACGGTTGGCGGAGCATTCCATGTACATATGAGTGGTTGTGCACCCGCAGACCCGCGGTCGTGGGGCCGCGCGGAGGTGGGCCGCTGGGTGGCGCGGCGCGGCGGGCTGCCCGAGCGGTTCCCCATGAACGGGAAGGCGCTCTGCCTCATGACCAAGGAGATGTTCGCCAGCCGCGTGCCGCACTCCGGCCACGCGCTGCACCAGGTCAATACTCACTCTTTATATAAACATAATATAGGTATATAGGAGGGAAAGGGATTGTTAGCAATGGGGTTTGACAGCCCCATTGCTAGCAATATGCCTTATTAGGTCGACCTCCACGTGGTTCCCCTGGAAACCATCGTGAACAATTCTTGTTGAATTCGTCACGATGAGCTAACTGACCTACTTCATCCTCATCTATCATCCTTCACTGGTGCCCCGCCGGTGTATACCGATAGCGCGGGTGGGGCTACCATTCCATTATCATCCATTAAAAAATGTGTGTAGGTGTCGCGCAGATGCAAACTGGAAATCAGTGAATGCACAAGAGTTCATGAAAACTTCAATTTAATGTTTTTATAACCAGATACAAAAAAAATAAAGTTTTTGATGAACATCGCAGCTCACTGTAGTCACAAACATCACAGGATACATACATTCTTGAAGAATTTGTAAGATGTAATTTCATTGTTGTATCCCATGCTTCAATCCAAACCACTACCATGTAGGAATAGTGACTTCAGAACAGCGCGTCTTAGACTTGACTGAAATGACACTGTCACTGTTAGTGAGGGACGACACCATCACTAGATTATAACACCAACACGGTGGTAAACTCTGAATATTGCAAAAGAACTGTCAAAATCGGCTCAAAATTGGTATATGTCGTACAACGTAAAAAAAGTGTGATCACCACCGCCAGGGGAAGATTTTGTACAAAAGTCATTTGCTTGGGTATCTCTGTCGCATTCGTGTTTCAACCGTGAAGCCATTGTGTTTCCATGGCTGTGTTTTGATTTGAAGGGTAGGATATGGCGTGAATTTACTGGGTACAGAGGAATAACACCTGAGTCCTCAGGAATGGCAACACATGGGGGGTATCATGGGCGAAACAGTATACTCTGTTATGACATGGTACTGCTCTGTCTATAGGCGACGGTTACCACTTTCCATCAGGTGGGTCGTCAGCTTGTTTGCCATTCTAAGTTGTATAAAAAAAAAAAGTAAACCCTAAATATCGCAAACGAACTGTCAAACTGTATCTGCAAAAGAATTGATAAAGATGTCGTACAACATAAAAAAGAGCGACCACCACCGTCCATTTTCATTCACTGAAAAAGGCATTTCTTTTCCAGGATTTCAGAAGAAGATTAGCAAAGGCGTTGGCCCTTCAGGAGTTGTTCGAGAAGATGTCGCCTATGTAATGTACAAACAGGAATGTTTGGAACTTCCCCAGGATCGTCCTTTCTGAATCGATTTTTATAATTGGACTGGAGGCAGTGGACGTGCGTGTATATAACACTGTTGTAATATATACATATTTTTCTATCGACTTAAGAGAATCGTGTTAGTGAATTAAAAACAAATACTTTAATGAGAAATTATCAAATGTAGGCATGTGTAGGTGTGCTTTGTTATTTTACAAGGTTTCTCGAAATAGTGGCAGGTGTTAATTGTAATTCGACATTTTTAACAAATTCTGCTTTCTACATTCATGTTTCATTTACAGGATAGCAGTGCAGTAGTTTGTTTTTTATTTGGTAGATGGCGCGTTGTTAAAAATGTTGGAAATTGGCAAAGCGCCAGATACAGCTCGCTCCACCACTTTGCTAGATTGCTAGTAATGCAGATTACCAGTCCCGTTGCTAACAATCCACCCTATCATGTCGATCTCCACATGGTTCCCCCTGGTAACCATCGCGGTTACCAGGTTTCTAGTGGAATTCGTTACGATGGGCTAACTGACCTGCTTTCATTCTCACCTATCACTTGTCACTGGTGCCCCGCCAGTGTATACCGATAGCACAGGCGGGTTACCATACCACTATCAACCATTAAAATAAAACAGTTTGTCCTATTGGAAGGTTAAATATTTCAAGCTAAACTATTTTCTAATACAATATGTGATGGAAAAAATATTGCAGTCACCAATCTATTCTATTTTTATTTTAGTGATGGAGATATCACATGATATCCTTCCATTACCGTTCTTATTATTATGTTCCTATTATATATATATATATATATATATATATATATATATATATATATATATATATATATATATATATATATATATATATATATATATATAGCGTATTAATAAACTATGAGACTTACCTGTAGTGCGACAATAAGTTTAGAATAAGTTTTTAAATGTTTTATAATTTATGTTTCGTTTGCACTTGAAACTCGTACAGGGCGTGTGAACGTTGTTCAAAAGACCATGTTAGTGGCAAGTCGATCCAGCATTAGAGGCGGGCTAATTATAATGTAGTCACATGTCGTTTATTGCATTTTGATAAGCACAATGCTGCACATTATTCGGCCGCCTGGCAATGATGTGTATCACCGCCAAATATTTTGTTTTTTATACAGGCGTATAAAAAAGTTTTACTTCGATTTTGAATGTATTTTAACAAAGTGACATTTGAAGTGCAAGCGAGCGAAAGGTCAGTATTATGGATACCAATTTAACGTTGTTACTACATACATAGTGTTAGCTTCAATATTTTTATATTTCTAGTCAAGGATGTAAATAAATGATTCGCATTCTATTGTTTTGTTATTCTTCTAATACCATAAACTCTATGAAAACTATGATGATATGTGCAGCGACGGCCTCAGGGGTGGCAAACAGGGCAATCACCCAGGGCCTCGCTCTCGAAGGGGCCTCGCGTAACAACCCAAGCAAATTTTAAACGACCAGTGAGTGACATTTTATCTAGTGGTAAGTTACAAAAATTTCCCTATTTAGGCATTTCAATCACGAATGAACTAAATTACCAGCACTAAAAAATACAAATAAAAAAAACTATTGTAAAAAAAATGACAGTTTTCTTGAATCAGCTGAAAATTTCCATTAATTTGATATATATATTTTAAAACTCAAATTTTATTTATTTGTATAAATTTCTCGTCAAATATGACAAATACCTAAATTAAACAACCACATCTAGTTCCGCATTACATACTTTTCACGAAGAATAAAGGGTCTCGCAAAGATCGCAAAAAACTATCGACCAGAGAGCCAGCCTCGCAATGGGTAGGGCCGCCGCTACATATGCGCTATTGTAATGTAGCCTGTAGCACTACTCCGCCAACCTACATCATTTATTTAGTACTAGCCTATTCCCGTGACTTCACCCGCGTGACAGGGATAAAAAGTAGTTTATGTCCTTCTTTATCCCGTACAGTACGTGTATATAAAATTTTCTAGTGATTGGTTAAGTCGTTAAAGCGCTATAAGGTAACAAACAAACTCACTTTCACATTTAAATAAGAATTTCAGTGAAACGAATCCTATATAATCTTTATTCTAAACGTTACAGACAAAGCCACGGATTCCTACTGATGCGTTTGGTCTTCCTCTCTTTTTAATCAAACGTCAAGTTGAAGGAGTCGAAATGAAACGAACCATTATTTTTTAACATTAAATCTTTTATTATCTTACAACTAACAAAGGTAAGGCATTTGAAAGGCTGGACGCTTTCGTACTTTGTACTGTATTCGCTTGACACTGGGCCCGCGAGCTCGCCGGCTGCCGGGCCCGGCATATCCAAATACTGGGATCAACTTTAGTAAAAACTATTTCATGGTCTTACGTCATTTTGCATTTTGAACACTTTTCAAACGGTATTACGGTTCATAACGATACCGACACTTCTATGACCACGTGTTTTAGACCAATAACTACATAGAACACGCCATTCGCTAAACAAAAATGTCTGACACCTTTAAGGGGTCGAAACTCACTAGGTGTGTAACGAGTTCTGCTATCGTAAATGGCGCGTCGAATTATAAATATCCCAGATCAACATTAGATATTGTTTTGAATAGCACAATAGTAAATTAGCTAATAATTATCTTGTAACTAGACAATATCCGGATAATTTTACCTTCTACATGGAACAAATCAAATAACGTCGAAGCAAGTGCTGCGACATCTGCGTAATAAATGAGAAAACAATTTTATTTCATTGCATTAAATATTTTTAATCAAATTTAAAACATTTTAGAAAATACTAAAGTTGGTCAGGTTGTAGTTAGTTACAAGGCAATTAGCAGCTTCACGACGGCGCGCGACTTCTATATCTGATATGTTATAAATTATTGTTCACTGTGGATTCTTACAAATAGATCATTTGTTGTGTAGTGCCCCAAGTTTTACAACTATAATCTTTTTCTTATTAAGGATATTTAGTAAACAATCTTGGTATAACTATTAAACGAAATTAAATATTTTTTACCAATAATTACAAGATGGCGCTTAAACGGTTCAACTAACCGTAACAAAATTTGGCATACGCGTAGCATTTGGTATAAAGAACTCAAATTACCTTTATCCCGATTACGAATTAACCACTCGACGCAAAAGCCTTGTTATTCTAGCAATGTGAACATGAAGTAATACCAAGATTATTTGTTAAATATACCAATTAAGAAAAACTGACAATAGATTTAGAATTAATTTAATTTTGACTTAAGTACATTTATATATCAATGGGAAAAATTAAAAAATAACGGTATATCCAAATTTACTATTTACATTCTCATTATCAATACATGATTAATTGATTTCAAGATTTAAATAAAGTAAAATATTCCTAAACAAAATATATGATGTCTCGAGATAAAATGGCGTCAACTAAAAAAAACATTAATAACTTTGAGTTCACTCAATACATTTGCAAATGCGTCCGCGGTATCCAAGCGATGGACGTACGCGTTTTGTGCTCCACGTGGGAGCAACTTTGTACTAAAAATTTACAAGATATAATGGCCTAATAAGTGTAATTGTTTATTCTACGTCACAATATACATGTCACATTTGAATCATAACGTTATATAATTAATGATCAATGTCAACTTATGAAGTGATTTTGGTTCACCAAGTTTTTGTCCTATATGTATATAATCCAATATATATATATATATATATATATATATATATATATATATATATATATATATATATATATATATATATATATATATATATATATATATATATATATATATATATATTCGTATATATATATAGTCAAAATAGACCGCGGCATCGTTTGCGCAACCATACAAATATTGAGCGAACGCAATATGTTTAAATAATATTATTATAAAAATAAACATATTTTTACTAAAGTTTTATATTCATCTGGCAACACTTAGAATAATAAAAAGTGGAAATATGACAAAATACTGCAGATCTAATCGTATCATAATTGTATGTGTATTCTAAAATATATACATGAATATTGTTCATACAGCACAGAAGAATATATTTCGTTTCGCCTTAAGTACATCTCTGTAAAATGTGGAAAAATTTACTTCCATATGGTGTATCAATTACAACTGACTGAAATGGTGGTGGCTAAGTTTCAAGTTGTTAAAAAAAAAAAAGAAATGTCTAGAATAATATTTAAACACCACATATGGAGTACAGTCGAATACAATTTCAATTTATAACAGGTGCCTGTGTACCTCAAGCATAATTAAAAGATACTAATCGACTTGCAATATAATATGACTCAACTATTTCCAGGTATACTCAAATGAATGAATGATAGAATGAGTATACTTTATTTGCATTTACAATATAGGAAATAAGCAAGACAATTTACAAACACAACGATACAATTGTATAAGTACAGTAAGGCGGTCTTATTGCTGAGAGCAATCTTTTCAAGACAACCTTAGGGTAATGGACTAATTGTTGTACAAGTAGGTTGATTACCTCCTTGATTACCTTAACAGGAAAGTGAATATATACACCGGTACACTTAACCAGAACGTAACAAAGAGTACTATTAGTACAGTCGATGAAGGTTTTCACCTCTGATTTTGTCATGATTTTCGATTTAAGGGTTACTAAAAGGATTGGAAAATTAATTAAAAACATAAATCATGCATATAAATATTAAAAAAATATATTTTATCTAATTAAACACAAATACTTAAGTAAGAGTGGTTAAATCTGCATTTTTTCCTATTTTCAACAAAAGGGGTGGATTTCACCCCTAAAATGCTAAATAGCGCAAGACGAGCATATGCCACTTTTGCAGTAGAGAGTAAAACATACTCAATCCCAAATTTTCATCCAAATCTATAGAGGTTCAACGAAATCGGAGGCTGTAGCTGATTTTTGCCTTCATTGACTGCACTATATCCCCTTTTTATGTTAAAACAGAAGCAACATATTTGTCGAGTATTACCTATATTAGGCCAATGAAACTGCATTCGACTGTATTTTACATGTGAACTATTTACAATTGCCTAATAATTAATATTGTATTCCTAGTAAATATATTTCCAACTATATAATTACGTGTACATTTAAGAATATTGCTCGTTTGGTTGCAAAAATATATAACAGTTATTATAGTAATATAGTTACATTACGCTATCGCTCGTTACTACACACCGCTGTGTACGCTCAACTTAATATTTCCCATACAAACCGCAGCGTACAGTCGTAATGTAAAGCAATATTTGGTCGGAGTTATGTATTTGTAAAAAGGAGGTAGTACGTGCCCCCTCGCCCTTACTAAACACTTCGTTACTGCGTCTGAACTTCGATAGACATTCATTGTAACAAATTGACTCGAACTCTTGATGTGACAATAGTTGAAAATACTGGGAAAAAATCGAAAACTATGTTTGAAAAAATTTGCATTTTTTTTAAAGATAAATAGGTTCAAGGATTCAGTTATTACCCGACTATAGCGAAGCAAAAACAAGGGTTATTAAAATATCATTACCGAGCGGACGCTAGCATATCCAATACTTAGATTCATTGTATTTGATCGTGCAAGCAATTTTTAGTTATAACTAAGAACGGTCCTATGGGAGATTCCACGTAAATGAAGCAACTCGCTCTAGCGGAAAAATGAGACGTGTGCCGATATAGTGCATTTTTTTACAACACAGGGGGTAAACGAGCATGCGGCTCACCTGATGGTAAGTGACTACCGCCGCCCATGATCACCCGCAACACCAGCGGCATTGCAGGTGTGCTGCCGCTGCCGGCTTTTTAAAAACGAATATGCTCTTTTCTTGAAGGTCATGATGTCGTATCGGTGAACGCGTAACGAAGTTCAGACACATGTCATGCAGGTATTGATAATATCTACGACTAATACGATTAAGTACACTATTTGCTACTTTAAAATGCTAAAAGGCAAGGATGTCGCGCCTGGCGACGCAACACGTGCGGTACAAAGCGCGGCCGCTCACGCTCGCCACAAATGGCATTCGTATTATTTTAATGATTGCTTTAAAAAAACGATACGCCTTCAACTGTGATATTGAACAAATATCGTGAGCCTTCATTTGTCAACAATGAAAGATTATATTTATATTTAAGGAGAAATAACAAGACAACTTGCCATCGACATAGAAATATTTAGGGAAAATATTTAATACATTATTTGCTTGTGGTGGTGAGATAATTTAATTACGTGGTACATAATTGTAGCTGACGTCACGCTGTGTAAAATAAAAGTAAAAAAAAACCAGTGGCGAAACCTATACTCACCTAATCGTGTGAATAATATAATGTAATTTATTTAAAGGTTTAGTATTTGAAGCGATACATGATTTTGTTACAAACAGAATATCAACTGAACCTTTTTCAATACTTGATAATTAAATTACCAATTGGTCGTATGAAGTAAATTCACTGCGAACCGACGACTTCACAATAGCTAACATATTAATCGGCACCTACTATACTACGATACTGCTATTACAATTATTATAAACAACCGTACATTATTGTGCTAAAATTTGGACTAAGATATGTGTGGCGCGACATGGAAACAAACACAATTTATAAGGGGCACAGCGCACCAGGCCACCAGGCGGCCACCAGTCGGCCACCAGGCGGCCGCCACCTCGCGTATGACACTCATGTACGCCAATACAATTTAAAGCTACAAATAATTATAATCTTTTCATGCGTACTACAAGTATTTCACATAATACAACTCATAAATTCCTTGCGTGTATGTAGCACGAGTCGTGTCGCCTCACTTCCTAACGTGGCTGCACTCCACGCGGCAACGTACACTACAGTCTTTGCTAATATTGACTTTCGCGGAAAATCACCGTTTCCCGGCGCGCAAGTAATACTAAAAAGCAGACCTTTAAACGTAAACCTACCGTAATTGTGGCAGTATATCAATACCAAATTGGTAAAGACGCAAATTAATAGAAATAATTCGTAATTTAATAATAAAATAAAATAAAAATACATTTCAAATATCTAATATAAGCTGGTGTCCAGCAGTGTGACCCTTAGAAATTGTTGAAGTTATATTTCAGACGAGCTACAACATTATTTGGGATGGAGTACCTGCGGTACCCAACACATATCGGACGTACCGGACATGCCCCCACCCCACCGCCAATCGATACTTACTCTCCGCATGTACATTGGCTGTTGTTTAAAAACACTAAAATAAAGGTCACTATTACAAATATCTCGTTTTATTCTCTATCGAGACGGTTTTATTGGGCGAATAAAGAGTAACGTCTTATTTAAAATAAGATGTCGACAAGAGTCGAGAGTGGTGAGTTAATAATAAATACCCTTTTGATCGGGTTTGAACAACATTGTTTATAATAGAGGTAGCTCTACTAAAATACACGCTAATAATTAAGATAAAGTGAGAGAAATGTGTAATGATAAACTTTTAAAGTTTAACATGGCGCAATACGATTACAATGTAGGCCGTGACAAGAGAACGGGTAGGTGAAGCAATGGACTGCCTCCTACGATATGATAAGAGACGCCTGTCTAAACAAAATTGTCACAAAATATGCATTCTGTGACAGCTCACCTGTAACCGCTGTGCTCTCGCGTGCTACGTCATTCTATGAACTATTTGTAACATTACGCAATAGAAATTTGGACGAAAGAATAATTACTAAAGATTATAAAATAATTGTAATAAATATTTACAATAATGAGTATCACTAAATATTATGGCAACAGGAAAACCCACCCACCCCACCGCGGCGCAGTCGGGTGGCCAGGAGAAACGTAAACACAGACACAGACACAGACACGTCACAGAGAGGTTTAACGTACCACTTGACAGTTATTTAACGTGTTAATTTGTGGCGATCTTCGGTGGTCTATTTGCATAATTATCTAATTACCTAAAAGTGGCAAGTTCGTGTCAATTATCACTAGTAATGGTACGAGAAAGTGACGAATCAAGAATTCATTACATATGAATAAAGTAACGAGAACATCCTCACATAGCGGCGCAATATATTTATAATTGCCGCTGTTCGAAGACAAGTCTCGGTTTAAAGTTAATAAAGAAAGCATGAACGTGTTAATTTGTTCAGTCTTACCACGCGAAACTTGGCTTTGCGGCCAATAGTTTTACAGTTTTCACGTTAAAACTCACTGTGACTATATTTCACACTCGTTTAAGGTAACTCAAATTGATTAAGATCTAAGGCACTGATGACGCACTTCGTGTGACGCGACGCCGGGTCGAACGCACTGCGAGCTGTGTACACCGCAAGCATGTAGCTAACTATAAGTACGCGGTCACCTTGTACCAGCCAATATGGTAACATATTTTGAACCCTTGCGTGGACAGATCATTCGTACACGGCGTCGAATACGAACCAACAATAGAAGCTATGTGCATTTAAGGTTAAAAGTGAAAACGGCCGACTGTTAATTGCCGTTAACGGTTACTTCGTTGTGGACGACGTTATCGGATAACGGCTCGTTAGCGTTCACATCACTGTCGATGGCCGGCAAGTTGTCTATGACCGAATTGATCGATTCGACCGTATTCCCGTCGTAGCCGGAGGCGCCGGGCCGCCCGGCGGCCGCGGTGCTGTCGGCGGCCGTAGTCGCCACGTTGGCGTTGGCGTCCACGGCCGCCGCCAGCTCCTCGTAGCAGGGCGGCATCTCGACGTTATTCCGCGCCTCCTCGTCGGCGCTGCTGGGCTCGACGACGCTGACGGTCGTGTTGAGCGCGTCCCGGCTGAGGTACTCGGGCGGCGGGCCGTACAGCTTGTACCGCACCGCGTCCGCGTAGGGCGGCGGCCTCACCGACCCGTCCGCCATCACCGGGTAGTTCTCGAAGTCCGCCCCCAGCAGCCGGATAGTCCTGCCGTTCAACGTGTACGTGTCGTTGGAGTTCAACCGGACGAAGTCCAGGTCGTCCACGTTTATCTCGGCCACGTTTGGCGTGTCCGGTCTCCGCTCGGTGGACGCCCGCCGGCCGAACCTCGGGATGCTGAGCTGAAACCTGCCTAGCTGCAACGTAAGCGGTCTCTGGCGCTCACCGATCTGCTCGATGACCCTCTCGAGCGTGTTCCTCCGGAGGGCGCGGCGCCTGAAGAACTCGAGCGGGGTGGCCATGTAGTTGAGGTCGCGGCCGCAGGCGCCGGCCTCGGGGTTGGTGAAGTAGAACTCGGTGGAGTCGAGGTCGCAGTAGGTGGCGCTGCGGTACGCGTGCGGCGGCGGCCGCGTGGGGGAGGTGCTGAGCGACGACGGCCGCACCGCCGTCATCTCCACGTCGCAGCACTGCGTCGGCACCTGCACCACACCACGACACCACCGTGCCAACACATGAGGAACTTTTATTTATTTAAATAATTTTATTGACCACAAGAAAATATGGTACAAGACTGTGACCAAATTTCTCTAGAGTAAGCCTCGAGAATGTTTAGACATGATTTAATTTTTACCTATCATCTTCCTTGGTATCCTACTAGCGTACACCAGTTGCGCAAGCAGGGGCTACCATTTAATGAGTAAATAATGTGTAACTCTATGTTTTAATTTAATGGTAAATGGAAATACACGAGGATTGTTTCTCGGTTCTCTTCATCTCTCTTTAAGCTTAAAATAAACTGGTGAGTTTTTGTCAATGTATAGTTATTTATTTCAGGCCGTAAGCTAGGGCGAGCATACCTGTCGGTAGCGCGAGGAGAATATCGAGGACAGCCTGGCGAGCCCGAAGCCGCCGGCGGCGGGCGACGGCGGCGGCGACGCGGTGCCGCCCGACCCCGCCCCCTCGCACTGCCGGGAGGAAGTTCTCGTATTAAAACGACACCAATCTCCGAATTTAGAATACACAATCAAAAATTGCATATCTGCTAGATGTGGCGATATCTACGTATGCGGGTAGGAAATAGATACGATCAAATTATGATGTGGAACGATTTACTTTCACGTTCGTTAGGACCCATGTTACGTACTGTTACAACCCTAGCATGTATACATTATATTGCTGACTAGCATATAATTTATTTCTATTTAAATCAGCAGTATTATGCCTACATAAACTTATACAAAATCGAAATCAGTCAGTCGTAATTTAGCTAGCCAAATTACTGTCCAACTTCGGACCTAATTTCTGCCCGCCGCCGCGCCGGTGTGGCCAATAAAACTGACTAGTTAGATTTATCATACAGACTCTATGAAACATTGAATCAAGGGTCTCGCACGTCGCCAGTCAAAGCGAACCTTCAAAATTAGTTAAAAGTGCAATGTTAACTGTGTAAAATATTAAATAAATAACTTTGATGTGTGGCAAAAGTTTTTTTTTTATTTATATTAAACAAGTGCCCCATACTAATAGTACGTATGTGTGCGATGAAATACTAGAGTTCTAGGACAACAAGTTTAGGGCCGTTGGTGTAAACAGTTGTGTTAACGCTTTATGAGTGGTTGTTTTGAACAGATATTAGGAAGGATTTAAAATGTGTTGCTAAATTAACGTTTAAACAAAGATATTGAAACCCCGCACACAATTACAGTATCTGTAATTATATACGGAGAAAACATAATCTACATTTACATTTACGAACCTGGGTTTGTTCTAACAAATATCTAAACTGTGGCATAGATGTGTAGTACAGTGGATTTCATTTATGGTTTATAGCGACCATTTGTACCTGTAGCGCGGCGGGCGTGGCGGGCGTGGCGGGCGTGGCGGGCGTGGCGGGCGTGGCGGGCGTGGCGGGCGTGGTGGGCACGGCGGACGCGGTCGGTGAGGAAGGCTCGGAGGCAGCAGGCGCGCGGCCCAGCAGCCGCGCCGCCTCGTAGCACGGCGGGAATGCGCCGCCCACGCCGCCCACCTGCACATGCCGTACCGCTCATTGTCGGACTACTGGCACAGGGAATTCTTTAAACTACCCTCAACTAAAATATCATTCTTGTATACGAGTACATGCCACTACCCCAATCTATTTACCACAGGCCGTTTCAGCCCCGCCGCTGTACCTGTGCACACTGCAGGCCGTGCCGCCGTACCTGTGCATACTGCGGCCGTGCCGCCGTACCTGTGCATACTGCGGCCGTGCCGCCGTACCTGTGCATACTGCGGCCGTGCCGCCGTACCTGTGCATACTGCAGGCCGTAGTGGCGGCGCGTGGCCCGCTCGGCCTGCGCGTAGCTCCGCAGCGCGGCGCGCTTCATATGCATCTTGCAGATGGCCGACACCAGCAGCACCACCGCGATCATGAATATTAGCGCGCAAGCTGAATATACAAACATAATATGTTATTTGCAATCATATCTCATGACAAAACATCACATTATAATAATCTCTTCCCTACAATCAATTATTCAAATCAGTAATCACTCATACATTGTTACTTTAATATTAAATTAGAAACTAAAAAACGAAAGAACGTGAAAATTAGGTACCTGTGACAGTGTATATTGTGGATTGTATGAACCCATAGTCATCTGGAGCGTGCCTGTCCTCATACAGCGGCGGGTACTCGACATCCATGTAGCCTGCAACAAAATATGTAACAATATGGAAGGCTGAAAATCATTTGGTACATGTGATATACCATTTTATCAGCAAGCATTCATTGCTAAATGCAAAAGTCAACATTAGTATAAGAAATGGTTGCGATTATTTTTAGCTTCAGCTTAAGGTCAAATATACTGGGTGTTTGATGGCAAGCGGTGAGTGTATGGGCATGGAGCGGCGCACCGTCGAGGCGCGCGTAGCGCGGGTGCTCGTCGCAGCAGGCGGGCTGGCGGCACAGCGCGGAGGCGGCGGCGCCGCGCGCGCAGCAGGCGGCGGCGGGCACGCAGCGGCCCGACGAGCAGTTGAGGCGGCCGGCGCGCGCGCACGGCCGCGCCGCGCCGCACAGCGCCGCCGCCTCGTCCTCGGCCGCGGCGCAGTCGGCGCGCCCGTCGCACACGTACGGCGCCAGCACGCAGCGCGCGCCGCACGCCAGCGCGCCGCGCCCGCACGCGCGCCCGCCGCCGCCCTGCACCAGGATGTACTTGCTCGCGCTGAACGGCGGCGCCGAGCACATGTACTGCCCGCTGTCCCCCGCCTGCAGCTCCGCTTTACTCAGCGTGCTGCTCACGGTCGGGCCCTGCGGCTCCGCCGTGAACCGCGTCGCCCTGCAATTCATTTTAATTGTTCACGTTTACATAATTTGTAACGTCGACGAGGAACATATTTTGAGTAAAACAAAACAGGACGCTCACCTTTCACTGGACCCGTTTGCAGGCACAAAGTTCCACACGTGGATTCTTGGAGTGTTATCTCCTCGCTGTTCACATACGAGTGTCAGGCTGTCGTTAATCCTTCTTACTAGCACATCAGTATACTCCACCTCCCCCGGACTGTATAGGTAGAGGGATGACACTGGAGGAGGCAGGTCGCATGTACCTAAAAATATTATTAAATCCCATAACTTTTTCTCCATAGACTACTATTGACTGAGGCTGTCCGAAATTTATATAAATATGACAAAATACTGTAAAGAAATGTATGTATGTGTATACTATATAATATAAAGGAAAAATTCTCTGGTAACAGGCTCCCATGATAATTTATATTTGTTTCTGAATTCAATATTATATATAAAATTTATTATTGCATTTTCAACTACATGGATTTGATATTTTTAATAAATGTAACATACATAGTCTATATGAACCTTAATTACTTATTGTGGGCACAAAATACGTGCCTATAAAAATACCATAAAAAGGAAAGCAGCGCAAAAGTGAAAGGATATTCCTATGGCTAAGAAATAATCCGTTACACCATAAAACGTAAAATCCGATGAATGAAGACCGAAGGTTTTTGTTACTTTTCATAACTATACAAAAGAGACTTTCCTTAAAATCCTGTGACTAATTGCTATCTACATTAATTTTAACAATTGTAATATATCTTCCAAGGTCCTTAAAATCAAAAATACTATTAAAAATTTGTAGAAATGCAATTTAAGTGTGACAACAATAAAGCAATTAAAAGATTATATTGATAAAACAAAAAGACTCACATGTTTTTGCAGCAATGATAATGAAAATAATATTTAAAACATGGCTTAGTATAGATGAAAACATTTTTATTTATTTTCTATTCATTCTATATATTGACAAGCAAAGTTACGACGCCATTTTTTGGTGTATTCCGTTGAATAGTTTTTATGAGATGTTTTGTTAAATTTGACAGCTGAATTATAGATCAGTTATATTATACTCATAAACAAAATGTACGTTTTTGTTAAAATTGCGCTTTCGGAGTTCCTGGAACAGAACGGACATTAGAAACTAATCTGTGGAACAAATAATAGCGTACGTTCCTTTCCTATTGTGATCCTAATCCAATTTTTTGTTCTAACCATAGAAAATAACACAATGTTATTCACGTATCTTATGGCACTAAAGCACTTTTACTACATCAATGTATATGAATATTATTTAATTTAAATAAATGTTTCGTATAATTTAAATAAACGAAAAATCAATTAATTATAGTTCGAAGGGACGGCGTGTATAAATGACATAACGTCAACGTCTTGTTTTCACTGTCATTATCATTTGATATAACAAAAAAAAATTTCGCATTGACAGTCCAACTAGTAGTTTGTTTTATTTCGCTGATTTTATAAATTGTTTCTTATTAACAGATACTTTTATATTATTTTTATTATTTGTAATAGTTTTCTAGGTACAATAATTTCATCAGTAGTAGTGACCAATTTCATTTTTGAAATTCACATTAAAATATAATTCATGCACTTGCACTATACTTAGACGTGCAATAAGTCAACAATGGATTTAGCTAGATTGCCAAATGACAAGAAACTGCAACTCTGTAGGTGGTATTTTAAAGGTAAACCAGTATTATTAACGTATTCTGTTTGCGTAGATATTTTAAGAATATAAAAAAAAAAAAAACTATTAAAAGTAAAAGCGCAATAAATTAGTCATGTAAACTCTACTTCTATCCTTTGCTCCCCAACAAATTAACAATGTGAAATCTGTTGGTGTATCTCTTTGCATTATTAATTATTACAGTACATTTTATATTGCTCTCCACTATCAAAATATTATCTTTTAACCTTTTAAGAATTCAAACCTATATCTCTTAGTTACAAGGGGTAAACTGTTTAAATAATTTTAGATATCACACTAAGACTTGAATGCTGGTTAACCTTTCTGTTATTATTACAGTTGGCTGTGTATTTCTGCCATTTGTTTGGGCTGTAAATACAGTGTGGTTCTTCAAAGAAGCATTTGTGAAACCACCATATGATGAACAAAAACAAATTAAGAAATGTATGTAGTACTTTATATTATTAGTCATAAGTTTGACCAGAATTACATTAAATAACTAGAATAATAGATAGTTTCCTCCATGGGATCCTCCATGGAAATCTAATGTGCACATTAGATTTCATAATGATTGGTTGAATGTTAAGGCACCAATAAGCAATTATTAAAAGTCTAAAAATTAAATGTTAGAATATAAAAAAAAATATATAAGTAAAAATTTTTTTTTGAAATTTGTATAGAACAAGTATAGCAAACAAGCTTATGGCCCACCTGATAAAAAGTGGTAATCATCATCTATGGACATGAACATCACTGTGGATATCACAGAATATATCATGCCTATGGTGGGTCTTACCATTCTTCCATAACCTATTATTATTAAACAGTTATAATTAAATTGAAATTTAACTTTTTTAATGGTTTATTTTTAGATGTGGTGATGAGTGGTGCAGGTGCCATTATATGGGCTATAGCTTTAGCCATATGGGTCACCATATACCAACTACAAAGGGTGTCATGGGGCGTCATAGGAGATGAGCTCTCCTTCATCGTACCGCTGGGGAGACCCTGAAGTAGAAGCAAACCACAAGGACGTCATAGATGGACTGATATAATTGCTTGTGTATATAATAACATGTTAAGTAATATTTTGGATAATTCACAATAGAAGATGGACTTTTGGAATGGCTTTTTGAAATTTAAGATGTAACACTATTAACACAAATAGAAAGGGTATATTCTGTAAAGAAACAACAAAAATGTGTTACACTAAGGGTTCTAAACTCAACATCAGATTATGTCATCCTGCAGCAATTCTACAAGTTGGTAAATCTCAACTTTGTTGACTAGTTGGTGTTGTAGAACAAGTAGTTGTACTAGATCTGTTTAACTTTTGTTTCTATAGTGGATGCCAAGCCTGCTATTACAATCCATTAATCTCTACTTAAATTTAAACAAAGGGATTCCTATGTACAAACTCTCTCATGCACATGAATATTGCAGATCTGCAGCAAACAGTTTAATGTACCTATAATGTGGCAAAGAATTACTGAATATTGTCTTTACATCATAGTTAATAATTAATTCATATTATTGTTGTGTTTTCCTTTCCATCACTCTACAATCAATTCATTTATTTACTATAAGCAAAGTAAAGGAAACAAATATCTCTAGATTGAATAGTCGGCATAAGTCTGTAACAAACGGACATTTTGCACAATGGGATACATCTACTGCTGTCTTTTGCATGTAATTGATTAGAAATCTGTAAAATATATGTATTGTTTATTTTTTACTGTAATGAGCATTTATTATTTTAAACTGGCTTAGATTTAATATTTTATGGTCCTATATACCCATGTGAGAACAAACTACCAGACCTAAGCCAGTTTAACAACCGAACTGGACACCGTCCAGTTTCTATAACTCAACATATAGCTTTATTTATTACTTAATCGCCAAACAGTTAACAAACCAATCTATCAAGTGGCTAGGATAAAGATAAACAAATGCATTATTTAATACTGTATTTATTAACCCAATAAAATTGTAATATATAAAGACCTTTTGTTTTTACATTATTTACATTTCTTCAGTTACATCTACAATACAAATTATGTAGTTTGTCTTGCAGGCGTATCAAACAGTACTGTGTCTATACATTATGTAAACATTGTGTTGTGTACACCGAGGTCTGAATACATTAAAATCAATGTCTTAATTCACATTTATAATAATTACAAAAAATTTGATTTTTTTGCATAAACTCTAATTTCTATACTTTAAATAAACTAGAACTCTCATGTAAAATTGTCAATTTTATTTTGTAATTAGCACATTTGTGAATTTATTTTAAAATATTTGCATATCTGTGAATAGTTATTAAAACAATATCTACACTCTACTAGATCACACTATATAACATTCCTCAACCAATCAAGAAAAATCTCAACACAAACTGCACTGCCATATATCATTATAAAATAAAATGTTTAAAAAGCTGTCATATTTCCATTCATGTCTCTCGTAGGGTTTTAAATGTCAGTCACTGGATTTTATATTATGAAAATGTTACACATCTTGTACACGTAGTTTTCAAAAGAAATTCGACACGAGATCTTGAATTTGCCTTTGTATCAGGGCATTTTAAATTAAGATACCAAGTTGTAGATATTGTAATTATTGCTTATGTTCTAAAAGACATTTTAAATTACTTGTAAAATTAAAACATTATAAAAAGCTCACTTAATAAGAATTAATTTAGAAATAAATTTCTTTTATCAATTATGCAATTTGTATATTAGATTAAAATAGCAATTTATACTCGACCAGACATCGGCCGACGCTCAGTGACACAGATGATCATTGAAGTTGGCGCATAAATTTTATGGTGTCTTCATTATGTGGGTATATTTTACTAAGAGTTCCTACTAATGCCCACAATTACATACTATGCTGAAAATTGTCACATATTAAATTCATTTAGAACCATTTTAGATTGTCATTAGTCACTTGACGTGCAACACGATTCATCTAGTTAGTATGTATAGTGAACTGAACAAGTTGACATATTATTATGATCCTGTATAGCGGCATTTTAACTCGCCTGACGAACCTCGCCCACATAACAACGAGTATACACCTAGAGATACTTTTCGAAATTGTATAAATAAATGCCACACTACAAACTAATACAAAATAAATCCGACTGTCCATACGTGTAGTAAAATTCGTATATTATTATTATATATCAGGATTGCAATTGCAGATTTAAATTCAAACATTTCCGATTATAAAAGAATATCATTATCAGACAAAGACACTAGTAGTTTCTTAACTAATTCCTTTCCTTTCTTCCAGTAAAAAGTCTATTCCTTTGAATCCAGTAAAAATAGATATATCTTCTCACACAACGTCGTAAGAAACCAAAACAGTACATACAGTATTATAATTTATCTTTTTAATATAATAGGAATATATTTTTTTATAAAGTTGTATATCAAATTTAAAAAAAAAACCTAATTATAAAACAATAATTTATAATATAATAAGTAGTCCAGACGGCACGTACTCGCGGTGAACTGTACACAACAGTAGTCATACTAGTAACGCGATAGTATGTGCTGTAACTGTGATGACACTACATAATATGCCCCTGGTAGCCCTCTATTATGGCAGACACAAGATTCAATAATTTTTCTAAAATAAAAAATTTACTAACAATTTAAAAAAAAATTAATTCCGGCTTATTTATATAATTAATATAGCTGTCAAGGAGTGTGTAGCACTCCCACAATTAAGACACATTTAACGACACGCTATTTATTATAATAGATCAAGCCGTTGAGGCGATTCTGGCATCTTTTGGATGGCATTACGTTTTTTATTATGCAGTTGGCTAAACATGGCGGTCTTCTGTAAGCAGAGTCGGGAGCCGAGTGCAGAGTGCAGAGTGCGCGTCGTCAACAACAATAAAACTACCATCTAAATACGCACACAACATTACAAAACAACGCACAAGGAATATCAGAGTATGAAATGCATTTATTTTTAACTACTAATATAAAAAAAGAACACAAATCACATACAAATATATATATAAATATAACTTCCGCATAAATATTGTCAATGTTTTCAATTGTACTAAAGTGTGTAATAGCATAAAATATAAGGATACAACATGTCGCCACTTCCCCTTAGGCATCTGCAGAACATCGTAAGGGGCGACTAGAGTTACAAAGCATAGAATAAGAGAAGCAATATATATATATTATACAACTTAGAATGGCAAACAAGCTGACGGCCCACCTGATGGAAAATGGTAACCGTCGCCTGTAGACATGAGCAGCAGGCAATTTGCCTGTTTTATATCTATATAAAACAGGCAAATATACTGTTTTATAAAAATATAATACAAGATATTTGCCTTTAGATTAAAACATTTAACATTCAATTAGACGCTGTTTTACTTTCCAATATAATTCATCTAATACATAATACAAGTTCTGTTAAGTTTGATCTCACTAGGTGGCGCTGTTATCCAAGAGTATTATATATATTATACATTTATTAATTTCCTTTAAAATAAATAATCTTGACACATATTTTTACTAAAATTATTTATTTTTATATGTAATTTCGTTTAAAAAGAAATGTCAATGTATAAAAAGAAACCGAGCCTGCTTTCCAGATATTGAATAGGATAAACAAAACATTACTATGGAACGGACACGGGAGTAAACTTTATAGATTCTTGCAATCTAACAATCACCAATAAAAGTTCTACTCACAAAAAATACTGAACAAAGGAAACTCCTCTTTTTTGACGTTGCGTAAAAATTCATACATAACTATTATACCTGTATATATATACACAATGTATACTACGCATATACTAGCCTACCATCACTCTATCCGTACGATTCTGGGCGAGATCAATCTCCTTTCTTGCCTTAATTTCACCACTTCTGATTTCACTACCCTGTAATAAATATATTAGTGTATTGAGACAATTCATTCGTTAATGTTTTTTTTATACAACTTAGATTGGCAACCAAGCTGACGGCCCTGATGGAAAGTGGTAACGGTCGCCTATAGACATGAGCAGTACCATGGACATAACAGAGTATACTGTTTCGCCCATGATACCCCCCATGCGTTGCCATTCCTGAGGACTCGGGTGTTATTCCTTTGTACCCAGTAAATTCACGCCATATCCTAATATAGGAAATTGGTAGTAGCACTCACCAGTATTAAGCAACGCCGGGATCAGGATCAGTGTTAAGGAAAACCAGGACTAGGATTTTGGTTACCTACTCTAGTTAATATTAGTCAGTTAGCAAGTTCAGTCAATGTTCATAGTATATAAGACAAAAGGGTAATCTGTCATTTTTATTCTAATATTATTTTTCTTTATTTTACATTGACAAGCGCTGCTAGAATGCATATCGCCTGCCATTGAACCAAGGAGGTTCTTAACATATCCTACCCTTTAAACTGAAACACAGCCATGCAAACACAACTGCTTCACGGTTGAAACACGAATGGGACAGAGGTACCCAAGCAATCGACTTTTGTACAAAGTCTCCCTTTGGTAGTGGTGGTACATTTAACAACAATACTATTATAAGAATAAGTCAGTGAAGATAAGAACAAAAAATCTCTAAAACATGGTAGACCCACATCATTTTTATTTACAGTAAACGCTCTATTTTTCGCAACTCATTTGAACCATTTTCAATAAAAAAAAAATCTTTTTGGGAAAAGTTGCTTATAGAAGAAAAAGGAGTATAAAAATATTTTACCGTCTGGAAAATATCTTTACTTATTTCTTTTACTAACTAAGCTGAGTGGAATAAATAAAATATAAAGAATGTTGCTAATATAGAGGTTGCTTGTATAGAGCGTTCACTGTATTAAACTGTTGGCCATAGTAAATATGTATGTACATATGCCAAACATGTACAATATTAACACTAGTGATTGTAAGCTTGGTTTTGATTTTTGTATAACAAAAACAAAAGAAGACTACTGAGAAACTGTTTGTAGTGTTTGTGCGTGTATGTGGGTGTGCGTGAGCGTATGTGAGTGTGTGTGGGTGCGCGTGTGTGTGTGTGTGTGCGAGGAGGCGGACCTGAGCAGCAGCAGCAGCGCGAGCAGGTCGCAGGCGATGAGCATCGCGAACACGCGCGACCACGACCCGCTCGCCGACACCACGCCCGCCAGCATCGGCCCTATCGCCGCGCCTGCGCACATGCCGTCAGGATAATGATCCTGTGTGTTAGCCACATCCTAATACCTACTCTAGTATCAAATTTGATTCGTATCCATTGTTTTCAATTTAATCGACAAATAAAAATGAACAACTACATGTGTTACTGATCTTTAAACTTGATAATGATTCGATAATCATTTTTTTTTTTCAAAATTCCTAAGGAGATTCTTATGACGAGAAAAAATGAGGAAATTACCCTAAAAAACGTAAAATACCCTATTTTTCTTTTGCCTATATAAACTGTCCTGTTGACAAAACCCCATCTGAAAAATCAGCTATTTTTATAATAAAATTGTTGGCCTCTTAAAAAGAAAATTCTAATAAGTCTTACAACTTTACTCTTATTTGTTTACTGTTTTTTTTTTTTACTTTTTTTAATTCGTTCTTCAATTAGCTGATGAATAAGCGTGGTAGAGAGGTAATAAGAGGGAGTTACTGACCGACGCTGCCGGTGCCGTCGATGATGGCGGTGACGGTGGCGAGCGCCTGCGAGTTGCCCGCCAGGCTGCTGTGCGTGCCTGGTGGACGCAAGGCACAGTACATGGTACAGTATAATATTGTGTTGTGATGTCCATCTCTCACTAAGCTGACTGCTCATGACAGCTTGTTTGATATGTAATATCAAGTTCATAATTATATTAATACTAGCCGTTCCCGCGACTTCGTCCGCGTTTCCGTCGTTTTTCGTAAAATAAGTAGCCTATGTCCTTCCTTACGGTTCAGTGGTTTTGATGTAACAGACACATTTCTCTTCACTGCCCTGCTCCTATTGATCGTAGCGTGATGAAAAGTATACTATAACCTGCCCAGGAGTATGAAGAATAATTGTACCAAGTTTCGTTAAAATCCGTCAAGTAGTTTTTGTTTCTATAATGAACATACAGACAGACAGACATAAAAATTTTACTGATTGCATTTTTGGCATCAGTATCGATCACTAATCACCCCCTGATAGTTATTTTGCAAATATATTTCATGTATAGATATATGTTATTTATTTTAAAAAAATTGGCTTGTTGAGAAAAGGAATAAGTTTATAAGATTAAAAGTCAGTTTAAAAATATGGCAAATTCAATTGTGATACAGCTAAAACAATAGAAATTAATACTTATTTCAAAAAGAACTATCAAAATCGGTTCAAGTTTGGCGGCGCAATTATGTACGTAGCCATAAAATAAAGATGAATTGGGAACCTCATTCTCGTAGACAAATCCTACTGTTATTCGAATGTATGCCCGTGGGCTACAAGGAGTGTAGTGGGGTAGCGGACGGCAGCGGCGAGTACTGACCGAGCTCGGCGCTGACGGCGGTGGTGATGAGTGCGTAGGGCGCGTTGACGAGTGCGCCGCTGAGCAGCAGCAGCGCCACGTTGGCCTCGTACCGCGCCGCGCCCCACCGCTCGTACGCCACCAGCTGCGCACACGCACCGTACACGCTCCACACCGCACACGCTCGTGCGCGCGGCCCGAAAGGGCGACAAACGAGCGTGTGGTTCACTTGATGGCAAGTGACCACCACAGCTCATGCACACTAGCGATATCACGGAAGTCACCAATAGCCTTGCCGGCCTTTTAAAAAGATACAAATTCTCTCGAGGATCCCCGCGTCGCGTTTATTAGGGATGCCGGTATTGATAATTTATCCCACATTTTTACAGTACGTGATAAGAGGTGGCGCGTGAAGCGTACTGTAGCGGACCGGCTTTTTTTTTTTAACATTATGTATATTTGAACATTATTTATTTTGTATGTAGCAGCGGTTGTAATTTCAAAGCATAATTTAAAAATGTATAGAAAAATGAAAGTGAGCAGAGACAGAGAGTGCAGGCGCGTACGTACGGCGGGCGCGGCGAGCGCGTAGAAGGCGGCGCAGACGAGCGCGGGCGCGCCGAGGCGGTCGGCGAGCAGGCCGGCCAGCACGCCGCCCGCCGCGCCGCCCGCGTCCCACACCGTGCTCAGCCGCCCCGCGCGCTGCGGCGCCGCGTGCGCTGCCGGCACAACACACACACACTCACTCTCGTACTCGTGCATGCCTCACACCGCATGCTTCCACAGATATGCTCTCTCTGTACGTTTGTTCCGACTATAACTACTGCACCAAATTGGATGCGATTTTCATAATTATATTTTTAAGATTTAACTTAAAATCTGTTGTATGTTATTATATCTATATTGTTAGCGGTATCCCCTACTTGAGTCTCCCCACCGCTCGCCGCAACTATAAAAATGGACGAAAACCAACGGATCGGCCATTTGGTTGTCAGACGCGCGCTCGAACACGTCTCTGAATATATTAATGTCGTACCTTTATCAAATTATTGTTAGACAGAAATCTTGTATAAATTGTTCTATTTAATTATACAAATTATTTTGGTGGTAAGATTTATATATATATATATATATATATATATATATAAATATATATATATATATATATATATACAGTAATTTTGATGTACGCAGTCAGTAATAAACCAGTATTATTTTATACCAGTTATCTATTCAAACGAACCATCCTTAAAACATATCAGTGGCGACGAGGACGATCCTACCTACAATAAAAATGTCTTTTATAGGAAATATACCTATTTTTGACTATAAAAAGTGTGAATGGTCTATTTTTAAAGGTCGATTAATTCAATTTTTAAAAGTGAATAATGTGAAAGATGACTGTAAATGTGCAACGCATTTATCGGACAACTCATACCGTCTAGTGCGTAACCTAGCCCATCCTGATGAACTGAAGACGCAAAGTTTTGAAAACCTGGTGTTATTACTCGACAGCCATTTTAAACTCAGTGTTCAATCGGCGACAGAGCAAAATTTTATTCCGCAACAAGAAACTGCGGGGATTCTTGATTGATGACTTGGATACAAATCTCACGGACCGTTTCGTCCTAGGTCTGGATCCAGGTCCAAGTGCACTATGTGCGTATATATGAACATATACTCATATATCATATATTAATAATTCTACAATTATCGACATATTCACATAAGACTCCAACAAAACTAACGCATACAAAATCACTTCCTATCAAAATATGAAAAAAAAAGGTATGTATGTAAATTTTCATCAATTCTTATCTCATATTAGCAATTCTTAATACAATGTGTATTAAGAATTGTATGTAATAGTGAAAATTACTGAACAGTACAAAGATTAATGATACATAAATAGAAACTAGACAAGTATTTCCAATGTGATTGAGTACTAATTATAAAAATAAAAATGCATTTTTTATGAAATTTAAAATGGCAAACAAGCTGACGACCCGCCTGATGGAAAGTGGTAACCGTCGCCTATAGACATGAGCAGTACCGTGGACATAACAGAGTATACTGTTTCGCCCATGATACCCCCCATGCGTTGCCATTCCTGAGGACTCGGGTGTTATTCCTCTGTACCCTGTAAATTCACTGCTATATCCTACCTTTTAAACCGAAATACAGACATGCAAACACAACTGCTTCACGGTAGATACACAAATGGTACAAAGGTACCTAAGCAAACGATTTTTGTACAAAGTGTCCATCTGGTAATACTTGTAATAATAGTCATGGCATACTTATCGCCCGTTAAAAACTTAATTAAATTTAATATACACGTATTACTTGTAATGGATATTGACTACTTTTTATTCAGATTACATAGAAAAAGTCGCAGATAACAATTAGTTTAAATAACATGAACAAGCTGGTCACTTACTGGAGGAGTTGATATAGACGGGCAGCCAGTAGAGGAAGGTGTAGCTGACCAGCTTGGCGAAGAACAGCGACAGCGAGAACTCCACCACGCCGGGGATAGCGAGCGCGCGCGTGAACGACACTGCGCCGCCGCCGCCCGCCGCCGCCGCCGCCGCCGCCGACGACCGCCGCGACAGCAGCGCCGTGCTCTCCGTCGCCGCCTCCGGCTCCGGCGAGTACTGCGCACAGTGGCATTATACATTTACAGCGGCATACATACAAGTTGCCCCGCCCCTTCCTCCCACCCCAGTGGAATGTTCTTCTGAATCAATTTTGACAGTTTACTACCGTGTTGACCGTTATCTATACTTATAATTAATCTGTAGAGAGATCAATTCTGTACATAAAATATATTTCCAAAATAACTATCAGGGGGTGATTAGTGATCGGTACTGATGCCAAAAATGCAATCAGTAAAATTTTTGTCTGTCTGCCTGTATGTTCGTTATAGAAACAAAAACTACTCGACGGATTTGAACGAAACTTGTACAATTATTCTTCATACTCGTGGGCAGGTTATAGTATACTTTTCATTACGCTTACGATCAATAGGAGTAGAGCAGTGAAGGGAAATGCTAAAAATGTTCACCCGTGCGACGCCGGGACGGGCCGCTAGTCGTTGCTATGGCTGTATGATCCCAGCATAAAATAAGCCACCCCTTTCTTTCCCGTGCGTGTCGTAAGAGGCGACTAAGGGAGGGTGAGGAATGTGCAACAGCGTCCCTCTTAAAACATCTCCGAAGTCTAATTGTGGTTGCCAATCCGCCTGCGAAGTTTGGCAACTACAAAACCCTCCAAGCAGGAAGTTTATGTTAACAGTTGACAGTTGAAGACTGACATGATGATGATGAATGATAGAATGAGTATACTTTATTTGCATTATACAATATAGGAAATAATCACAACAATTAATAAATGTAACGATACAGTTGTATAAGTACAGTAAGGCGGCCTTATTGCTGAGAGCAATCTTTTCAAGACAACCTTAAGGTAATGGACTAATTGTTGTACAAGTAGGTATTGTATAATTGTTTGTTGTGAAGCAAATCCAGCTTATCCATCCATGCATATATATATATATATATATATATATATATATATATATATATATATATATATATATATATATATATATATATATATATATATATATATATATATATATATATATATATATATATATATATATATATATATATATATATATATATATATATATATATATATATATATATATATATATATATATATATATGCAATCCATAAGACTGATCGCCACTAAGTCCAGTTTTAAAATTAATTTCCAAAAATTCTTAATTGAGAGGCAAAAGTTAGACATTCCTGCAAGTTACCCCCATGTTCCATTTGTCTGCTAGTGAACTGTCATATCTGTCTGTTTACTGTATATTAATATTTTTTTTATTGTACGGATAATCTGGTAGTATTATTTTATTGTTACCCTATTCCCTTTGGCCGCAACAGAATATCAGTGCTTTGCTCTTTTGAGGGCGAAGCAATAAACTAAGTTGAGGCCATTTTGTATTGTTATGGCACACTCACAAACGAAAGTTGTATTTGGCTTTGTGTATTTTTTTTTTATCATTTATGTTATCTCGCTTTTTTTGTGTGTATGTTTGTTGTAATTTGCGTGCTGTAAGTAATGCAAATAAATTATCTAACGGATGGACGTTATTGCTTTTTCATAAAAAAACTACTGAAGGCATTTCTTTAAAATTTTGTACGCAGAGAAGTCAACGAGTAAGGACCCAATATATCTGCGAACATGTCGTTTTTGGCAAATATACTCATTTCCATATAACTCGGAATGACAAACAATTTGACGTCCTGTATTTGTTTTCACACAAAGACGATCGATCAAAGATGATCCGCCTATTGCGAGCACTGCAGCCTCATTATATAGTTTGGCAGAAAATGTACCATAACTATGTATACACATACAATACAATATTAACAATAATTTTGACATTAGATGTATATCAGAGGGCCCGTTTATGGCGAGGAGATGAACGTTAAAGCAGCAGGTGAGTCAACATCAAGGAGGCAGACTATTTAAGTTGTTGCTATATATATTACTGTAATGACGCCGCCTGCGGTATTGGTATACGTTGGTGGTACACCAGTGAGAGACGATAGGCGAGGATGAAAGCAGGTCACTCAGCCCATCGTAATAACCCTATGGTAAGCAATTTTTTTATAATATTACTGATTGTCTTAATGACTCATTCAATTAACACTTATACTTTTTAAGTTTTAAATTGTGCATGCCTAAAAATGGCGAAACATGAGGACTTATACCTACTGTTAACATCTATATACTTTTTTTAATGGGTGATAATGGAATGGTAACCCCGCCTGCGCTATCAGGATACGCTGGCGGGGCACCAGTGAGGGATGACAGATGAGAATGAAAAGGCAGGTCAGTTAGTCCATCGTGACGAATTCCACTAGAATTAACCACGATGGTTTCCAGGGGAAACCACGTGGAGATCGACCTGATCAGGTGTATTGCTAGCAATGGGTCAATTAGAGCCCATTACAAACAATCTATATACTTATCATATTTCTTGTAAATAAATATTCTTTCATGATTAACGATGGCTTGGTGTTCCTGTTCTCACTTTGATATTATATTTACTTATAACGTTTAAAGTATATTTGTGTTGTTAAGCCATATATATCAATTATTTACAACTCTGTATGTATCCGGTTTTTTCTATATAATCATTTCATCCCTGTATATACTTAGGTACTTTATACGCGTATTGTTCAAGTTTAACAATTAACAAGATAAATTTCTACTAATATATATATTGCGGTACTAATTATTTATTTTTATATAACATAAAAAAATATAACTATATTTTAATGACTGTTTGTACTAAAATTAAATAAAACAAAAAATCATAACATGACCCACTCACCTGCGGCGTGTTCGCGGAGTGTCGGCTGGGCCTCAGGTTCGCCGCCTGCAACAAACAATTACACTCCAGTCAAGGCATCGCCCGAGCGATGACGACCGTGACACCAGCCGTGAACTATCCACCACTGGACATAAGGCGCCCCCTCCCCTTGATATGTACAGTAAAACTTTACATACACAGGATAGGTACATTTAGTACTCTACAAAAAAAATGTTGCAACAAAACGGGATATTTCGTAGGCGCATTAGATTGATTTTTGGGCGCGGAATCCTGTCTATAATTTAATTTTGCTTCGCAGCAATTAGTTTTATGCTATACAAAGAAAAATGAAATTTACAGTCGTCACAAAAATAAATGGGATTAACAAGGATATAAACCGTACCAAATGAAAAAATTAAGTTATCAAAATGGATTCAGCTTCGACCGTGCAATCGTGAAGCAAGGACCAACAAATACAGATGAACAGGGAACCTCCTCCTGACATGTCAAGCTATTTCTTTAAGTTTCAATTTATTTGTAAATTCTTCTAAACATTACGCACCTATTGTATACAGTCCATATTTTTTTATACCACTGAGGTGGCAAACAAGCATATGGCCCACCTGATGGTAAGCGGTTACCGTAGCCTATGAACGCCTGCAATACCAGAGGTATTACGCGCGCGTTGCCGACCCTGAAGAAACCTTTTTACCCCCCTTTTGAAGAACCCCATGCTGGAGTCTCTTGGGAAAACCTCGGCAGGGATATACCATATACCATCATACCACACACCCTTTAGGGTCAAATCAAATATATTGCCTCCGGTGTTTTCTAATGTAACAGTGATCTGACTCGGCGACGGTTGTTACCTGGTCTCCGACGATCACTTGCGGCTGCTCCTCTTCATCGTCAGAGCGCGACGACCGCGGCTGGACAAATATATTTTAAAATTTTAACACTACTGAGAATACAGCATACTTCCACGTGTTAGCACTTCCTCTCGATGTTGGGATATCATAAAATGCGACTAGGGGAAAAAGAACCATATACCAGTGAAAGTACAAAAGTCGATTGCTTGGGTACCTCTGTTCCATTCGTGTTTCAACCGTGAAGCAGTTGTTTGCATGGCTGTGTTTCGGTTTGAAGGGTGGGATATGGCGTGAATTTACTGGGTACGGAGGAATAACACCTGAGTCCTCAGGAATGGCAATGCAAGGATTCTACGAATGTCGCCGCCATTATATATATAAATAAGGTAAAATGAGTCACACGATGGAAAGTGGTAACCGTTGTCTATACACATGAACAGCACTATGGTCATCACAGCACGTAATGTGAGAGCCTGCAGCACCTCTCATGCGTTCCCATCATCATGATATCAGCCTTTAACTGTCCACTGCTGAACATAAGCCTTCCCGTTGGAGAGTTTTGCCAGTAGTTTTTTTTTATGCAACTTAGAATGGCAAACAAGCTGACGGCCCACCTGATGGAAAGTGGTAACCGTCGCCTATAGACACGAGCAGTACTATGGACATAACAGAGTATACTGTTTTGCCATGCTTATGCAGGCAGGTTGGCTATCGTAGTTAGAGTTTAGTGATGTTTTAAGTGGGACGCTACTACCAATACATCGACTTTTAAATCCCCTTAATCGTATTACGATACCCCACAGGTAAGAACGGAGCGGCCCATTTTACGGCGGGACCACACAGCATGTATTCTTATACGTAAGGATTAACCATCTTTCAAATCAAAACTGTCATGGCTGGAGGAAAGGGATTGTTAGTAATGGTGAGTTTAGTCCCCATTGCTATCAATATACCCTATCAGGTCGACCTCCACGCGGTTCCCCCTGGAAACTATCGTGACCAATTTATCTTTACATTTATCACAATGGGCTAACTGACCTGTCTTTTCATCCTCACCTATCACCGCTCACTGGTACCCCGCTAGTGTATACCGATAGCGCAAGCGGGGCAACCATGCCATTTTTACGCATAAAAAAAAACTGTCATGCCTTTGCATATTTGCTTGGCAGAAGCACAAGTACAAGGTATATCTATTCAAATGGCTTTGTATAGTCGCTATCCCGTTTATCCCCCCCACCCCTCCTCACCTCCCCGCCGGTAGTGGGTACGATGCCGACGCACTTGGGGTGTGGCGGCAGCAGCAGGAACACCAGCAGGCCCATCAGGCCCATCACCAGCGCCGGGTATATGAACGACAGCGCCCAGTCGGATTCCACGAATGTCGCCGCCATTATTGTGCCTACCGAACAAACAAACACGCAAATAATAAGCACTGATAAGAATAAATGTCTTACAGTACGTCAGATAATGCTGGGAGATAAAAGAAAGGGGCGAGTGAATGAATTCCCATATTTGGATTCTTGAAGGATGGAATGTGTGAGGAGGATATTGGAAGGAGAATAAAAGTGGGAAATAGTGTACACAAGATAACTTCCACTTTCCGGGGGGAAAAGAATTGTTAGCATCGGAGTTTGAGAGCCCCATTGCTAGCAATATGCCCTATTAGGTCGACCTCCACGTGGTTCCCCCTGGAAACCATCGTGAACAATTCTTGTTGAACTCATCACGATGGGCTAACTGACCTGCTTCATCCTCGCCTATCATCCTTCACTGGTGCCCCGCCGGTATACACTGATAGCGCGGATGGGGTTACCATTTCATTATCACCCATTAAAAACTTCCACTTTCCAGAGGATCGCAGTATGAATTTGTCATGATCTCTCACTGGTACTCCGCCAGGGTATACGCATCGGTAAACCTTGAAATGCAGGTGAGGTTTTATCTTTAAAAAAAACCCCAAACAGGTTTTAAGTAAATAGGTAGATGCATTCCACTATTTCTATGGTGTCTGCTACGTGAACGACGCAATACAGTGAGAGACTTACCCAATATGTTCCCAATGGAGGTGTGCGAGTTCCACACGCCGAATATGAGCCCCTTTTTGCTGTTGCCGAACCACTTGCCGACGATGGCGACGGTGCCCGGCCACCCGGTCGTCTGTGCGATGCCCGCGGCCGCCTGCGCACCGCGCACCGCGCATCGTGACAGAAAAACAACATTAACAAATAACAACAGCAGCGACGACCACGATAATAGGATCAATATCACAACGGACCATAACGGGTGCAAAGCTTATCGAGTAGAAGGAGATTGTTGTAGTATATTATGTTCACGTACTGGCCACTAATAATTTTGTAAACACTGGCCAGTAACCAGTAACAATTTATTCTATTTATTCTTTCAATGAATAAATTAGTGTTTAACTAACTCGCTTGCGTATCAGTACAGTTGTCAAATTACAAGTTTTTTAAATGTCTTTATACCACATAGGTACCTCTCTCTGCCACCTCATGTTTACCATTTCATAATGGACACTAGCTAGCAGCATCAGGAGTGTCACGTACGCCTTTCCGATCCAGGCCCCAATTTGGTAATCGATAGGGTTAACTTTTGTATCAGGAGAGTTGACCTCAAATATGGAAATAGGCAGGAAAAAGAAGAAAAGGATTAACTCAAGCGTTAATCCTATATTTATTTTGATGCCGCTGTTTTCGGTGGCTTAAAATATTTGCAATTGTGTCTTGGTGACTCCTACGGTAACCAGCAATTTCACTGTGAGATCTCAACTTCTGGTCCTTGGCAGAAGAACTAGGTGGGTCACAAACATCGATAAGAAAGATTACTTTGTACAAGAATATCACTGGTCGCTTATATTTCCACTTACTTGAACTAACAAGTAGTACGATATATTGTGTATGTTATAAGTCCGCGCGATACCAAACAAGTAGCAGAACACGGCGGAGAACAGCATGCCCAGCGTGAGGAAATAGCGGAGGTCCACGCGCTCCGCCACCATGCCTGCGGACAAGTGGCAGGATGAGTTGGCCAATGGCTTATTACAAAGATTTGTTAGACGTTTCTTCTCTTGCACTTCCAAGTGTTTATTTCTAACAATAGTACAAACAACGTACCTGAGACGAACATGGCGATCGCGTACGAGAACAGAAACGCGCTGTCCAGTGTGCCGAGCAGGGTGTTCGCGTCCGTCGTGTCTGTAATCACACCACACGTACACCGTCAGCATACCTTCTTAATAGCACGTCTCATGTAACTATTATAAAAATCAATCTTGTTCGACAGGTTCTAAAATTTCCGTATGCCTTTCTATCCATCGAACAATTCAGCAATCGACTCATCGGTGATTAATTCCTTCAACAACGCGTATTAAGACGTTGCGTTTCGTAGCATATGAGCCGTGTGGTTCCGGCATAGTGTTGGTCTTCCTTACTCGTGGGTATCGTAAGAGGTGACTAAGACAACATAATGGTCGAGGGATGGCTAGCAGCGTCCCTCTTAAAACATTACCTAAGCCTATCTTCGATTGTCAACCCGTTGTGTCCATGTACTCTGTCATATCCATGATACTATTTATGTCTTTAGGCGATGGTTACCACTTTCCATCAGGTGGGACGTCAGTAATATACACTGTAGAATTATATGGAAGCTCATTTGTCTAAAATACTAAAAGACAGTAGGTACCCCTAACAGAAGAATTAGCAGGCGTGGTCTGTCCAATTTTCGAGCTGAGTGAAATTAAAAAAAGCCGGTGACTTACTGAAAGGAGCCCAGTTGCACCACTGGTCATCGTCGGGCGCGACGCCGGGCGGCGGCGGCAGCTCGCTGCAGTTTCTGTGCAGCACGCTCTTCACCACCGAGATGGGCTTGCGGGTCAGGTGGTACGTCATGTACGTGAAGAATGTCAGCAGCAGCACGCACGTCTGGTAGCTGTACGTGAACACATGCAATACTTGTTTTACTGCTGGCGACACAATCTATTCCAATGGAACCTCATGGAAATGTAAACAAACGAATAATCGACAGGACTATCAAGCAGTCTGCTAATGTCTAACAGCAATGCAAATAAAAATCGATCTATTGTTTTATTTTTTTCGAATTACATTTATAGAATGTTTATGATGTGATGAAATGGCCTTGGCAAGTCAGTATTTATCATCATTATGTCAGTCTTTAACTTGCCAGTAGTTGTTACGCTTGGCAGGCGGATTGGCAACCGTAGTTAGGCTTTGGAAATGGTTTTAAGAGGAACGCTGCTGCTCAACCCTCGCTCTCTAGTCTAGATAAACTCCCTTAGTAGTTTCTTACGACACTTACAGGAATGGATGGGGTGGCTTATTCTACGTCGGGACCACACGGCTTGTCAGTATTATTATTTAAGAAATACAGTTGTCTAATATTGATACGATCACTACAAATGAAACTGATTTGGTTCTACATGAGATCTCACCATTTTGATTTTTGTAATAGAACTACATTACGAAACTTGACATTATTATAGATTTTATGCTATTGATGGGATATTTGAAACAAAAAATAAACGCCGACTTCCAACCAAATGAGACCAACACTGAATCGACTATAAAAACAATTATAAGAATCCATAATTATTACTTTGTAATGAGATAACTGTAATGAAATGAATAAATGGCACAACAAATCAATATTAGGTGTCAGTGACACGTGAAATATGAATCAGCATTGTAAATGAATCATCACAGAATTCGGTCGATTTGAACGCAAACAATTGTTCATATTATCGTTTAAATATTGCATTAATTGCTATCTGATCTCTCGACGTAAAACCGCGTGGTTATAAAATAAAAATGTATGTACCAAGCTCCTATACCGACCTAGGATTTTATAAGCACTTTTTTTGAAAATTGATTAAACATGTATGTTCAATATGAGGGGAAGGGATGTTAGATATGTGGCTAGTATTAAGGATGTACGGGTTGCTACGTCCACCTTTATAAGTGAATTGACTTTGTGTATTAAACCAGTGTGTAACCGACCTCTGTGTTCACTTGTCGCGTACCCAACCCAGCAATATACAACAAATAGCAACTCTAGATAATGGAATAGCTGAGAGAAGGGATTGTTAGTAATAGGGATCTAACAGCTCCATTGCTAGCAATACACCCTATCAGGTCAACCATCACGCAGTCCCCCCTGGAAACCATCTTGGTTAATTCTTGTGGAAATCGTCACGATGGGCTAACTGAATTGTTAGTAATGCGAACTACCAGTCTACCATTGCTAGCAATATACCCTGTCAGGTCGACCTCCACTTTCTCCCCTGGAAACCATCGTACGTAATTCCAGGTATATTCATCATCACTCATCATAACAGCCATCAACTGTCCACTGCTGAATATGGGAGGGAGGGAGGCTTTGTATAAAAGTCGATTGATTGGGTACCTCTGTTCCATTCGTGTTTCAACCGTGAAGCAGTTGTGTTTGCATGGCTGTGTTTCGGTTTGAAGGGTGGGATATGGCGTGAATTTACTGGGTACAGAAGAATAAAATCTGAGTCCTCAGAAATGGTAACACATGGGGGGTATCATGGGCGAAACAGTATACTCTGTTATGTCCACGGTACTGCTCATGTACTGCTCAGGCGACGGTTACCACTTTCCATCAGGTGGGCCGTCAGCTTGTTTGCCATTCTAAGTTGTATAAAAAAAAATGTGTGTGAATTGTTAATCTTTGTCAGGTGCCCACAATACAGGTTTCGTTTAGTGTGGGGCCCATTGTATCTTGTGATTGTAACTTTGTGTTCTTATCAAATAATAAATTACTATTTCTAATTTACAAAGTCGTAACTTAATCGATAGCATAGTAAAAATATTGTTATAATATCTATATCATCACGTACAGTTAACGAGATACGGCGTGTAGGTACGAGTACACACGCACGTCACGCCTGCGTCAGAACAGAACAGACACAGATCCACAAACAGCGCGCGCTCATCACAATGTACACACTGTACACATGTTATCGGCGTACGTTACAAATGACAAATAAATTATATTCTGATTTTGGGAATGCCAAATTAATATAAGCAGAATAAATATGCTAACGGCTGCAATCCCTAATGGGACTCAATACGCCCATACATTCACATACACACCGATATTAAAGGGGTGATCCTACCGCCGCCGTACAATATTATTTTATTTTGTTAATGGTGTTTTTATTACTGGAGAGTTAATCGTGAATTTAATTGCCACACAAAGTATTGGGCAGATCCGAACTTACGAATATCGAGGTCATAGAGATTGGATTTGGAGGTAGTGCACTAAGACGATTATCACACGCAAACTACTATCTGTATTTTAATAATTTCAATAATTTCAATTTAAAATATTCAGAAAAATCTTAGTGTCATTTGTATGAGACCAACAGGTGTGTAGAGTAAATCCTTACAATAGTAATCATCAAAATCAATATAAAAGATGGTAAAAATATTCCATAATAAACTTAAAAAAATAATACAATGAATTAAGAAAACAGGGGTCTACCACGAAATGAAATTCTGAATTTTCAGGCTCAATTTTGTGTTTTTGTTTGTACTGAAATCGGCACAATAAATTGAGCTTAACATTTTGTTTGTTTCATAAATCCTACCATAATAAATAAAGAAATGCTATTTTAACATTTTTAAATTGTATGTATGGTGTAATTTTAACATCAAATTTGTGCTTCGTTCAGCCCCGAAAATTTCAGAAAATTTTATAGTAGACCCTCAGATGTAGAGTTACTTTCATATTTACAATATTAAATAAGTAGACATTGACAATACGTATTAATGATAACATGTGATAAGCAGAAAGTTGTAAAATTTTTAAAAACTGATAATGTGAAAGATAATTAATAATTGTTTAGATAATGAATAGAAGAGCAACATGGACACCTTTTATATTTATATTAGTTTTACCAAACAGATATACAGACAAATACTACTCAACTATAAATTAGCATGTAATGATAGTTATAGATAGGGTCGTGTGGTCCCAGCATAGAGTTGGCCACCCCTATGTTCCTATCCCGTGGGTGTTGTCAGAGCCAACTAAGGGAGACTGAGAGATGGGTAGCAGTGTTCCTCTTAAAACATTTTTAAAGCCTGACTGTGGTTGCCAACCCGGGTGCCAAGTGTGGCAACTATTGGCAAAACTCCCTAAGAGGGAGGCTTGTATTCAGCAGTGGACAATTTTTTTTTAATGGATGATAATGGAATGGTAACCCCACCCGCGCCACCGGTTTACACTGATGGGGCACCAGCGAGGGATGATTGGTGAGGATGAAAAGGCAGGTCAGTCAGCCCATTGTGACAAATTTAAGGATAAATTAGTCACGATGGTTTCCAGGGGGAACCGAAAAAAAAATTCTACCAGCAATCAATTTGTGATTATTACAAGCTAACTCTAAGAGGATTGATTAGATGATAATACTGAACTTGACTGCATCATGTCATCTCACATACTTCAAATTGAGATGAACTTTTCATCCTCATTATGCATCACAATTCTACATAAATATCATCTACATACATATATCTACAATGTAATAAATTCTTGAACTAGTTATAATAATTAATTGTGAAATCTAGAACATGGATCACTAAGTGAAGAAGCATATCTCTCGTGGCCGTGACCTTCTGTCCGTTCATATGATATACCAGCAAAGTTTACATTATCTGATTGTAAAATAGTTCTCTATACAACTTCAATGATTGTAGTAATCTATCTCCTTTGTTTATGATTTCTTTCTCATATTAATATAAATTATAAAGTACTCAAATATTATAAAATAAACTTTAAGCAGAGTTATATAAAAGTTGTTTTGAATTATAAATTTTTATTTCGATTTCCTCTGTAGTTTCAGAAAATTGATGTTGAGAATTTATAGTCTTCTTGTCTATAGTATATTATATATATAGTGTATCTTGTCTATTATATATATAGTATATTTAATGTTTGTTATACCTATATGTTATAATGCAATATGCTGTTGGTGTTCCTTAAATAAATAAATAAATAGTAATAATAGTATAGGAATTTTGTTGATTAGTTATAATAATAACAATTAACTCTTAAATTGCTTGGAAGAAGTGAAAACTTTTAAAAATCAATCAAATCAAATAGTCATTATTCAAAAATAATGCCCAAAAATATTTGTCATACACCACCCTAAGACAAACTGAGATTTATTTTAAGCATGATAATAATGTAGTACACTACAATCATATAGTATAAGTGTAATTTAAATAAATTGTAATAAATGTATCTTATAAATTAAAAATGAAAAAATAAAAACATTGGAAAATTATTGGGTGGGGTATTTTATAACTATTTATAATATAATCCCTGGCTACCAACTCACTGAGAAGTGGTACTACACAATATGAGTATTATAATTCAACAATGAGTAACTCAATTGAGTTTTACATAAAAAGTATTCAAACTTATCTCTCTTTAATTACTATACAATGGGACTCTATCAAATGAGTGCAGTCATAACATTGAAATCCATTGTTTTTATGTATAGAACACGAATCGAGCGTGACATCAACATTCGACAACTTATTTTACTTTGTGTTCTAACTTAAAACAACGTTTATTACTCACAATCGAAGCCTGTTGAATTGCCATCGCGGGCAAAGCCATCCAGTTGCGCGTTGTAGAAACTGTATACCAACCGGCGCATCCCGACTCACTCCACTCATTTTAGACAATTTTTTAAAGCCGAAAGTCCTCCAAAAATATTTCGTAACTCGCCTCATCCACGCTTACTAACACTGTGCACGAATAAAGCCATTGTTTTCGCATAAAAGCCTTTGTTTACTCATATGCACTTTAACCGAAACAAAACGGAATTTGCACACGTCATCTGTGAAATTTAACACACTATATTAAAAGGGGTATCCCTGTAATAAACTTATTGTATATTTTAATAGTAGTTTATGTAACAGTAAAATTATAAATATTACAAATTAATATTAAATTTTATTCATACAGACACGTCGACCTCTTTTTGTTTCTCGAGAGGAATGTTAAAGACTGTCAATGTCATTTTTCTGACAATTTAAGATTTGTCATAAAAGCCATTGTCAAAACGGTCAAAATTTTAATAATATGAGGTAAAGCAAAGGAACTATAGCCATACAGTTAAATAAATATCTGTTTCAACTAGAAACATTTTAGAATAATAACACCATAAAGTCTCAACCAAAAAGCTTGATTTGGTTTATATGATAAAGGTTATATGTATGTTGTTTCTGTGTACTCTAATATGTTATATAAATGTGGTTAGATTTGAATTATAAAATAATAGCAGTTTGCTTATTACTTCGTACGCATGGATAAAAAAAGAAGAAAACTAATGATATAGATCACTTTTAAGTGGCATAACAAGATGACAAGACAAAGACAAAACACCAGTTTTTTAAGTTAAATCTTTAGAAACAATTATGAAAAGCACTTTTTATTTGGTATAGTATTTTTTGCGTGATTCCAGAACAAAGATGCATATAAATAGACAGATAATAATTCTAAAGTTATATATTTTCTTCTATTGATAAAATACTGGGAAAAAGGATTGTTTAGTAATGGAGATTATCAATCTCTAGCAATATACTCTATGTGGTCATTCTGCACTCGGTTCTTCCTGAAAACTATCGTGGTTGATTTATTGTTGAATTTGTCATGATGAACCAACTGATCTGCTTCATTCCCATCTATCATCACTGAGTGGTGTCCCACCAGCGTACACCGACAGCGCAGACGGGGTTACCGTTCCATTAAAGCTGGAGAATAAACAATTTTCTATTTTGCATATAGACTAAATTATTTAGTTACATAATACCATGATGGCGGTGATGTACATAGGTACAACGTAACGTAACTACCTACCCAGTTCCTATTAATTTAGATTATTATCAACATCATACAAAAACCATTACCAAATGGTTTATTGCGTTCCTATAATATCAAAATATAATTACTTAAATACAATGGATTATTTATAGTTTTAATATAAAATATTATGCGATCATGATATCACTTGTAAGTATTAATTTGTATTTGCAACTATTAACAAAAGATTTTATTAGTTTGAGCGTAAAAAAAGTTAAAGTTGCGATAGACAGATGGTAATGAATGTTCCAAATTTTACTATAAAAAGTTTACAAGCTTTTCCTAGTTTATCTAAAGTAAGATATACCTACTCGTATAAAATATTATATGTACAGAAACTGTACAAATAAATTACTGTAGGCGTATAATAATCAACTACTACTTACCTTCTCAAACCACACAGTGTGGTGAGGGATCCTGTTTTTAATTGGGACCATGAAATTAAACGAAAACAAGTAAATTTTTAATGTTGTATGCAAACTAAGATGAAAAAGGTATTCTGGTTGATTTGAGAATAATCGATGTTTACCTATAATACAATGTATAGATTTTGGTTTCAGGGACATCCAAACGAGTTCTATTATGATATAGACATGGATGAGGACTACAAGGAGGAGAACGACACAGCAATGGAGGGGCACGTGCTCGAGGATGACGACGTCCTTGTGGTGAGCAATCCCGTGGAAGCGCGGCTGCCCAGCGCGCAAATCAGCGTTCGATTACTCAGGTACATTTTAATCTCCATGTACATTTAAACTCAATTTACACAAATACTGAATGTAGGATTGCACAAAATCAAGTAATACTTCAGCATTGTGATGATTACCGCAATATTGCTGCGGCAAAAAATATATTGTGACGATGTCGTAAGGGTAATATGATTTGTCTCGTCGTGGACACAATGAAATTTATTTTAGAATAAACTCTGGTTGATAAAAATGCGTTTTATTAGAGATAAATGTTAACAATAATGTTCTGAATGGTGTTACAACTATCCAAGTGAAAAACAAGATGGCACCGTGCCGTAAATACAACAGTGGACGGTAGGACAATAATAAAAAAGGAAACGCCTGCTCGAACAGGCCGAGCACGCAATTACGAAATTGTCATTAACATAAACTCCCCCGTTGAAGACTCGCTCTTCAATCGTCTCCATCGTTAATAGTCTTCATCAGCAAGAAGAGGGCAGAGGCGAACAAGAGGTCGCCGGTAACATCCTGTCTTTGTATTTACATCTGCGACACGAGAGATTCCATCAGGTCCTGGATATAATTTTGTTACTCGACCAGTACGCCAGCATAACGGAGGAAGAGTATCTTCACGCAGCAAGACCAAATCTCCAATCTTTACTTTGGCTGTATCAAGTTTCCATTTGGTCCGTACTTGTAATTCAGAGATGTATTCTTGTTGCCATCTTCGCCAAAAATGCTGTCTTATTTGCTCAAGACGTGCATGGCGACGCAAGCAACTTTCCTTATAGTCTTCTAGACAAGGGGATGGCAAAGCATTCAGCGGTTTTCCAATCAGAAAGTGCCCTGGGGAAAGGAATAGGAAGTCGTCTGGGGAAGAGGATAAGGGACACAATGGACGACTATTCAATATAGATTCCACTTGTGCAAAAAGAGTCGAAAGTTCCTCGAAGGTTAAATGAGAATTGCCCATTACACGACGTATAAGGTGTTTGGAAGATTTGATTCCTGCTTCCCAAATACCACCAAAATGAGGAGCGTAAGAAGGAGTAAAAATAAATTTAATGCCTTCCTGAACTGCAAACTCAGATAATTTTTCATTATTAGTCTTTAGAAAACCATTAAGTTCTTTAGCGGCTCCAACAAAATTACGACCGTTATCGGAAAATATTTCCGCTGGCTTGCCGCGACGACATATAAACCGACGTAAGGTCATAATAAAAGCATCCTTAGTGAGGTCGCTTACAGCCTCCAAATGAACGCATTTGTACCGTAGACATACAAATAAACATAAATAAGACTTAGATAATTTAGCTCCTCGTCCCTTTCGATTTAATGTAATAAAGGGTCCAGCCATGTCAATACCAACAGATGTAAAAGGAAAATCTGGCGTAATTCTTTGTGAGGGTAGATCACCCATTTTTGGCAATAACGTCTTTCCTAAAACTCGTCGGCAACGTACACATTTACGTACAGTTGCTCGTGCTAATAACCTACCCTTAATGGGCCAAACAGTTTGTCTGACTGTGGCTAGAAGCAGTTGTGGGCCAGCGTGCATGTTGCGAATGTGCTCTGCTCTAAATATCAATTTGCATAAATAATGAGACGAATCTAATAAAACTGGATGTCTTTTATTATATGGATAGGTTGAAGCGTCTATACGCCCACCCACTCGTATTAAGTTATCGTTATCAAGAAACGGTGACAATGATAATATTTTTGATTTCGTATTCAAAAATTTTTCATTTGATAACGCTTTAAGTTCAATGGGAAAACTTTCTTGTTGGGATATAGTGCATAAAAAGTTAAAAGATTTGTTCAACTCTTCAACAGTTAATGGGCCTGATATTTTGATATTGGGGTTTTTTATATTGTATATAAAGCGATTGACATAAGCGACCGATCTTTGCAGTCTATTAAGATTTGAAAACCGTTCCATTTCTATTATTGATTTGTTTACAATGACGGACGTAGCAACCACTTTAAGCTCAGGTAAATTATTAAAATTATCATGTTTTAAAACTGGCCATTCGTCTTCTTTCTTTTGCAGAAATTTGGGCCCTTCCCACCACATGTCTGTATGACACAGCTGATCGGCACTTACACCACGTGAAATTAAATCGGCAGGATTCTCTGCAGTGGGAACATAACGCCAGGAAGACGACTGCGTGTTTTCTTGGATTTCACCTATTCTATTGGCTTTAAAATAGTTTTTTGAGGAAGCTCTTCTAGTTCCCAGAATTTAGTAAGAAGGGCGTCAACATTTGATTCTTTAGATAAAGGTGCATTGACAATTATATTATTACAATGAATATCATTATTTTTACATGTATTTATGGGACCGCCGATCAGCCAGCCAAATACAGAATTACGAAGTTTTGGTTTGTTTGGACCTAAGGAAGTCTGCTCAGATAGTATAATGTCCCAAAAGAGGTCAGCACCTATCAACATATCGATAGGACCTGGTTGGTCAAATGTTGGGTCCGCTAACATAATCTGTTTGGGTAAATTTAAATTTACACAAAATTGTGGTAAACTTCCTGTAAGTCTATCAAGAACGAAGCAATTTAATTTAAATTTACTTTTATTATTTAGAGATTGTATTTGTACCATAGAACTTTCAGTTATATTATTGGTAGCATTATGGCCAATGCCAATAACATTCATGGAAATAGGAGTGGAAGTTAGTGATAATTTTTCATGTAGTTTTTTTGTAATAAATGATGATTGACTGCCTGAATCCAATAAGGCACGCACTTTGGTTGCCTCTTTGGTTATTGGATTCAAAACTTCAATTAGAGCAGTCGATAAAAGAACTTGTCGATTAACTTCTTTAGAGAAATTAACCATTGAATTTTCTTCACGTATTTGCGCATTATTGACTTTTGTATTGTCAATTGAATGCAATAAAGTATTGTGAGGTTTTTTGCATTGCTTACAGGGACCCATGCGACATTCATTAACAGGGTGACCTTGCCGTAAACAATTAGGACATAATTTATATTTAGAAACTTCAATTAACTTATCTTTAATGGATTTAGACTTAAAAATTGGACAGTCATAAATTTTGTGATTCTGATTACAAATAATACATAGCCATACTTTATTTTGACTAGTAGTAGCAAATGACTTTTTATTGATTGCGTGTTTATTATTATTATGCTTATAAGTTGATGAATTACCTGATAATAAATTATTAGTGTCAGATCTATTGCGACGCATAGATTCGAGAACAAATGCTCGATCAATTAAAAATTTCTTGAATTGTTCTAAATTTGGTAATTCATCTATAATATTACGTTGCTCTTCCCACTTCAGAAGTGTACGATTATCAAGCTTAGATGTAATAATAAAAATAATAATGGTATCCCAATGGTCTGTTGGTTGACCTAAGCTAGAGAGAGCACGTAGATTTTTGGTTATGTGGTCAACTAAATAGCGCAAAGAATCTTCAGTTTCGCGAGTGGCTTGTTGGACATTAAATAAAGATTTTAAATGGTGATTTATGAGTAGACGCTTGTTGTTATAACGATCATAAAGTAATTGCCATGCACTGTTATAGTTAGACGATGACACTTCAATATTAGAAATAACACGAGCAGCATCACCTTCTAGATATGAAATTAAGTAGTGAAATTTTTGTATTGGTGGGATGTGCTCATTATTATGAATTAAGCTAGTATATGTGTCTCTGAACTCAAGCCAACGAAAAACCGATCCGTTGTACCTTTCAATATTGATTTGAGGTAATTTAACACGACACTCATTATGATCGAGACTGCATTGAGCTTCTTGAAAAAGAGATTCGCGTCGTGTCTTATCATGTTCTACACTTTTTATTTGATTTTGCTCGTCGACAACATTTTTTGCTGTAGCTAAACATGATATGAACTCATGCTCAATGCGTTCACGCTCATCAATTTCAGATTCTAAATGTTCATTATTTACCAATTCTATTTGAGTTTGCAATTCATCATATCTAGCTGAGAGGCTTTCAAATTTAGTGATTTTTAATGATAACTCGGTTATTTCAATATTCGTCAGTTTAGGCTGTCTTGTAATCTTATCTAAATAATTCTTAAATTTAGTAATTTGTCCTTTAATAGAACTGCGTTTAATACTTAGATCTTTATAATCAGTATTTTTGTACACACTTGTAGATGAAGCTCGTGGATCAGTCATTTTGTTTATTAAAAATTAGTTAAATAAATTTAGTTAATATTCTACGCAATTATATACCTGAGACAAAGGGTTAAATTAAGTTTTTACAATGTATATGTTGGTACAAAAATATATTTATATAAATTACATGTAGGTAGACTCCATGCAATTTACATAAAAACAGAAAATGCTATTGATTATTATTTTAGTTAATTTTCTATTATTAATATATGTGTAATATAATAAACCCAAAGCAGTGTGTAAAAAAATAATAATAAAATAACAAACTACGTAATATATTAACCTTATTACTATCCTAATGCTTCTGATAACTCCGTAAAGGACTTATCGTGAAGATAGGAAACTTACAAATGAATTACAAGAAGCCTTCACTGATTGCAAATTGAATTTGTTAAATGTTAGAAAAAAGTTATAAATATAATAAATGGGTAAGCTCACGCTCCTCGTCAGGCGATATCCAGGTGCAGGCAGATGGCTGTGATGATAACAGCAATAGCAATATAATCAGCTGTCGAACAGCAATAGATACAGGCAGCAACCTGAAAATAGTCGGCAACGGGTCTTAATTGGAGTAAAGTGATGACGTTCGTTTCGTTATCATAACTATAATGTTTTTAATGTGTATAATACAAGTATATACACTCGTTATTTTAAATAAATAAAAGTAAAATAAATGAAAAACTAATCTGTTTAAGGGTGGGTAGGAGTTGACATTAATATAATGTGTATGTACATTAACTTGAAAAAACCTTCCCTTTTTCTCATCAATATAACGATTGATTGAATTATGATAATTTATAATAGTTCAAAATAAATGAAAAACAATATACATACAATACGACTCAGATTCTAGTAAAAAGGAGTATATTTTTATTCTAATATTTTTATCGTAGGTAGATTTTTGCACAAGCAGAACAATACTGAAATTTAATATAATTTATGTACTTTAGGTTTTATAAATATAAGAAATTATTAGTTAGGAATATTTAGGACACTTATCTGAATAAATATGTTGCGAGGTGATGCTTTTGATTCGTCACTGCTCAGCGATATATAGTAGTTTCGTACTACGAGTTTTTGTACTTTTGCTTCTTGAATATCACGAGGTCTGCTACTGATTAACAATGGGGATAGCACGTACACGACAATTATATTGTTCTTGTTGATGACCAGGTGGATATAATCGTCGACTTGCTTCTTCCAATGATGAATTTCGGTAGATATATAATTCCAGACCGTATATTTTGATGCGGTCCTGTCACGGTCGCCAATTTATGTCTCGTCGTGGACACAATGAAATTTATTTTAGAATAAACTCTGGTTGATAAAAATGCGTTTTATTAGAGATAAATGTTAACAATAATGTTCTGAATGGTGTTACAACTATCCAAGTGAAAAACAAGATGGCACCGTGCCGTAAATACAACAGTGGACGGTAGGACAATAATAAAAAAGGAAACGCCTGCTCGAACAGGCCGAGCACGCAATTACGAAATTGTCATTAACATGATTTATTATTATTGGATATCATTAATCATCGATGTTGCTTGGTTAATGTTTCTATCCATAACGTAGACGAAGTCTAGCCAGATGCAGTTTATTATTTCTTACATTATTGTTCTCATATCCGGCTCAATGGACCAAAATACTGGCTCCTCAAAATTACGATAGTCAAATACGAAATCAAATTGAGTGTAAAGTTGCAGTTTCATTGAAAAAAAAAATGTATACAATATTTAAATTTTAAATAAAGCCTAGTAAAATATAGATATATTATCTATTGCAAAAATATTTCCAAAGAGGGTTGACGTCATACAGGCGGCCGGTCGTAAAACTAAAAGCCAAATCTTTTTGTAATATGGATAAAACCATATTACGCCGACTCCAAATAATAATTGGGACAAGTGTAGGAAAATGTGGTTGATCTACTGCAAACATATGTTTTCTGGTAATAATAATAATAATAAAGGCAAATATATAAACAATAATTCTTTATTCAAATAAACTTAAGTACAAGTATTTTTGAAGTACCTAATTTTCTTTATAGTTCTACCGCTGTACAATGTATATTGACTTGCCTTGTTACTTACATTTGTTGTTTTTAATTAGGGATATTTTAGAAGCTAGAGCGGAGGCAGGCAAGATTATGCCACCTGCTATCAAAACTCCAGTGTAAGTAATTTTTAATATGGTTTATTTTTATTAAAATAAAAAGGTGACGATATAGTCATTGTATGTAAATTACTTGTTCTGTGGAATACGGTCAAGCATGTTGTGCATAATATTAAATTAACGAAACGCCTCAATCACTTCTCTATTATTCCGCCTGGGATTAGATGTACAGTTATCACAATTTTTTTCTAACGAGTAAATTTTTTCACTATGCCATTACTTGAAGTATTTTTTTTATACCTTCTACTAATTTGCCGATGTTTATTGTGGTGTTTTATTGTATTTAATAATTAATCTCATTTCCAGTCCGTGGGTGGACTATCAGCGGTGACGGAACAACGAACCCTGGAGACGGAGCTGATATATGAATTAAAAAATACGGACAAAACTTAGACGTAGATTCCTTCTGCAAAAACTTGTTGAGAACATATTGGCAAACTTATTGCATCGTCTTATATATATCTTTATAATTGTTGAGCTAACAGTACCTAATAAAGTCAATTAGTAATATTTATGAATGTCCTGTAGGTACGAATAATGGAAGCGACGTGACCATCGGTGCAGGCGAGGGCGCCACCAGTGGCGACGGAAACAATACTGGGGCCGGGGAGGTCGGGGTAGGCAAGGACGAGGCTACACCCGGACCAACAAAATAATAAGCGTTTACTTATCGTATGGATGTTCAAAAAAATGATTCAATCATATTATTCCTAGAGTGTAATATTGTGTAAATAAATAAAATTGTAAATTCACGTTTACAAGTATAGTACATTACTGCAACGGCCAGCAACTGAGGCATTGATAGACGAACGTGCAAATGTGGGCCGAGGCGTAGCCGAGGCATACATACGTGAGTCCATCAATGCCTAGTTGTTGCCAAGGCTTGTATAGTACTTTTCTCAAACAATGCGCGGAAATCAAAAACACAATTTTACTTTTTAAGTTCAATGATGATTAACGAACAATAATAATTTTTCACGCGCCATAATGCTCCTTTGTTTTTTCAATTCACAATAAACAGCTTTCTATTTGCAAGCCAGTTCGTAATTTAAATAAAATCTTTTATTAATTACCTCCTTGGTAGCCATGTTTCGAAGTAAGAGGTCATTCCATTTTTAATTTACAGGACAGATATGAGTTTACATAGTAATTTATCTGGCCGCAAAACACGACAGATATGGATTTTCATACAACTTTTGCCGGCCGCTGCCCGCATGTATCTGGCCAGTACGGCAATTTTGATTTATCTCTAAGAAGATTGTCAAAATAATGCTCACATTTCCAAGCATCTTTGAGAAAAAAAAAATATTATACTACTATATTTCACTTGAACTGTTTAATTATCATTGTATATTTTCATGTTTCTGGTGCGATAAAGAGTTAAATAAATAAAGTCAGAGGGCCTACCATGAAATGTTTTCTGTAATTTCGGGCCCGAACGAAATACAGATATGATGTTTAAATTACATAATACATACAGTTTAAAGATGTTAAAAATGTTAAAATGTCATTCCTTTGGATTTTTATGGTACGATTTATGACGAACGAAATGTTAAGCTTCATAGCCAGGCCGATTTTCGTATGAGCAAATACACAAAATTCCTTTCATGGTAGACCCCCAGATTTATTCGAATTATTACTGAAAGTAGGTGTTTCGACTGGAGGAGTGGAGAAATAAAACGAGCGCCAGGTGCAGACAGGCGGTATATTTAGCGGGGCGCGGGATGTGCGCGGCGCGGCCAGTCGAGGTGCACGCGCGCGACGTCGAGCGCGAGGATGTCGACGCGCGCGCGCAGCGCCGCCTGCAGCGCGGGCGCCGTGCGCGCCAGCTCGCCGTGCACCCACTCCTTCACGTACGTGCCCGCCGACGTGCGCACGCGCAGCGCCAGCAGCGCCGGCTGCCCTGCGCGCACGCGCAACCACACGGTTACCGAACCGCATCGCTTCACCCACTACCCTCGTAAACCACTATAGATTTTTTTAATGGGTAAAAATAAAGTGGTAATCCCGCCTACGCTATCGCTATACACCGGCGGGGCACCAGTGAAAAATAATAGATGAGGATGAAAGCAGGTCAGTTGGCCCATAGTGACGAATTCGTATAGCATTAATCAAGATGGTTTCCAGGGAGAACCGCATGGAGGTCGACCTGGTAGGGTATATACCTACTATATGCTAGCAATGGAGCTGTTAGATCTCCACTACTAACAATTCTTTCCCCCCCGGCCCGGCGTGGCACCGACCTGGCACGGCGGCGGCGGACAGCTGCAGGATGTGGCGCGTGCGCGCGAGCAGCGGGCGGCGGTGCAGCACGCGGATGGGCGTGCGCTGCACGAGCTGCACGCGCACGCCCGGCTCGCTCGTGTTGCTGTACGAGTTGATGTTCGCGATGTCCTGCTCCGTCACCGTCACCGGCTCTGTCGGACTCTTCTGCAATCATATTATGTCGATCATTGAATATTTGACGCAGAGAATGGTGCTGCAATGGTGCTCGGTCTATAGGCCTATGTCCAGCAGTAACTGAACTAATGACAGATTGAGAATCATCATTTTTACATATCAGCAAGCCAATAGGGTAACGCAATATTTGCATCCATATCAGAGTTAAACTTATAAAGTTATTTGTTTGAAAATTAAACTGTAAATCAAATGAACAATATAAATTACAATTTAACTGCAAACTGCTTGTTTGAAATTGAGAATACTCTTACTAGAGTCTCTGATTGAGAACGATGAAACTTAGTCCAATTTATCTAAAACACAAGTTTGTGCGTCACCGCTACAACCGACATCTCCAGCAGTGAACAGTCCCGAGATCTTCTCGAATATAGGGTTAAGCTAACTCCAAAAAACTCGGGGTAGTCAATAGAGCGAAACAGTATTTCACCCCGAAACAAAGACTATTGTTGTATAAGTCGCAAGTCCGGCCCCTCATGGAGTACTGCTCTCATGTGTGGACCGGGCACCTGGATACCAACTTGCTCCTCTTGACTAGGTTCAAAGACGAGGTATGACAATTGTCCCAATCCCAAGTTCACGTACGGTATCGAGCCCTTGAATCTAAGGCGAGACTTTGCCTCCCTTTGTGTGTTCTACCGCTTATATAACGGATTATGTTTTGGCGCATTGTGACATCGACAGCCACCTTTTATCATCGGACCACTCGCCATCGATCCTAAATGGTCGCATACAGTGCGGTTTTAGAGGAGTTTTCTCTCGTGAACGCTCAGGCTGTAGAATGAGCTTTCTGCTCAGGTTTTAGAGACAATAGTATAGTGTTCTTCAAAAAAGGTATAAAAAGGGTTTTGATGGTCGGCAACACGCACGTCACGCCCCTAGTGTTGCAGGCATCAATGGGCTATAGTGACCATCAGATAGGCTGTTTGTTTGCTTGCCACCTTAGTGCCAAGTATATGTAATCTATCAGTCCATGATCTGTATCAATACTGTGACGTCCGTGGTGCTGATGATTCAATAGGATACTCACGTCGTGTTCATGTTCTGAATGCGACAGTTTGATGCAGAGTGCTTCGTACGTCTTGCATTTCGTCTCTTCACCTTTTTTCAGTTCTGCAAGCTCCTCTCTGAAATATAAATAATGAAAAACTTGTAAAGCATATTGTAGACCGTTTTCTGGACAGTCAGCTTGTCACAATATGAGATGTTTTTTTTTTAAATGGATGATAATGGCCGCCTGCGCTAACGGTATACGCTGGCAGGGCACTACTTGCCCTCATAATTAACAATCCTCTGACAGTATGAGTAACTGTTTGTCAGTAATAGGGTCTAATAGCCCCATTGTTAGCAATATACCCTAACAGGTCGGCCTCCACGCAGTTCCCCCTAGAAACCGTGGTTAATGTTTGTTGAATTTACCACGATGGGCCAACTTGACTTGTTTCATCTTCACCACATCGGTGTCCTACCAGTGTATACCAATAGCGCAGGTGGGATTGCCATTCCATTTTCACCCAAATCCTATCCAAATCCCCGTAAGGATCTAATTAAAGAGCATATCTTTTTTATTTTCTCTAAATATGTACCAAAGGGAGACTTTGAACAAGATATCTGCTTGTGTGTCTCTGTACCATTCGTGTTTCTGCCATGAAGAAGTTGTTTACACTTTCCGTCAGGCAGGCCGTCAGCTTGTTTGCCATCTTAGATTGTATAAAAAATAATGTTCTTATAGCAAGAGCAGTGAGATTACAGACCTGGTGACGTACATCATCTCGCGGACGACCACCTTCCCGCCAGCGGAGATGTCCTCACACACCCGCTTCAACTCGGCCTCGGTCAGCTCCCGCCGAGGGTCCGTCACCTGTATTCACTATTGTTGCTGAGACAAGTACCTTATCAGTACCATTTAGTTTTAAACTAAACACATGTAGCTTGTATTTGTCTTTTAATAGTTAAGGTTTCTCATGAAAATACTTCCAGTAATTTTTACATTGGAACAAGGAATTAATAATTTTGTAAACAGAAATACATAGTCTCTGGCAACAGGCCGATGATTTCTTGTCAGCCGAAACAAATAAGTCATAGACTCAATATACAATAACTTGTCTATCTACATGAGTCACGGGAAATTAATGAACTTATTGTGTTTTGTCGTTTCCAATCATTCTTTCGACTTTAACCGAGTCTTCTTTAGGGGGTGTTCTGCCATTTACGTCACAGCATTTTTTTTATACAACTTACAATGGCAAACATCTGACGGCCCACCTGATGGAAAGTGGTAACCATCGCCTATAGACATGAGCAGTACCGTGGACATAACAGAGTATACTGTTTCGCCCATGATACCCTCCATGCGTTGCCATTCCTGAGGACTCAGGTGTTTTTCCTCTGTACCCTGTAAATTCATGCCATATACGCTCTTTAAACCAAAACATAGCCATGCAAACACAACTGCTTTACGGTTGAAACACGAATGGGACGGAGGTACCCAAGCAAACGACTTTTGTACAAAGTCTCCCTCTAGCATGGTGACATGATTACTGCTGCGGCCCGTGAGTTCGTTCAAATACAATGTGTTCATTAATTTCCCGTGATTTATGTAGACAGACATCAAATACAATATGAATATAAATTTAAAAAATAATAAGCAATAAGTTTTTCATCGTGTCACCTCAACAGCGAAGGGTCTGCCGTCACCCAGGCACCTGACGTCCACATCTTCGCGTCCTGCTGACATGAACTTCAACCGGTGTTCGCATTCCTCTGGTGTAAGTCTAATGGGAAACATCAGAAAATGATTGTGTTCTCCATCATACTCGTGAACGGCGGCTACTTGGCATATGTCTATTTTAAATAACTGTTAACAGCAATTGCTGTATGTTATAAGTCGTTCAGGCTATTACCGTCACACTATTGGGCACGTAGTCGTGACCTGTTACTTCATCCGTCTGACTGGGATGAAAATATTCATTTCCATGTCATATAGTATGCCAAATTGAGTGACGGAAAGATGAAAGTAGAAGCAGGTCAGATAGCCTATCGTGACGAATTCCAAAGAATTAATTACTTTCATATAATACTAGCGACCCGCCCCGGCTTCGTACGGGTGCAATACTGATACTAAATAAACAGCTACCTACCTACTACAGAATGTTCTTATAAACAAAATTTACAGCTTTTTTGTCATTAGACAATACAAACATAATAAAGTGCTATAGGGCGAAGTGCGGCCTTCGACGCGCTACTTATAGGCACGCGCCGTCGGCCGAGCCGGTACCGCCACACCGCTATGTCCCTGCATTTTAAATTTGTAATATCTTCGAAAATATTCATTTAAATTACATGCTGTAAAGGGCCATATTGATGTATATTAAATGGACAATGTATTTAAGGTTGTTATTTACTTAATTGGATAAAAATTAATACTGTATTGCTTAAAATCACTTCATAAATAAGCCATTTTTCTCGTAAAATGTAAAGGATAAAAAATGGTTAATGTGGGTTATTCTTAAGACTTTTTTATTGACCTTTTTAAGGTGTACAATACTATAAGTACATTATTTTGATTTATCTCGTGGGGTTCTGCAAGCGTTTGCAATGTAAGCGCAAAAAAAATGTGTTTATTTACGACATCACATTAGAAACCTCTAGATTTATCAGTGTTACTCTACAATATTATGCATGTATTATACATATAAACTCTCTGATTACTCTGTTAAAAACCCGCTTCAAAATCCGTTGGGTAGTTTTAAAGATTTATGCATACATAGGGACGGATAGACAGCGACAGCGATTTTGTTTTATACTATGTGTACTATGTAGTGATTAGGCTAGTAAGGATTACCGGTGAAATGTTCTTTGCTTCCCCAGTGGCCTTCTATCACATCCGTGGAATAAAAAGGAGGAGCGTTACAGTGAATTATTGCTTCACATAAGTACCTTTGATGTATTTTTTATACCACTGAGGTGGCAAACAAGCATACGGCCCACCTGTAAGCGGTTACCGTAGTTTATAGACGCCTTCAAATTTCTTTACGCACGCGTTACCGACCCTGAGGAAATCAGAACTGTATTTAAAATAATTCACTAGGGCGGCCTGGCTCCTTGAAAAAGGTACATTATTTACTCTCAGACATGTCTTTGTGCTCAGTTAAAAGTTACGCTCGCAGTCTGGGGTAGGCATCAGAGAATTCTGCCTTCCCCTCCGTCCCCCTACATACGCTCATGTCATACATATACGACCCTGGTAAACGGTCCTCAGCAGGAGAGCAGAGTACTGACCCGTACGCGGCTGCGATGGGCGCAAATATGATCTCCTGGACCGAGGACTCCATCATTCGGACGCCGTTCAATATCCAGGGCGTCTGCGGAAGCTCGCGCGACAGCTTGATGTACCTGCAATCAAAACTGACTTCGATACTAGGAAAAAGGGAGCGGCTCACCCCGCTCGCTACACCACGACGGAGCCGTACCTGCCGGCCAGGTGCAGCGGCGCGTGCGCGGCGTGCACGGCGGCACAGCGCGCATGCGCGGCGGGCTCGGGCGGCGCGGGCCAGCCGGCCGCGCGCAGCGCCGCCGCCGCCGCGCCCGCCAGCGCCTGCTCCGCCGCCCGCCGCGTGAACTCCACCGCGAACCGCTTCCTCTGCTGGCTGCGCGACTCGAACAGCGACGGCGACAGCGCCTTCAGAATCTCCAGCTCCTGTTCGGTGAGTCAAATGTAACGCACGGTTCGGGACTGTTAGCTAATGCCACTACTGAACAATAGGAAATAAACGAACAGGGGAGACGACAGCCCGAGAGATACTTGTGGGTGCATCGAAGAGTAATAGGAAAGAAGGATTCAGACTGCAAAAACAAAATTAAAATGGTCTTCTACATTCCGATAAGCTTACACACGTTTAATTTGTAAAGTATGATGAAGATTATTGGGTACTGTGATATGAGATTTTCATGTTTGGAGATTCAGCAATGGGCTGTCTTTAAGAGTGTTCAAAAATTGGCTAGGACTGCTCGCCACCAGACAGACCATATGCCAAATTGTCACCCTCGTGCAAACGAGACGAGGGGGTCGCGAGCGAGGCGGACCTGCATCTCGTGCGGGTACTCCATGTTGACGGTGACGAGTAGCGGCGACACGGCGCCCGAGTGCAGGCTGCGGCCCACGTGCGCCGCCGCCTGCGCGCCGTACGACCACTTCCACGCTTCCTTCAGTGGCGTCAGTGTATCTGTTGGTGTCATCACACATGGAATAAAACTATTGACAACTTCTTCATTGTACTGAGAATAGTAAACAAGGTTGACTTTCTATCTACTGGAAAATATGACTAATTGATATGCTACTCACGTGGCTCCTCGTATATTTTTGAGAGTAATATATTATATGTCTTGTGTCAGTGGCAGCACTGGTGTTCTCGTCATCACACAAGAACATGACAATGCACATATCGCTGCTTAATAGCAGAAAAAGGTAATTAGCGTTAGTACCTACCACCATACTTACTGGGATCATACTCAGGATAGGCCTCGCGGACGAGAAGTGTGACAGCACGCTCGCGGAGCAGGGTGGCGATGGGAGCAGACAGGGCACACGCAAATGTAGGACACTCGTAACTGGAATCCATCACATTGGAGAAAATAAAGTATAAATAGAAACTTATTGATATGATTTGTTATTATTAGGTCTTGTTAAATTTTAACCTTTTCTTATGCAGCATTTCTTTCAGCATCAGATTAGTGTCGGGCCATGTGTCTTCCTGCAGAATGCCAAGGCAACTGACGCAGTGATGGAGTTTCCGTCTCTTTGTGGGTGGTAATATGCCATTTTTGTATTCCATATTGTCATTATGGATATTGTCACTATCTACATCGCCTGTGGCATTGTCCTGTATACCTTCAATATCCTTGTCGGAGTCATTATCAGTGTGCACAGAAGCACTACATGTGTTATCTGATTTTGTAACAGCATCTGTTACTATGACATTATCCTTACCACTTGTTGTATTTTCATTTGATTGTATGTCTTCTTGTGATTTTATATTTGATGTGGGTTCATCTTGGAACTGTAAAACATTAATTTCATTCATTCCTAAAGGCCTTAACATGAAAAAAAGTAAAAAAAAAATACAAGTTATGAACTTTAAAATTTTACACTATTCACAGAGGCCTCGATTTGACTTGTGTAGTACTTACACAGCAGAGAACTAAAAGAATAAATGTATTTTAATTAATTGGATTGAACTAATTCTTCATATACATATTAATATTATAAGATAGAATGGGTTTAGAATGGGCTACCTCTTCCATTCTTGTGGGTGTTGTAAGAGGTGACAAAGTAAACTCAATGGTTGAGGGCTGAGCAGCAGCATCTCTTTTAAAACATCACCAAAACCTAACTGTGGTAGCCGATCCGCTTGCCAAGCACAGCAAATGCTGTCAAAATCTTTCAATAGGGGGAGGAATATGTTCAGCAATAGATAGTTAACGGCTGATTTGATGGTGCACAAGTAGTAATCTCAATAGTAGACAAAAATAAATAGAAGAGGATAAAAGATATTGGTCAGTGTATACACATTTATCACTATCTACTACTTTGGAGTATTTTTTTTTTGATGGGTTAAAATGGTATGGTAACCCGGCCTGCGCTAATGGTATACGCTGGCGGAGCACCAGTGAAGGATGATAGGTGAGAATGAGAACAGAGCAGTTAGCCCATCATGATGAATTCATTAAGAATTAACCATGATAGTTTCCAGGGAAAACCGCGAGGAGGTCGACCTGGTTGGGTATATTGCTAGCAATGGGATTCTCAATCTCCATCACTAACAGTCCCTTTCCCCCCACTTTGGAGTATTACACTGAATGTCTAGGTGCGAACATAATACGACTCCTATTATAATAGGTTATGTTTCACAGTATAATAAAAGTATGCTATATTAAAAAAAAAAGTCAATACATCAGCACGGTGACATCAACAGTTTTCCTCCAAAACGATACTTTACATCTTCGAGTATTAAGAAATATTTAAAACGAAACGATGGCTTACTCTAGCAACATACTCGTTGGAATTTTCATACGCGTTTGGAATTTTCACTCCTAAATATCGAAGGCAACAACGATCACAACATCCTAGGTCTTTGCAAAACTTAAATATAGTTTTCTGATTCATATTTTTTAAAATATTTGTACCAAAAGTTTTAAAAATGTGGACTCAATATTAAGAAATCAATTGTTGTTTACATTTTCCGTCCAGTAAATTTGTTATTCAATTTGTAACCGATTATAGTAAGCATTAGAGTTACTTTTTACTAAAAACAAATTAATCTGATAGAGTGAGACAGATAATAAGAATAGATATGACATGACAGATGAAAGTAATACCACTAAACGTTTCGTTTTACATCCAATTTAGAGTTTAAACAATAAATCGATAGAAACTAGATCTTTAATAATGAACTTGGATTTTATATTAGCATCTCTTTTGATTTATTTAAATAATTCATATTACTACTACTATAGAATTTACTTCTAAGTATTTCATAATGTAACTTCTGAAGTATTCGTCTAAAATATGTATGCATGCTTAGAAATACTTCTATTAGTTACTTGCCATATAAAAATAATTAATAGGCAATCAGCTGATTTCAAGTGAATATTTCTTTCATTTCATCAAATAATTTTAGAGTATGTCAGCAAACTCTTTCTTTAATATTAATATAATTAGGTATTATTATAAATAATATTTAATTTGTAGCATCCCTCCTATATTTAATTTTAATTTGAACTTTTGTAAACCATTAAAAATGTTGCCATATCTTCTTCAAGTCGTCAGTTGTCATCTGTCAATTTTTGTCTATTTATGTAATTCAAAATAAAAATTCTAAATTATTAATTAACGAATAATTTTATAATATAGTGCAATATCATTATAATTATTTAAGTGAACAAAATGGGCACCGTATACGCAAAGGTATTACTTTCTTTTATCTATATGCGCCTATTTAGAATTAGGTTATATTTTGATTTTATTAAACATTTAAATAATAAAAAAAAAGATTGGATGTGTATCTTTAGAGTGTATTAAAGTATAATAATGTACCTTATAACCTTGCCTTGTATTTAAAGAATTATAATGGTGTTATTTCATTTAGATAAAATTATTTATTTTAGGTGAAAAAATCAAGAGAATTATTACTATGCAAAATGGCCCACGTTTGATAAATACATTTTGATATATACATACATTTGATACACACATATGGTGAGCCATATGAATATATGTGTCCAGTGCCCACCAAAGAATGTGAAAAAAGTTTTTTTAAAGATGTTTAAAATTACATAGGTGCCCTTTTAAAGGGCTAGGCCTCCCTTGGAATATAATCTTAAATATGCCCATGCATATATTTAAAAAGGATAGAAATTTTCTTTTTAGGTAACTTAGAATGGCAAACTAGTTGGTGGTCTAACATATAGTTAGAAAGTGTGACCTGTCATCTGTAGACATGAACATTATCATATATTAGGTATACAATATGCCGTGATGTCCATGATCCTCCATACCTTGTATGTATTGTACCATATATTTGAACAAAAGTGTGTTGAAGATCTAATGGTACCATTAACCACCTGACACCTCAACCATCTTACAAATTAGAGTGTCTTGTACTATGTAACATCATAGATAAAAATCTGAGCACAAAGGGTTACTGGTATCTTTAAACACACTATGATTCTATGTTAAGTGTGTTAGGTTGCTACTTTTCATCCAATGTAATATTCAGAGATCGAATTAAAGAAGTTGCTCAGAACAATAATAAACTAGCGTCTGCGTTTACTCCTCGGATGTGATGTAATTTTAAAAAGGTTTTTTTTTTTTATTTTATTATTTTTTTAATAAATTTATTGTAAATAACTTCAACAGTAATTTATTCAAAGCCTCGATGGTAGACGGTGCTGTCTGTAATAAGTATCTGTTTAGTGCTCCAATATTGTCTTTATCATTTTATATATGGAATATCATTATGTTATCACATTGACACATATTATATGATAAAAAAATTATTTAAAAGAACTTTTGTATTAATAAAAACTTTGAAATTAATTATGAGAATTTGAATCCAAATCTCATATAGCATTATATTTCCGAACCAATACAACATTACAACCTTCAAGAAAAGGGAATATTCCTTTTTAAAAGGCCGGCAGCACACCTGCAATGCCATTGGTGTTGTGGGTGATCATGGGTGGCGGTAGTCACTTACCATCAGGTGAGCCGCATGCTCGTTTACCCCCTGTGTTGTAAATAAAAAGTTCTTATAAATTTATTTTATTCTTTCTTACAGTTGTAAGAGAGAGAAGTATTAATACTTTATAAATGTGTGCATGTTACAGGCAGAGCCGGGTGAGAGTGAGGTGGGTGGTGGACTATTTGAGTTTGAGGAGCCCATCGAGCTTGACGAAGAGCCAATACCAAAGCCTACTGTCAAGTTGGGTGGAGTCAGGGTATGTTCATCAATAGATAGAGTAATTATATTTATTTAACTGAACTGCCTTTGTTGTATATTTCTTGTCTCTTATGATGAATTGATGTGGTTTGCTAGTTTGATTATTACTTCACAAAACAGCAAACCACATTTAACAAAACAGTAAAATCAGTTTATAACAATTTACACTGAGGTGTACAATGTGAGTGATGTATCTAATGCTGCAAGCAAGCTGTGCTTGATCTGTTCTAGAAAAATGATATGACACATCTTTTCAGCACATTGTTTTATTGTGAACTAAAGTAACAATTCTTCTTTACTAGTATTTATATTATAAAACATTAGGTGACGGTGTGTAGTCGTGTAGTGTGTTCGTGTGTGTAAAGTATGGATATAAGGTATATGTCAATGAATTGGTGTGTGGACTGTATGTTAATATTCCTTTATTTATCTTTATAAATAATATACCATAAGCAGCTACAAAACTGCCACTTGTCCTCTGGCCAACTGTGTGCTCGATTTTTACCCTCATTGTATGATAAACATTGATCAGAATGGAAAATGTTATTAGTGACGTCATCTGTTTGAAAATCAAGACGATAATGCAACTAACCACTACTATATAAATACGTATTTGCTAGTGTCGCATTACCTTGTGATTTGTTTTCGTGTTTAAGTTTTAGCAATTATGTAATGTGTACACAGGCGCGGGTGGACCGCGTCCACGTGGACGGCTTAAATAGAACGAAGGACGACATCATAAAGAGCACCGTCGATGATCTGTTTCATGCCACGGACTTCGAGGATGTCATACTTAGAGCACATAAGGTAATATCTTATTTGAATTTGTTAGTTAGTCTCCACAAGCTGTATTCCTGGTAGTAAATGTATTGTATAGTATGAAGCCTCCAAAATTAATCTCTTGTGAGGGAGAATATTAGTTTGTTACCATGGCGGCTAGGTACATGATATTATCTCAGAGAATTCCGAGATATGTTTTCCCATTATAACATTAAAGGGACGAAGAGTTGTAACATATTGTTACTCTGTCCTCACAGGGAATAACGTTGGTATTTATCTATTAATTTTTTGCCAGGTCCGGCGGGCCCTGGACTCGATGGGATGTTTCAGGGACATCGGAGTTTATATCGACGTCTCGTCCGGGCCCGGCGCCACGCCCGAGGGACTCGAGGTAAGGTCTTATATTGTGGTATGATGATTAGATTTCCCGATATATAAAAATTATATAATAAATAAAAAGAATCCAGTTTCCTAAACAATTTTTGTGTATAGTTTTCTCCATCGTGTTTTTTATAAGGCAATTTACTTTGAAAAGTAATTACATCCGATGGTCGTACATTAAGCATACTATTTCTAATAGTATATAAAATTAAAATACGATGTGTTTTCTGTGGTTCAGGTGACGTTTCAAGTGAAAGAATTGTCTAGAATAGTGGGCGGCGTCAACACGACGGTCAGCGAAAATGAGGGAAACCTAGTTGTAGGTGAGTTTCAATAACTATCACAAATATCTGGCTCGATGCTATGAGAACTTTGGTAAGCGTAGTATATAACATTTGACCATGAATATCATAATGGGCATACATTAGATCTGTATTTCTCTAATGTTATACGACTTTGTATAAATCTATCTGCACAGGTATTTTTATTTAATTTAGTTTTTGGCCCGAACAGAAGTGAAAGCATGGTAGTGAAATTACTAAGTAATTTTGTGGTATCAATTGCACCGCATTTTAGGTATAATGGAGGTCACAATATTCTGTGTTCTTATATAATATTGTTATTATAATAGTTCTGTGAAGTTCATGGTTCAAATATGAGTCGTGCGAAGTTCATAGATCAAATAGTTTTTAGTATCATGATATCAGCCTTTAACTGTCCACTGCTGAACATAAGTCTCCCTCTTGGGGAGTTTTGTGAACAGTTGCCATGCTTGGCAGATGGTTTGGCAACCACAATTAGGCTTTGGATATGATTTAAAACTTTACATCCCTCGCCCTCCCTTAGTCTCTACTTACAACATGCACGGGAAAGGAAGGAGTGGTCTATTCTATGCCGGGACCATACGTACGTTTTTAGTATACATCCTAAAAATGAATAATATATTATTATAGGTGATTTTACCAGTTTTTATTTCGTATGCAGCCAGATTTAATATAATTTATCAATAGCAGTGACAAAGTTGTATCGATAAAGTACGTAAGTGATGTGTGAGCGTGAGCGGTGTGGCGCGCTGCGCAGGTGTGAAGATGCCGAACGTGCTGGGCCGCGGCGAGCGCGTGCAGGCCGAGTACAGCATGGGCTACCGCAGCTCCTCCAACTTCAGCATCGCGGCCACCAAGCCCTACCCGCACAAGCCGCTCGTGCCCGTGTATGTACTCGCTAATAACTGATACGACATACACATGTTATTTACACAGTCTTTGCACTCACAAGGACATTTAGACGTAATGGTTTTTTTACTGAATGATAATGGAATGGTAATCCCGCCTGCGCTATCGGTATACATCGGTGGGGCACCAGTGAGGGATGATACAGAGGTAATAGGGTTACGAATCCCCATTTCTAACAATAAAGACGTAACGGTTATTTTTTTAATGGGTGAGGATGAAGCAGGTCAGTTAGCCCATCAGATAACGAATTCAACAAAAATTGATCACGATGATTTCCAGGGGGAACCACGTGGAAGTCGACATAATATTGCTAGCAATTGGGCTGTCGAACTCCATTGCTAACAATCCCTTTTCCCCCAGACGTAACAGTTATGAGTGACAATGGAGAGGTAACCTGGCCTGCGCTGTCCGTATAGTTTGGTACCAGTACCGGTGAGTGGCGGAGTCAGGTCACGTGACCCGCCGGGACTAATCCATCTGGAATTGTTGAAAACGATGTTTTCTAGGCTAGTGATAGCAATTGGACTGCTATACTCCTTTACTGAACATACTTCATAATAATGTATCAGGGTTGATTTTTTGCCAAATCGTACATACGTACATGTGTGCGTGTATTTATGTGTGCAGCGTGTCGGCGACGGTGTACCAACAGAACCACGAGTACCCGTGGTCGGGCTACCGGCTGCTGGACCGCGGCCTGCTGCTCGACCTCGCCTTCAGGACATCGCCCGCGGTGAGTCGCTTTTTATTGCTGCCAACCTAGTAATATAAGGATCCTTTATAATATTCATAATACCTTATTGGTGCTAGTCCGCCAGCCATGTGTGCCAACTATATGAACAACTTCCGCAACCATTTGTTTACCCGTTTGTGGTAATAATGCAAATTTCTATTATTCCCTAAGATCACGTAAGAAGTGTTATGTATTTATATTACTAATAGGTGGGTACCTGTGCATGTTATAAGGTTAAAGTTGTCTATAATAAAGTCAATGCCTATTCAATCTGCACTTTTTTCACTCGTCCCCTATCTCGCATATTTAGTAGGGAAATCAAATACTATTTCTCAAACATGCTTGGATGTGTTCATTATTTTGATTGAATCTTCTTCGAATATATCAAAATTGTGTTTTTGATTTCCGCGCATTGTTTGAGAAAAGTACTATACAAGCCTTAACCACAACTAGGCATTGAAGGACTTACGTATGTGTGCCTCGGCTACGCCTCGGCCCACATTTGCACCTTCGTCCATCAATGCCTCAGTTGCTAGCCGCTGCAGTAATGTACTATAAATACCCTAGTGTAAAATAAGAAACTCTTGTAACAAATCGCTTGAGAAAATTTGAAACATTAACTTCATATTCTTCTAATCAACAGCACCATCAGTGTTCAGGAGTCTTTCTTTTCATTTAAGAGTTTCCTCTTGTCGGTGCGACTAATCCATGCATTCTCTTCCAGCCAGCTCTATACCAGGCCATATCTTTGACTTCCCTATATGACATGACACCTAGTGTTTCCTTTCATCTGACTCATGTAGTTATTGCTCGCTCTTCCCCTTCCTCTTTTGCCCTCTATTTTTCCTTCTACTATGCTCTTTAAAAATTGTTATGTCGTATAAGTTGGCCCAGCATTTTGCCTCTTCTTTATTGTTTTTATTAATATTCTTTTCTCATTCTATTATCTTTTCTTTTCTCATTTTATTAATATTTTCCAGACTTCCTTATGCGTTACTTTTTCTGTCCAGATTATCTTTTCTATTCTCAGTTGCCGGTCAGTAGTGCGACTTTAAAATAAATTGGTAATAGTATGAGTTGTAAATTAATTTGTTGACTGTACCACAGACCAAACACAACCTGCAGTGGGAGGGCCTGGTGCGTGACACGTCAGTGCTCAGCAAGACCACCAGCTTCAGGGTCCGCGAGAGCAGCGGTGAGTATCGTGCACTGTTCCCCTCACCGATTGTTTCCAACATTAGGTAAAGCGGTATTTTTTTGTAAAGATTTAAATAAAATTTTTTGCAGTTTTACGAAATATACCTACTTGTAGGATTTGAAAATGTATTATGCTACAATTTTATTTTTATACTAGCTGTCTCGGTAGACGTTGTTCTGTCTGTTTACTTAATTTTTAACTGTATACAAGATATAATCGAAATCATTAGTACCCTTGAAGTCGAAAGTTCTAACGTGTGTAGTGTGATCGTAGGTTTAGAAAGTAGGGACCAAGTGGACCGTGTGCTCCAGAATTGTCTGGCGATTACCCCAGGACGCGAGCGGAGCTTTTAGCTATACGCAAAGATATGCAGGGTGGAAGGGGCAAGTTGGTCATATCGACAACAGCTATTTAAGATGAATGGTCAGAATCAGGGGGAAAATTATTTTACCACTGGAAGTGTACTATAGCCATATAATTAACGATTCTTAGTCTTTACGCCGCGCGATGTATTTGATATTTCACGATGTACTGTGTTCCACGTGACGCGTGATACCTACAGCGCGCGGTCAATAGCGCTTCTTCATAGGTAGTTTTCGTACGCTTGTAGCGTTGACGTTATACAGTGGATGTTGCGCATCACGGTAGGATTTTAATTCGAATATTATATTACTCTTTTTTTTTGTTATTTTATAGTATTTAATTATAAAATATTATTATTTCTTTATATTATAATACAAAATCTTAAATTGTTTTAAATGAAAAATATCAGGATTTTTTTTTATACAACTTAGAATGGCAAACAAGCTGACGGCCCACCTGATGAAAAGTGGTAACCGTCGCCTATAGACATGAGCATAACAGTGTAACAACCATGGACATAACAGAGTATACTGTTTCCGCCCATGATACCCCCCATGCGTTGCCATTCCTGAGGACTCGGATGTTATTCCTCTGTACCGTGTAATTTCTGGCAAGAATATTCACTGGTTTTCATTTATAGAAATAATGATCAGAATTTACTGTTTAAGTTTTTGTCAACTTGTCCCTTTCACCTTGTATGCATATGCACCATGTTAAGGATGCCGGTCCTCCCTGTGAAGTAATGTTAGTGACGTGCCTGATGACGTGTGGCGTGGCGTGGCGTGGCGTGGTGTGCGCAGGGCCGCAGATGAAGTCGCTGGTGCGGCACATCGTGAGCGTGGACCGGCGCGACGAGCCCATCTTCCCGTCGCGCGGCGTGTTCGTGCAGTTCAGCAGCGAGCTGGCCGGCCTGGGCGGCGGCGTGGCGCACCTCAAGACCGAGCTGGCCGCGCAGGCCAGCCTGCCGCTCACCGACACGCTGGTCCGTCTCAACGTCGCCTACAATACTATTTATTTTGCACATATTTTGACACAATTAATCAATCATTTTTTTAGGTATAAACATGGGTTATATAAGTTTGATGTAGAAATGTAGTGCGCTATGTTTCACCATCATAGGGTATACGATTTATTAATTATATAAAACATTAATTAAAGGTAATAATAATAATGACTAGCGTCGCACGGGTGGACATTTTTACCTTTTAAAAAGTGGCCTTTAAGGCTGGCACACGCGACGGAAGCTTAAAATTGGAGTAACTTCTCCCGTTTTCCTAACATTTTCTTTCACTGCTCTGCTCCTATTGATCGTAGCGTGATGAAAAGTATACTATAACCTGCCCAGGAGTATGAAGAATAATTGTACCAAGTTTCGTTAAAATCCGTCGAGTAGTTTTTGTTTCTATAACGAACATACAGGCAGACAGACAAAAATTTTACTGATTGCATTTTTGACATCAGTATCGATCACTAATCACCGCCTGATAGTTATTTTGGAAATATATTTCATGTACAGAATTGACCTTTCCACAGATTTATTATAAGTATAAAAAATAACTTTGTACAATACAATTGCATTATAAAAAAAAAAGTAATTCGGGCAACAATTGTAACAATAATCAGTGGTCTAATAACTATACAACATTACACTTTTACATTACATTTGATTTTACATTCTAATAATGTACATGCGTGCATTCAAATTTGAATTATTTATCATTAAGAAATTCGTCAATAGTGTAATAATTTTTCTCCAATAAATATCGTCAGAGTCGTAGAATACTGACGGATATATCGTTATAGTCGTAGAATACTGACGGATATATCGTCATAGTCGTAGAATACTGACGGATCTATATATGTAATATTTGTCAGGTCCGTCAGTATTGTACGACTACGACGATATGTTGTGTTTATGGCAGTGTGTGGGGGAGGCGTACTAGTATGTCGAGCAGTGGACGGTGACGGCTGAAAGGTTTGGTGTGGTGCGCAGTCGGTGCAGGCGAGCGGCGCGGCGGGCGTGCTGCACGACGTGTTCGGCTCGGAGCTGGCGGACCGGCTGTACCTGGGCGGGCCGGCCTCGCTGCGCGGCTTCGCGCAGCGCGGCGTGGGGCCGCAGCACGACCGCCTGGCCACCGGCGGCCTCGCCTACTGGGCCGCCGCGCTGCACCTCTGGGCGCCGCTGCCCTTCGTGCCGCCCCGCGCCGGCCTCGGCGGCCTCTTCCGCTCGCACCTCTTCCTCAACGCCGGCTGCCTCGCCGCGCCCGGTTAGATAATGCCCTCCGCTACTGTTTATACGTTATCAAACTTTCATACTGCGTCTAGTGGTACAGTATCGGGGGGAAGGGCTTGTTGGGGGTCTAATCGACCCATTGCTAGCGGTACACCCTGTCAGGTCGTCCTCCACACGGTTTCCTCTGGAAACCATCGTGATTAATTCTAATGAAGTTCGTCACGATGGGCTGCACTGACGTGCTTTCATTGTAACCTATCATACCTCACTTGTGCCTCGCCAGTGTATACCAATAGCGCAGGCAAGGCTACCATTTCATTATCATCTATTAAAAAAAAAGTAGTAGTACAGTATCTCAGGGAGTAGATAGATAATTTATTTGCATATTTACAGCACACAAATAACAATACAAACACACATTATCATACATACACAGTAAAAGAGATAAAATAATGAAAAAAAAAAACTATTAAATCCGAGATTGATATAAAATTAAAAATGGCAACTTTCCGATATATCTAATAAGACAAATATTTTTTTATTTCTACACTATAGCAAAGACATATTCCAGATAATGCCTTAACAAAAACAAGTAGCAAAACATATAAAATATAAATGTAGACAAATATAGAATGATGTCGATTAAGTAGCTCGTTGAAATAGCAATTTTCAGTTTCCTTTTTGATGGATGCGTTTGCGATGCGAGTGCGCGCGGTGCCGGTCGTAAGTGTAATGTGTAATGTGTAATCGTGTAACGCTGGCTGGCGGTGGTACGTTGCAGAGGGCGGCGCGGCGGCGTGGCAGGCGCTGGGCGAGGCGCGCGCGGCGGCGGGCGGCGGCGTGGCGCTGCGGCTGGGCCGCGTCGCACGTCTCGAGCTCAACTACTGCGTGCCGCTGCGCGCGCTGCCCGCCGACCGCGCCGCGCCCGGCCTGCAGTTCGGCGTCGCCGCGCACTTCCTGTAGCCTTCCAGTAAATATAACACTGACAGAGAGGAACCAGACTTCACCGGCTACTCTCACACGACACGTAGTGCTAGTGTTCAAATATAGACACAAAGTACACTGTATGAAAAATATACAGTAGCATAATTAAAGATCGTGTCCCACAAAAACCAGACTTCAATTGTGACTAAACCAGTTATTTTAATCTAGAAACTACTAGACCGATTTTGATAATATTTCTACAGCATCAATCTGTAAGTATATACTTTGAGTTAAAAAAATATTTCGAATCTGTTTAAAACTCGCGAAGTTATAAAGTAAGTAGACATAAAAAAATACAACGGAACTGAGAATCTCCCTGTTTTTGAAATCGGTTGAAAACGTTAATAATTCCAATTTCCTTTCCAGGCCAAAATTTCTCCTAGTACCGCGATCCACCCCGTGAACTACGACACGAATTATTGTAAAATACGAAGGAACAAAATGTTAATTAATTGATGACATTTTATTTTAAATTATGTATTTCGTTTTATGAATAAATCGTTAGTGATTATTGTATTGTTGTTATAGCGTTACAAGTATTAAAATATTTTTTTATTTTATTTATGCGCATATCTTATTTGTATGACCTGTTCAGTGGTGTGGAAAGTCCATCATAAATAAGCAATACCTACACACATTATGGTGCCAAGCTAAAAAGTAAAGTAGCTAATACAATGTCTCTCACGACAGAAACATTTTAATCCTCTAGAGTGGTAGTGTTTTTAAACGTCTTCCAAAAGAGATTTTCAAATTATCAATTTTTTTTTATCTAATCTTACACGTACGCGAATAGTGTCTAACAAAATTATATAATTTTAAACCAAATTTTGTAATTTTTTGCAATCGATAAAATCCAATCTCGTGTTGACGACTGCCACCTTTCATCATTCCTTAATAATCTAAGCTGTCAATCCATTCGGTAGGTATCTGACTTCATATTCTAAATTTTTAAATATATGTCTATAAACATATCTACGTTAATTGGTGTTTTTATCTACGCAAGCTGTTTTATCTCACAGTAATTTTGTATTAATGTAAAAATTACACAAAATAAATGCCCATAATATTATAACAATTATTTATTACCTAAAAACAAGTATAACTAAGTATTATATACAAATAGCGTATTGTTCGTGGTCCGTTCGTGGGCGGCTACGTGAGCTGCTGCTGGTAGAGGTTCTGGTAGTGGAGGCGGGAGCGCAGCATATCGTCGGGCGAAGGGTCGATGCTCAACGGCGGCACCAGCGCGCCCGCCACCGACCTGACGCAACAAATTGTGCAATAAAGAATAAATAAATAAATAAACAACATATAAAATAGATCGTAAATACAGTCAAGCAACGAAAAAATTAATATTAAACAAATCTATTTAAATAAAGATGATTTAAGTTTGTAATGCTCTAATAGTTCGTAAATTATTTCTACCAAACAAAAACTGAGCTCCCTCGCCGGGTTTGGCTCTGTCCAAATATACTCGTAAAACATATAAATATAGGAGAATATAGATCTCTGTATGGGACTTAAAAACGGCGCTGGTAGGAGAGGAGGGCAGCGACAATAATAAAATAATATTAAGAGAGGCTTACCAGTATATTTTCTTAAGACAATCACAATACAACAGTAATATGTTAATCAGATAGAAAAACAAAAAGTATCAAAAAGACATATTCATAATATAAAAATATAATTCTAAAAAGGTAAATTATATAAAAAGAGGTCTGTCGCCAACAGGACTACCCTAGCAGGCAAGGGGGAAAGGGACTATTAGCAATAGAGTTTGACAGCCCCATTGTTAGCAATTTACCCTAATAGGTCGACCTCCACGCGGTTCCCCCTAGAAACCATCGTGAACAATTCTTGTTGAATTCGTCACGATGGGCTAACTGACTTGCTTTATCCTCACCTATCGTCCTTCACTGGTGCCCCGCCAGTGTATACCATTAGTGCGGACGGGGTAACTATTCCATTATCACCCATTAACAAAACCCTAGCAGGCAACGTGTACAATGTCTCTTTGGTGTAGCGCCCTCACCTGCCCTCAGCGTTGAGGAAGTTGAAGGTGGAGCAGGCGTGCTCGACGGGCAGCAGCTCCACGTTGCAGGCGGCGGCGCGAGCGGCGCGGTACACTGTATTCAGCGACTCGCGCTCCTTCGTCTCCACTCCCAGTATCTGTAGCACCACACAATGCAATGTGGCTGATGAGGACGCCAAGAAATTTTTTTTATACAATTAAGGATGGTAGACAAACTGACGGTCCCCTTAATGAAAAATAGTAACTATGGACCTATAAACATGAACAGCAACATGGACATAGAAGAATATACTGTGACAGCGCAGTATATTAGTACTTGTACCAACACGTGCGTAAAGTGAGCGTGTCCGGTGCGGCCGAGGTAGTCTTACTAATATACCTAATAAAATTGTAACTAGAAAATGGATAGACATCCCCATTAATTTTAAATATAGGAGATATTTAACATTCCCGGAGGGGGGGGGGGGGGGGTCTTAATAAGAGCAATAGAAACTAAAGAATGTTTTAAGTCCGGAACAAACAGTTCCAGCATTACGCAAAAATAACTACACCAAACTGGAGGCGACTTTCACAGTTACGTTCCTGAAGGTCTAATTCAAAATCTAGTGCGTCTTATTTTGATCCACCATCTCGAGGTGGTCTACTACGTTAGCTTTCAAGCATTAGACATTTCTTTCTTTAGCAGACAAAAAGCTAGTTTCTAATAAAACTTATGGAGGGAGGAAAGGGATTGTTAGTAATGGAGACTGAGAATACCATTGCTAGCAATATACCCAACCAGGTCGACCTCCTCGCGGTTCCCCCTGGAAACTATCATGGTTAATTCCTGATGAATTCATCATGATGGGCTAACTGGCCTGTTTTCATTCTCATCTATCACCCTTCCCTGGTGCTCCGCCAGCGTATCCCGTTAGCGCAGGCGGGGTTACCATACCATTTTTACCCATTAAAAAAAACTTATGGACGGGTGGTCTGTGGTCACAGATATAATAATAGAAATAATTATATAATCAATATTAATCCTTATAATTGTATCATACAATTTATATTTTTTTCTTTCGTATTTAATTTTTTTTTTTATTTAAAGTAGTTTTTATTTCTATGAATATTATTCATTACTTAATTACCAAATGTCTCAAAATATATACTTTTTGTATGATCTTATCGTCTAAGCTTTATAAGAATCAAATGGACACTATGTATCACTTTTAGTCAGCTTATACAGAGCTACAGAACTTACCAACAGATCAATTTTAGGTTCGAGCAGCTTGAATAGTCTCAGTGAATCCTCTGTAATCTCGTGGGAGCCACGCACCTGCCACGACAGTACCGTCCTACAATAACACAGTTTGTAATTACACATTATGCCTACAGTAGTGTTTATGTCTAGGTTATTACTTTAATATATAACATACCTGGGAAATATTGCCATTGGTCCGAGCACAGTTATTCCATTGTTCAATCTAAAGCCATACTGCAAAAAAGAGATAGTGTTTGAGATTAATGTACAGCTAAGATGTGTGCAAACAATGAACACTTGAGATTCGCAAACAATTTTATTGTATTTTCCCCAATAAGAGATAGTCTTCAAATAATGGTAAATAAACTAAATAAAGAAAGCTGAAAATTATGCTGTTATGAACAAAAAGAAAACAAAAATTATGACAAATAAGATAAAAATTAAACTATCTGCATCAAGAACAAAATAATTATGCGGATGAGTAATTGTATTTAGCTCAATTCCATAAACAGACAACTAGAAAGGAGATTAAAAAATGTATAGTAAATGCTTAGAAACAGTTTTGGAGTTTAAAAGGAATACTTAAAAGCAAAAAGACAGTCATGCCCTTAAAATACAAAGTATTTAATACTTATATTTTACTAGTTCTTACATATGTTTAACCTGGGCTCTTATGAACTCTCGTTTTAAAAATTACAAAATTGCCAGAATGCTATGGAAAGAAATATGATGGGGATAAGATTATCAGACATAGCTAAAACAAGCACAATTAAAATAGCACACAAAAAAAAGATGGTACTGTCACAATTAAAAAAAAAAAAAAATGGAAAAATGGGTAAGGTGTATTATGCAATTAGAAAGCAAGATATATATATGTATTATATATATACACTAGTAAAACAATAATGTTTTAGTAAAGACAAGACAAAAAAAGGAGAAGGGGAAGACCATGTAGAAGATGAGTAGATGACATTATTATCAGATAAGGACTGAAGCAGGTAGAATTTGGATAAGAATAGCTAATAGAAGAGACTATTGGAGGTATTGGAAGAGGGCTTTGCTAACAAGCAAACAGACAAGTAATGCAATATTCAAGGCTTGTGTGTTTTTGGGATTACACCCATTGAAGATAGGACTGCAATTGCTACCATTTTGACATCAGTATGACAACATACTGGCCTGTGTAGAAATGGATGACAGACATTCATTTTTTTTACAATATGTTTTTGTAGGATATTATAATTTTAATCAAAGAACTCTTTCCCAATCTGTACACTTAAAAAAAAATCAATATGGATAAAAAAATATATTAGCCGACCCCAATAAATAATTGATGATTATTTTTTCTTTGAGCAGTTTTGAAACAATAAACTATTTTATCTAGTAATACATTTATGTACATTTTCTAGATTATTAATTGTAAATTTAGGAATAATAAAAAAGGATAGAAGCTATTGGTACTTAGTTAATTCTGCTTACCCTGTGATAAACCATAAGGGGCCTTACTTGAAATGATTTAATTGTATCAATTTTAGAGATTCTTCACTTTTCCTCTGGACTCTTTACACAGCACTTATACATGAACTATTTCAGCAAATTATGTACTTACAGTAGCATACGAGTCTATCATCAGTCCCAGCTCTGTGTCCTGGTTAAGGACACGCACTGTTGTCTTCCCTTCACCCTCATATGCTGCTTTGTTACGGACATGACTGCAAAACAATTTGTTGCATTAAATATTTATTTTTAAAATATACAAATAAATAAGCGCTACATAGTCATCTGAATCTTAAGCTGTATGTAACACCCTGTATTATGACAAACCAGACAATGACAGGGGCACAATTGAGAACAAGTGCACAGAGACTAGGGTAACACTAGGGTGTTAGGAGTATTTTAGTAACGTATTATATATAGTCCTTTGAGTAACTGTTAGTCTTAAGGTAGAAACATCTTAGTTTGCTAACAAGTAATAAAGTATACGCGGACATTTATAGTAAGATTAAAGCTATAAACAGCTGTAATTGTGCAATGTTATCTTTAATATCTGTTTTAAGTTTAAATTATTGTTATATTATTTAAAGTTTTATTCATCAAAGTTAAATAGAGAAACAGTTCTATTATAATCTAACCTTAAAAATGGATTGTTCTTGACTGCAATAACAATTCGCTTCGCTTTGTCTAATAACATGTTTTTGTCAAATATTGATGATCTCTTAAACTTATTTTTTTTGCTAATTTAATTAATCGTAAGTAGTCATTTAAGATAATATCAAAACATTTTCTTAATAATTAATATAAATAAATAAAACATTGACACTAATGACATAAGTCACATATAAGTGGCAATGGCAACTAAAAACCGTCCTGAACTCCGATATACATAATAAAGCTCAATACAGGGAATTCTGCTCATCCCATGGAATTGGTAATTTTATTTTGCATATTATTAGGATCATTTATATTAATTTATACAACAGATATTTTGGAAGAATTTTTCGATTAAATCTTTTTTAAAGAAGATTACGTAATTATACACAGAGGCACACAGTTTTTTAGTAAAATAAAACGCGTGTTGTCAAATGACGTCATATATGGCATTGACGTTAAAGTACTGCAGATGCGCGTATTTTGAAATTTCGTCGCTGTTCGATTGATTTTCTTGTAATCTTGTGTTAAAAATGCAAAATTTCTTCTTTGGATTCTATTTTAAGCATTTAAATTAAAAGACTTTAAAATAAGATCAAAAACAAAAAATAAAACAAGACCATATGAATATTTAAATTGTATAATATACATATTAAAGTTTTGTTTAAAAATGAAGTCTGTTTTTGTATCGGTAGACGTAGCTTACAGTCAAAGGAAGCGTTATATTATAGATTTAAAAGCGATTACAATTTAGATATGTGGAAAGAAATGAAGAAACGTTGGCTAATGTTTGCTGTACTGTTAGTGGTGATGTTCGCGGTGTTGGCGCCACGTGTCGGCGCTCCCGGAGGCAACTACTCTGCATGCTCACCTTTAGATCATTCTAGAACGCATTGCACCCCATTCAGCCACGTAATTGAAGTTTTAATCTTAAATTTCTATTGCTTGTTGCAAGAACTATTTTTTAATAGAACGGTATGAAAATGCTTTGGTTTAATAATTTTTTCCAATAACTTCTTGCAACTAGCTTTTATTTTAATTAGACTTTATACTGGAAAACTACAAATTGTCAGTATATCTAAAATTAATGCATAGATTATAATTAGATATCATTAGTTACATATTAAAGTATTTCTCTAATTATGTACCTAGTTTTTTTTTTCTATTTCATTATTTTTGATATTTCTTGACAAGCAATATATTCTATTTATTAACATAGCAAATCATTTTATGACACAGTCATATTTTACTACAATTATAAAAAAAAAAATTACTAGTAATCTATTTGTGTGTTATAAATATAATTAAAACATTACTTATTGGGTAGAACAAAATAATAATTCAGTTGCTTTGATTAAAGTTGCTTAGAGAGACCTTACAAAAACAATGTTTTGCATAATTTGATAAGATAAAATGAAAAAATGTTCACAGCAATAATCATTAGAGGCATTTGTTACTTCTTGAGTTTTATTGAGCATAAGCACGAGGCAGGACTGGTGTGAGCATTATCAGTATTTTGTGAGTATTTTTCATCGCCAGACAGTAATCAGACATTTAAATTGACACACAGTTTTTTAAATAAATATAATAATCTCTGCAGGTGCAATATTAACAATATAAATAGTAATTACAAACAGTTATATGATGTACATACATTTAAAATATATAGATTTAAAAGATATTATTTAACATTGTACAGAGAATCAAAGACAGAGAATACAAAAAATGCTATTAGATTAAAAGTTTTTCCTTAAGTTCTTAATCTAATAATTTTTTTATATTCTTTTCAAAAATTATTACTAAATAGTTGCTGTATAGGCTTGCTTTAGATATACCTACATAGTTTTTTCCAAAAATACTTGGTTCAAAGTTTTATATGTAGATATAATTTGGGTCTTTTAACAAATAGAATTAACTATATTTTGTTATATCTAGTAATTTTTTTATGCAAATTTGAATGACAAACAGACCTGTATATGACTTGTAATACTTGTATATGAACCATCTGAAACATGAATAATGTGGACAAGTTCATGGACCTCACAGCATACACTGTGACGCCTGTGGCACCCTTAAATTACTTGTACACCCATTTTACAATGATTGCATAGTAATTTAGTTTACACTTGAAGAACTATTGTGACAGATGTGTGCCCTCACCTAAATACTATTGTCACATTAGCAAATAGTTTCACTAATTTAATTTAGTGTTTATTGAACAGAATCAATCTGATCCCGATTAGATTTTAAATGTTATATTTTTTCAATCTTATATATTTTTCTTCTATTGAAATTCAATAAGAATTATTATAATTGATAAAGCATTGGTGATAATCCTGTAATGTTAGTACTATAAATAAGTCAATTAAGAAGTTGGATGGGGGGGGGGGGGTTGGGTTGTTAATAACTTGACTATAGCAATACATCTTGTCAGATCATCTTCACACTTCACCCTTGAAACCATTGTGTTTAATTTCTAGTGAGTTTGTCATGATGGGCCAACTACCAATATGTATGAATTCCAAAAAAGAGGAATGCTCGTATTTTGTTTTCGGATCTTCGGTATAAGTAGTGTGTGTTCGGCGGCTGCAGGCCCGCTGCGCACGGAGTACGCGTGGTACGCGCCGCTGTGGTACGTGTACTACGCGGCGGGCCGCCGCCTGCGGGCCGCGGGCCGGCCGCGCGTGCGCCTGCTGCTGCTGTGCGCCGCCCACGCGCACCTCGTCGCGCCCGCGCTCTGCCTCGTCGCCGTCGCCGCCTTCGGGGACGGGCTGGACCATCGGCTCGTCAAGGGGTGAGTCGCTGTCCGTAGGTAACCGTGGCGTTACGATTGTAACCTCGTCTGGCTCGAAGGACCACAATATGAGCAGGTATACACGATATTGATGTACAATAAGAGACTAATAATTACAAATAGGCCAGCAACACTGATGCTAATGAGTGTACGCATACAAGTGTATGCCCACGTATATTATGACATTAAGTACTTTTACCCAGTAATTTTACTGCCATATCTTTCAATACGAAATACACCACGCAAACAATAGGATTGACAGCAGAAAATAGGCCAGCAGAGCTACCCGTGCAGACGGTTTCCTTCCCCGCAATATCTGATCATGTAGCGTTTTCATTGCGCGTGCGTTTGTTAGGGCGCTGGTGTCGTCGGTGGGGGGCCCGTGCGTGTGGCTATCGCTGTCGCTGGCACGGCCCCACGCGGCCGCCCTCACTGCCGCTAACTATGCCGGCTCGCTGCTCGCCGAGCCGCTCACCATGCTGCTCATTGTAAGTTGCGGCCGTATCGCATTGGAACATGCTAGGATATCAGCACTACTGCTGTTACGTATTTTGCTATAACATTGCCAAATCCTGCGAGCGTATTATTGTTCACCGCTATGAGCGTAATAAAATATTGTTTGTGATCTGGCGTGGCGTGTCGCAGTGCGGTCGAGCAACGGTCCCCCCTCTGGGCGGGGTCGTCAGCACCGTTCTCAGCACGCTGACTCCGTTCGCGCTGGGTGTTCTCCGGCCACAGGCGCACCACGCCACCGCGAGCAAGCTGCCCGCGCTGCTGCTGCTCTACGTGGACTGCTGCGAGCGGCTCAGGCAGGCGGAGGGCGGGTTGCAGGTGGGCGACGTGCTGGTCACCCTGACGCTGGGTGAGTGTCGGCGTCGACGGTCGTGTGTCGCGTGTGTCGCGTGTGTCGCGTGGGTCGCGTGTGGCGGCGCGGGTCTGTAGCGGCGTGTGTTGTGCCGCAGAGGCGAGCTACGTGTGCGCGAGCGCGGCGTGGTGCTGGGTGTACGGGCGCGGCGGGCTGCTGGCGCGGCGCGACGCCGCCGCTCTCGCCGCCTGCGCCGTGCCCAAGGCGCTCGCGCACGGTAACCCACGCACGCAGCCCCACACGCCGCCACTGGCACTCGCACGGCCGACGGCCGACGGGCGACGGGCGACGGGCGGGGCTGCGGGACAACCAACAGAGCTCAGTGTAACACTGCGAGAAAAGGAACACTCGAAATAAGTACAAAGCCACTCGATCGGCCTGGTAGTAGTATACAGATTAGAGGTAGGCGCATCCAACGCTATTTAATGTCTGCTTTGACTGAAATCATTGTATCACTATCTCCGTAAGAATATTCGCTTGAGGTGTGTGTCGACCAGAGTGCATACTATAAGTGTATGTTGCTAGGTTGGCAATCGTGGGGTGCGTGCAGCGCCGGGCTGTCGCAGCTGCCGGCCGTGTTCCTGGCGCCGGCGCAGGCGCTCGTCCTCGCCGCCATCCACGACGACCACGACGACCACGACGACCACGATGCCGACGGCGAGATCGTTGGTGAATACGACTTGGTGCGGTAGAGTAGACAGTATCTGTACAGGACGGGTCCGGGATAGGTTGCTCAAATACGGGAATACTGCAGGTTGTGAAAGTAGATTTAAAAAAAGAAGGAAATTAGACTAAAATCTAAGAGGAGGATTTCAATTAGAATTTAAATTATGAGGCTGTAATTGGAACGTATATGTCACGCGGTATGTTACTGACAACTAATTTTAGCAATTTTTTTTTTTGTATCAATTTGTATAAATTTTTCCTTATATTCCATAAGGTTTAAACTCTGGAGAATATTTTAAAATGGCCTATGTGATTCCCCGAAAAAGTTGCAATGTTCCGATTTTACATTAATTTTATTACTTTATGTATAAAGTAGGCATCGTTTTGTTGACGTCGTCCTGCGGCGACGTGCGTCCCCTTAGTTGTGATTTGTTATTGACATTGTACCGAGTGAGGTGTCAAGCGGCGATGTAAAGTATTTGTGATGAGGCCGGCGGTGCCTTCGGATGAATCGGACCAAACGTTGATCTCGTTGACTGTCGACTATATTATTATGTATAGGAACCATATACATAATATTATACAATTTTAATAATTTCCTAAAACTTTTTTTTTATATATTTTCTTTTTTTTTCAATGTTTTGTAGTCCGTCCATTCTATGTCACTGTAGTTATTGATGTGTCTTGATAGGTGGAAAACGTTGGTTGAGAGTTGTCCTTGTTGACTGTAATAATTAGATTTTTACTTTTTTTTTTAAATTAATTGGGACAGTATATTGAAGAGAAGAGAGTATGGCATTAAAAGAGGACTGGATGTGTTATATGTGCAGGATGATATCGAAATCGTTAGCACCTTTGAAGGGCGTGCTCTACCAGCGGAACTGAACATATCCACCGAAGAAACATGAAGCGACAGATGACATAAAATGTTGCACCTCCCTTACTAATACGCTTCGGAGACTCAACATTTTTTGTCTATATTTAACTTTTGTCTCACAGATATCTTAACATATTGTATAGAGTTGGTAGATTCTCAGTTTATGCGTACCGCTGACGACTTCGATTCACCCTGTCTATTATTTCATTTATGTTTCGTGCTTTAATTATGATATTTGTGTTACTTTGACTGGGTGTTTGTCTCTATGAGCGTTGAGATGGTTGTAGTGTCGAGTGGCTGTAGAGAGAGTAGTTGAAGGCTGTACGTGTGACGGAGCCGGGGCTGATATCGGTTGTGGTGGTAAACGATATGGACCGGGAGGGGACAGTAAGGTGATAATTTTCTTGTAGAGTTATTACTAATGAGGCTGAGGAATTCATGTGGGGGCTTAGTACTGTGCTGGTGATGACACGACGATTTTACCGACATCGATAAAGTTTTATCTGTTTCAGTGTATCTTATCGATACATATGTAATTATAGTTGTGTGTTACGAACATAAATCTATAAAAAAGACAAGTTGTCAAGTCCAGTACCTAATGTTGGAGACTTCAATAATTCTCGTTGTTTTCCCCCTAAATATATCTCTAGTAATAGTTAAGTTTTGAACGCATCGATTATTGTATTAGTAATTCACGCTGCACACCGTGGTGCGGTGTAGGCACGAGCTCTTAACATATAGACATTCTGAAACCCCACGTTAGTATTTAGACTATTCGTAGTGTATAACTTTGGGGCCTTAGTCTTCGTACATTTTGATAGTTATTTAAAGTCGGTCTATTTATTAAAGTTTCATTATTAGAAAGTTTATTAAATTTAAGTACCTTACCGGGCCGTAGCTAGACCCAAGTATAAGGTAGGGCAAAATAACTGTTTGGTAGAAAAAAAACATCGAAAAATTAAATCTATATAATTTTCTTGGAGCCTTTCGTTTTAATGTAGAATATAGCCCTTCAATGCCTCCCCCCCCCCAGCAATGGCCATGGTACCTTATTCAAAATAGTACTGACACCTGAAACTAGTCGATTTGAGGCCCATTCGAGGACCATTTGATATTCACTTGGAATAAGAAAAAATAGCTGTTGTACATGTAATAAGTATGTACCTCTATGAATATTTTTTTTTTTTTTTTTTTTTTTTTTTTTTTTTTTTTTTTTTTTTTTTTTTTTTTTTCTCTCTGGCAACACTGCCGATAACAGTCTTTGTCAGTTGGCTCTTATTTATTTATTGTTTTTAATTTATTACTTGTGAAATAACGATACTAGTGTATATAATCAGTGAGTTTTGGTCATAAGTAACGTCGATTGTTGTTGGTGTGTAAATCTGTGATTTCTTTGTGACAGAAATCTACGTTACAAAATTTGTGGGACCGCCAACTGTCAAAGTATTGGTAATTTACAATAGAAGTCTTGGATTTCTATTGACTCCTTTAATAATTAAATACAGTTATTACACTTCACTATTACTATATCCATTTACAAATAAACAATAATATTAAAGTCAAATATTCGATAGTGAAGATCGGTTGTTGTTGTTGAGAGGAAAAAAAAAAAAAAAAATACTACCCACTAACATAAAATATTATTGCAATAATTACAGCTCATAAAATTTATTTATTATCATATTGATAATATATTCCAAATAGCTGTACGAAACTAAACTTATGTATTTTATTAAATAACAATACAATATTAGTAATCCATAGCCATTGCTAGATATCATATGACAAATTAAGACATATTTACTGTAGTGGTAATATATAAGATTAATTATTTTTTTTTTTGTAACAGTATTGGTATTTAAAGTTTTTACTAACAATATTTATTTATTTATTTATTATTAAATTATTTATTGTATTATTTTATTGAAGGGAAATAGCGCACTTTCAACACTGTATTTCTTCTATTGAATAATATTCATTGTTGTCTTGTTTCATAGATATTTAACATAATAATTAAAAATGATGTCCCGCAGAGCATGTGATCTTGATGCTAAGCTCAAGGTGACACTCTTAGAGTTAAAAAAATCCAATGAATTAAATAAGGCCTTATTACAGGAACGAGATGAAAGTGAGATTGAAATTAAGTTGATGTCTGATAAATATGTGGCTCTGAAGAATGACCTAGTGAAGATCAGTACAGACTTTGAAGTTCTACATATCGAAAAAGAAAAACTTCAAGAAATTGTAAATAAATATGATCTGTGCAGAGACACATATGAGTCAGCATTGCAGAAAATCACTCATCTAGAGCGGCACCTTGAGGAAGTTCAATCACAAAATAAATCTTTGTTGGATCACAGGCGGTTGAGTAGTTATAACGAGACCATGGATCTGTATACAGAAATGTTAAATACTACTAGTGATCAAACATCTGCTCTGCCCCTTGTGACCATAGATTTGACAAATACACCAAGCTCCTATAGTCCTAATAAAGTACCTATTAATAGTAGTAAGAAGTTAAAAAAATATGTAAAATTAAATAAATTTATTCGAAAATCAGAAAATTTAGTGAAAAGTCATAAAAAGTGTTTAAAATCAATTATTACTAGGAAGCAAAAAATTGACTTATCAATAGAATTAAATAATTGTAAAGAAAAAATATATAACAAAGATTTAGAAATAGATGAATTATCACAAAAAATTAAACTATTAGAGAACTCGTTGTCCAATTTATCTTTGAAATACGAATCAGCTGAGAATGAAATACATGAATATTCTGATCAGTTGGATAATTTAATAAAATTGGGTAACTACAACATGGAGCGGTTTGTTTCTCTTACGGATAGATGTCACTGTAATTCACCAGAGTCTGATAACTATATCCAACCGTCCCACCATAATCAGTTGAACATTGATATCTCATCCGTCACGGAACCAGACGTTTCATGTTTACCCACACGAAACAGTACAAAAGTAAATAAATGCAGCACTGTACATGAAACCATCAGGAGAACAATTGTTTATTCAGATGAATTTGGCAAGGATTTAGGTAGTTTATTATCGAACTGCCTCTCGCAACAAGTAATAAATAATTGTTTTCCGGGATCAGGTATATATAAGATTATAAAAAATATAGTAAATGAAAAATATGATATTCACACGACCCTAGTAATAGCGTTAGGGAATTGTTTGCATATGCGTAAATCTGATATAGTTAATTTAATAAAATCATTATATAATATAGTGGAGCTTGGTATAGGTAAAATATTATTATGCGCATTTCCCTACTCTCAATCCCTGACTAATGAACAGAATAAGTTCATTTATAGTATAAATAATTTAATTTATTCGATGACATATCATTGTAATGATATATTTTATTTTGAAAGTAACAAATTTGTTACAAATTATTATATGACGGGAGGTAATTTTTATCTTCCTAAAAAACAAAAAAAGACTATTGCTAGTTTACTAGCGTATAACATTTATGATCCCATTATAAGTAGTATAACGGGTTTAATTAGTAATATTAGTAATTATACTAATAATGTGACATGTGTTAATTTAAACTAACATCTACGACATTGGTTAAGCCACAGGATATGGTCATTATTCATCAAAATATTCGTGGCTTCTCCAGCAAAGAATTAGAATTAAGTCTTTTCTTAGAATCTAACAATGTACAGGTGTTATGTCTGACAGAACATTGGCTTAAACAATATGAAATAATTTGTCCTTTTGAACATTATAATATAGCTAGTTTTTTTGCTAGGAACAATGCCATTCATGGCGGGTCAATTATTATTTTAAAAAATGATGTAGAATATAAAAACCGTCAAGACATTGTAAATATTTCTATTGAGCAAACAATTGAACTATCTTGCGTAGAATTAGTTACTTGTATAATAATTTGCGTTTATCGTCCGCCATCGGCTTGTTTTGATTCTTTTGAACTGGCTATGGAGGAAGCATTGAGACGAGTCGCACGGAGGAATAAAACATTATTTGTATGTGGCGATTTTAATGTTGATTTATTATCGGAATGCTCAATAAGCTTAAGATTGATTAACTTATTTAAATCATTTAATTTGCACAATCTTTTTTTAGAACCCACTAGGGTCGCAGGAAATTCTGCCACTTGTATAGATAATGTTTTTTGTAATTGTGAAGTAAAGGTGAAAATGAATTTCGACTGTCTTGGATCTGATCATTACGGACAAAAAGTTATAATTGAAACTAAGGGATCCAAAGGGACTCAAACAATTACATGCAGACAAATAACACAAAAGAATTTGGCACGTTTTAAAAATAAAATTGAACATAAAATATCTAGTGTCATAGTACCTCAATATGACCCGGACATTGTATGTGAACATATTTTTAATTTAATTGAACATGAAGCTAGCAGTGAATTTAAAACAAAAACATTTTCAACTAGTGTAAAATCAAAGTTTTGTGACTGGGCCACGTTTGGTATTTATAAGTCTAGGGCTAATCTTTACGAACTTTACGAAAAACGAAGCTATATATCCGATCCCTTATTTCATGAACATGTAAAATCTTATTCGAAAATATTTAAAAAGGTTTGTCATACAGCTAAGTCTCTCTATTTAGGTAAAATAATAACTAAATCTAAAGATAAAATAAAAGCCACTTGGAAAGTAATAAATAGCGAAACTGGAAAAGTTAATTTTCAAAATAGCAAAATAGCTTTAAATATTAATAACAAATTGGTAAATTCCGACACAGAGGTCGCGCATACATTCGAATCTTATTTTACTAATATTCCATTAATTACGACACAGGCTCTAAAATCTTCCCCGTCTGCTGCTGAAACTTTACTAACAGACAATGTTAGCAAGTCATCAGCTGTATTTAACTTTAGACATACATCATCAGTAGAAATAATGAAAATATTCAAACAACTTAATAATAAAAAAACAGAGGATCTATGGGGTATATCTGTTAAAATACTGGATAGTATAATGGAAATTATTGCGCCCTCTCTTGCTTTTATTTTCAATAAATGTATAGATGAAGGTAAATTTCCTAACATAATGAAAATTAGTAAAATCATACCGCTTTTTAAATCTGGAGATAGGAGTGACCCAATAAATTATAGACCTATATCCATACTCCCAGCACTCAGTAAAATTTTTGAAAAAATAATCCTTATGCAACTTGTCAGTTATTTCAATTTAAATAATTTAATCCACAATAGTCAATTCGGTTTTTCCAAAGGTCGTTCAACTACAGACGCAGGTGCAGAGTTGCTTAGACACGTATTTGCTGCATGGGAAACTAAAATGGATGTGATAGGTGTTTTTTGTGACCTTTCTAAGGCTTTTGATTGCGTTGATCATAATACATTGCTAAAAAAACTTGCTTTTTATGGCGTCAAAGACAATGCTTTAAATTTAATAAAATCTTATCTATCTGATAGAATACAGAAAGTGAAGATTAGCAACGCTACGTCTGACGGGTCACTTGTGCAAATGGGTGTACCTCAAGGATCTATTCTCGGTCCATTTTTATTCCTAGTTTACATTAATGATCTCCCATATGCCATGCAGGATAGATGCGGCATAGTATTGTTTGCAGACGATACTTCATTGATTTTTAAAGTTAATAGAATGACTAATAATTATGACGATGTAAATAGTGCTTTGCGGCGTCTCCTGCACTGGTTTACAACTAACAATCTTATGTTAAACGCTAAAAAAACAAAATGTGTTAATTTCTCTCTATCTAAAAGTTTTAATACTAATTGCAATATTAAATTAAATGACGAATCTCTCGAATTTATAGAATCTACTGTCTTTCTAGGAATCACACTAGATAATAAAACACAATGGGGTGCACAAATTCAAAGCCTTGCAGCGAAACTAAGTTCAGCAGCTTTTGCCGTGCGTAAAGTTAGACAGTACACTGATACTGATACTGCTAGATTAGTCTATTTTAGTTATTTTCATAGTTTACTCTCTTATGGAATATTACTATGGGGAAAAGCGGCAGATATTAAGAATATATTCATATTACAAAAACGTGCCGTTCGAGCGATCTACTGTATGAAGAGAGGTGACTCATTAAGAGAGAAATTCAAAGAGGCAAATATTCTCACCGTTGCTTCTCAATTTATATATTCAAATATTCTATATGTTCATAAAAATCTTGACTTATTTCCAAAAAACAGCAATATTCATAATATTAATACTAGATTTAAAGACAAACTTGCTGTCCCCAAGTATCGTTTAGAAAAAGTTAATAGGTCTTTTATGGGAATAGGTATAAAAATTTACAATAAGATACCAAAGGATATGTTGGAATTACCCTTAAATAAATTCAAAACATCTGTTAAATCATATTTACTGAGCAAAGCCTATTACTCTTTAAACGATTACTTGAATGACGAGTGTGCATGGCAATAGTTGTTCATGCACTGAATTTTCATTTAATGTTAGACATAGACACCTATATAAATATACATTGTAAATAAACTGGCTTTAAAAAAAAAAGTAATTCAATTGAGTTTCTTGCCAGTTCTTCTCAATTGGATCTATATACCGAACTGGACGGTAGGGTAAATATAAAATTATAATGTAAAAATTTGACGTTCATAAGCGGCTAAAATGTCCTACATGAATAAATGATTTTTGAATTTGAATTTGAATTTGAATATTATGGTATGGTCCATCCGTACCGATGACAATCGCAACGGACGGACGGCCTTTCAGATTTTGTCGATATTCATTAGCTATAGAAGTTAGAGTTTTTGTATAAGCCTACTTAAAACAATAGCTGTGATGTTAAACATTAAAACCCACAAATTGTGACAAACCACGTAACTAATTGACATGCTAGCAAACTACAAATTTAATAACATTCCCCCTTTAAACTGTACGTCGGCATTGAAATCGTTTATTGTATCATCTATTTGATATTTAAATAAAAAATAAAACACTTGCAATTACAAACATTTCGTTTTATTATCGTCAGCGTGTTCATGTTAGTAGTTGCTCTACACACTAAACATTTTGTATTTCATTACATAATAAATTTATTATATTACATATTTTTTTTATACAACTTAGAATGGCAAACAAGCTGACGGCCCACCTGATGGAAAATGGTAACCGTCGCCTATAGACATGAGCAGTACCATGGACATAACAGAGTATACTGTTTGACCCGTGATACCTCCCATGCGTTGTCATTCCTGAGGACTCAGGTGTTATTCCTCTGTACCCAGTAAATTCACTGCCATATCTCACCCTTCAAACTGAAACACAGCCATGCAAACAACTGCTTTACGGTAGAAATACAAATGGGACAGAGGTGCTGAAGCAAACGACTTGTATAAAGTCTCCCTCTGGTGATACTCATGTAAAATGATATTTTCCCATAACATGGTACCCAGTACGACATTGTCCGACCTTTTTGAATCTCTATAACAGCAACCAGTTTGCGGACTAAAATGCACCGTCCTTTGCCACATGTTATGCGCGTTTGGCGCTGTTTATTGAAAAAAAAGTGCATTCATGCAGTGTCTGCTGTTACAGGAATCACCAATCGCTTTTCAATAATTACATACCTACTGCGAAGTGCATTAGGTAGTTAGTAGGTAGGTATTTGTGCAATGCTCGATGTTGCATAGGAACTTTGAAGATGCAACTCAGTTTTAAAATTACAATAAATAAAAATAATTAAATCTATTTGTACAATAAACGTATAAACTTAAAAATTACTTATTAAACATAATCACAGTCACAGTTTACGACTAATCAAATAGGTACCTCCGAGTAGTTCAGGGATTGTATTTTACAAATACTCATAAAAAAGAAACCATAACCGACTTCAATCGTGGCTAAATCGGATATTTTGATTTAAAAAATAAAATTAAATATTTTTTTAACTGACGGGGTTATTAAGTAATAAATATAAAAAAATAATTGAAGAATTCAATTGAGGACCTCCACTTTTTTTGAAGTCGGTTGAAAAAAGCTATGTGCATAAATTGTATTGGTTACTAAATAAATTTATATTTTATTAATATACCTATTTATACAGGGTCCCCAGTGTGAGTCGTTCAAAGATATATGTGTATTACTGTATTCATGTTTACATCGATAAGTTTGTATAGAAATCTCAGTTGCCAAACCTATTCGCTAGAGGCGCTGCGAGTTTTTAACACAAATAATATATTACAAATATCGTCACAGTCGTAGAATACTGACGGATCTTTATATGTAATCTTTGTCAGATCCGTCAGTATTGTACGACTATGACGATATCATTGACGTAATCGTACCGTAAATTTTTGCACGGCTCACACTAGTCACTCAGGCGATATTTCGACTTAGTAAGCACCTATTTTTTTTAATCTACTTATTATTTATCATGATTATTCGTAAACGATTAAAAAATATTATAAAAATTAATATATAATATCAATCACTAAAAAAATAATATTCAACATTTTAGCATAAAAGTGTATTTAGTATTCCGAGGCACACAACAGGTGCGCGTTGAGGTGTGCATATATATTTTATTTACAATTAAATAACGAGCTAATGAACACATAACTAGCTCTCTCTCTCTAGTTTTGAGTAATTTTATTAATCTCTACAAATTAACGACTTATATATGTATGTATGTAGTCAACTATTTCTTGCGCTATCGTTATAATGAATTGTTTTTAATTAAAGTTACACTGTACACTGTGTATTGAGGTCACGTGACACGCGACCGTGGCGCAGAATTATAACCACAATTTCCCGCTCACACAAGGTGGTCGGAAATCACAACATGGCGGAGTACCGCGGATACAAAATGGCATCTGATTAAGTAGCGGTTCACGCTATCGCTTCGCTTGGACCCTGCTGCTGCAGCAAGTCCCAGTATAAACCCCGTTTACGAACTAATTCGTCATGTGTGCCACTTTCTGCCACCACACCTGCAAATAAATGCAAAAATTATAACGATTCCTAGTTCATTTTATTGAAGGGATTGTTAGTAACACGGACTATCAGTCCCATAGCTAGCAATATGCCCCATAAGGTCGATCTCTACGTGGTCACTCTGGAAACCATCGTGCTGAATTCCAAGTATATTTATTACGATGGACTAATTGACCTGCCATTTCATTTTCATCTATCATCCCTTACTAGTGCCCCGCCAGCGTATACTATTAACACAGGTGGTGTTACCATTCCATTATCTACTAATTAAAAAAAGTGTGTATTAATCACGATGGGCTAATTGACCTGCCTTTTCATTCTCACCTATCACTCCTCACTGGCCCCGCCAGTGTATACCGTTAGCGCAAGCGGGGTTACTATTTCATTATCACCCATTAAAGAAAAGTTCATTTTATTATGAGTAGATAGATAATTGGCATTGAATGTTTATTGCCAAGTGTTCCAAGCGAGTCAACGCGCTTGTACGAGAGCGTATAAGAGATGCGTGCGGTGGTGACCTCTGTCGACGACGGCGATGGTGTGCGCGTGCCGCACGGTGGCGAGGCGGTGCGCGATGACGACGGTGCTGCGGCCGCGCGCCGCCGCCTCCAGCGCCGCCTGCACCGCCTGCACGCCGCCGCAACAAACAACGGTTAGTGACCTCTCCTCTCACGTCTCACGTCTCACGTCTCACGTCTCACGCATTACTCATTGGACTCTAATATTCTATTTATTATTATGTAAGATAAACTATCTATGTAAACGTCATTGTATGTAGTGGTGTAGCTGACGGTACCAAGATCCGGTGTTCCGGGATGTCTTGAGTTTCGGGGTGCGTACCTACTAGTGTTCTCAATTATACCTTAATTTGTAAAAGATTGGACTACATTCACTTGGATTGTAATAAATGAAATGTTGTTAGATTTTATGGGATTAACAATAACAATACTATTATTTATTTAATGGAATCATAAGAATGCTTTAGGTTACTGAAAAATAGTTGGGTTTTTTGATAACTGTCACTCCTTCGGCTATTATTATTTGATTGAACGATGGCCAATGGCTGATAATTTGTGGCGAGTACGTGCGTGTGTGCACGTGTGTGTGTGAGTGTGTGCATGCGGGTGTGCGGCACCTTCTCGCTGGCGGCGTCGAGCGCGGAGGTGGCCTCGTCGAGCAGCAGCACGCGCGGCCGCCGCAGCAGCGCGCGCGCGATGGCCACGCGCTGCTTCTGGCCGCCCGACAGCGCCGCGCCGCCCGCCTCCAGCCGCGTCTCGTAGCCCTGCGCACGCACAGTATTAGTGGGGGTTACGGCTTAAGAACTCTAGATTTTTCATTATAGTGACATCTTACCATCGGCAGACCGGCGATGAAGCTGTGTACATTGGCCTGTTTCGCTACGTCAATGATCTCGTCTATGGTGACTTCGCGGCTGTTGTCGCCGTACGCGATGTTTTCCCTAATGGTCCTCTCGAACACCACCGGTTCCTGTTGCACGAGGCCCAGCTGCGCACGGAGACACTTCAGGGTCAGGTCGCGCTTCACGTCACGTCCATCCAGCTCCTGACAATACAACATGTTTGAAATAAAAACTGTTGATAACCTAAGATATTGGTGAGTCTTGTAGGATGATATCAAGATAATGTATACTATTAATAACCGAAACTATTTTAGTTCGCTATTTATCACAGTAAGTATTCTGTTACCAGTAACATGAAAAGAAAAAGTAATTCTGACTTACCACGGACCCATCCTCGGCATCGTAGCTCCTCATGAGCAGGTGCATGACGGTGGATTTGCCGCAGCCGCTGGCCCCGACCAGGGCCAGGGTGCGGCCTGCTTCCAGCTTCAGGTTCAGCCCGCGCAGCACGGGCACCCCGGGCCGAGTCGGGTATCGGAAGTGGACGTTTTCGAATTTCAGCTCGCCGGTCGCCATCTGAAGGGGAAATAGTTTTTGGCGTCAGACAATGCTAAGAATAAGTTTTTGGGACACTTTTTCGACATGGTAATGTATAGGAATCATTTTGAATACATTTGAATTAACTCGTTCTAAGTAACGGCGTTTGAGTGCTTATTGTGGCGACGAAGTTGTTCCTCCTTCGTGCCTGTGACCAGTGCACGTGGGTGACGTACCCATTCAGGATGTCCGTCGGCGGTGGGCTCGTCGTGTATGTTGGGGCGGCGCTGCAGCGCGGCCAGTATGCGCGCGCCTGACCGCCGCGCCGCCGCGAAGTTCGGCGCGAACGACAGTGCCTCCGCCAGCATCCACGCTCCGTAGATCAGGGCCTCCGACACCCTGACGAGGGAATATTATACAGTCACGAGGAGGTATCTTTACATCGCAGCAATACTGATGAATTTCGTGTTCTGGGTTTTAAGATGTTTTTTGAGACGATTCTTTTCTGATTACCTAGTAACCCTACTAGTACTCATGCTTACGAGTCTAAGTTAGAGTCTATGTAAAAGTGTAGAGTTAATCGAATGTCTAAGAGTAATAGAGTGTAATCAGTGCTCGACTCGGTGACGACTAGGTGCCAGGCAAGCAGGGAGGCGCACTCACAGGATGGCGTACTCGAAGCGCAGGCCGTGGCGCGCGACGAGCAGGCCGCCGTAGGCCAGCGACACGGCGTAGCCCAGCGTGGGCGCGCACAGGCACAGCCCGTACACCGCGCCGCGCACCGCGCCCGCGCCCGCGCCGCGCGCCGCCGCGCCCAGCGCGCGCTCGTAGCGCTGCAGGATCGTCTCCTCCACGCCTGCGGGCGCGGCACATATCACATATTACACAACCAGACGTCGTTCACTCGTGAGAGGTCGCCCCAGCGATGAGAGCTCCGTTTGTACTCGGATGTTAGATGGTAACGTCGTACCTAGACTGTGCACGGTGCGCACGTTGAGCACGGCCTCGGTGGCGATGTTGGAGGCGAGCTCGAGCGCGCGCCGCTGCCGCACCTCGGCGCGCTTCGTTACGTAGCCCTCCAGGTATATCGCACCGATCACCTGCCGGCGAATCCATATATTCATTTAAACAAATATACCGTTTGAAGAAAAAGAAAATGCAAAATGAAATCCTGTACTAAAATATTTGGCCATCGTGGTATGGTAATACCAGACGACTAGAGATATAAATTTAGGTACGATAGACATGTTCTTGGATCGCTTACACAGGGCACGCTGAGTAAGCTGACGAGCGTCATTTTCCAGGAGAATGCCATCGCGAGGGTGACCCCTATTATCATGGTACTGAGCCCCTGCAGCACTGTTCCCAGACGGGTTCCTGTAATAAGTTAATGATAATGGTTATTCGTGATATATAGAGTTCGCTGATAATTTTGTGATGTGGACTGCTAGAAGTTTGTCTATCACCAAGTAACTATATATCACACCTTCGGTTAGACAAGGGCACAACATACAAAAAAAAAAAATGCAAAATGAGTTAAATATGCAAAAGAACTATAAAAACTTTCCTTTTTCTGGTGGAACAAAGACTCGAAATAAAAACGGGTTATTCGCCGCTAGATAGCAATAGTGTCTTTATCGTTTTGGATGAATGTGGCGAATCACACGACATTTGAATGTAAAAAAAACATTAAATGGCTGTCTTGTAAAATCACAAAAAGTGCGACATAATTAAACAAAAATATTCAATATATTTATAGTCACTAAATATATATTTGGCGAGCGTAAAGCCTGAGCGTATAGTGTGGTGTTGGTGTTAGTGTCGGTGTTGTGTAGGCACTGACCGGTGGCACCCTGCACGGCCGCGCAGTCGGTGGCCAGCCGCGCGCACAACGCGCCCACCGAGTTCTGCGGCGCGTCGAACCAGCCCTGCTCCTGTCACACCACCACCGCATCAGTATCACATCACTATTCAGCTCGGACGATCGCACTTAGGTACTAATTCAATATTTACTGCGAGAAACGTCACTATCTATACAATGATTTAGAATCTGCACTTTATTTGAGCCATTTATGACACACGTAAATTAACAAATGAATTTATACAATCAGATTATTTACATTTTTTTAAATATAAAACGTATGAAAATATGTTTTCACCAAGTGTGTCGCAGTGACCCAAATAGGCTACAGCTTAGCGATAGTTTTGCTTAAAAGCAAAGCACTGATTTTCAGCTGCAGCCTGAAGTTAGACTACACGAACGCGTGCAACAAACCCAGAGTGTAATTTAAAGTTTTAATAAGTCTGTAAACATTAATAAATCTAAGAAATACCGGTCGGTTCGTTCCCTATCACGTGAAACTTCTACTTTATCCTTGAGGTGTTAAAGTGATCGTTGCTTTTTACCTGTTGAAGATAGTTCTTGAAGGACATGACCCGAAGCCTATCGGTGAGCGCGGTGCCGGCCCTGTTGAAGAGCCAGGTCTGCAGGAACATAACAAGGCCGCACACGGCTGCCACCAGCACGAACAGCCCCGCGTACAGCTGCGACTGGCTCACGATCAGTTCCGCGTCCGAACTCGCGAACATCTGCAACCATTCGCAGATTTATATTAATAGGAAATGTAGGAAAAATAAGTTGACGGCCCTCCTTATTAAAAATGATAATCGGAGTCTAAAGATTAACAAGATTCTATGATCCCAAAACTACGGGATATTATTCATGTTTTTATACTTCCCATATACATATATAATGTGTAATAGTTTACATTTCATCAAACAATCCGAATTGAACTGGTTCGCTGACATGGGCTTATATTATTGTGGATCAGTAGATACTATTGCTAATAGTAGGGGGGAAGAATGGTGTTTTGCCAGCGAATACAGACAGCGTAGGCGGGGGTTACCATTCCATTACCAGCCATTAAAAATATAGTTCGTACTGTCATGTACGAAAGACTAGTCTTCAAAGTCAATTAAAACGCGAAAATAGCGCGTAAAAATTCAGAAAAATTGAGAATTCTCTTTCAAAACAAGAAAGACAAGTAAGTATACGGACCCCATATAATTTGGAGAGAAGTAAAGCAAATATAGGCATGGTGGCTCCGACGAGGAGGGACGCCACGCCGCCGCCGACCAGCAGCGGCCACTCCGGAGCGTTCAACTTCAGCAGTGACCATGTGGATGCTGTGGGGGCCTCTTCCTCGTCTTCTTTAGTCGTATCCGGCTCCTGTAACATGAAGGATGGTACTTTTTCCATTTGGTAATAATTTTTTTCTGTTTCATGTTTTACAGAAAGTTACTGATGCTAAGATTTAAACTGAAACACATTTACTTAGAAAAAGATAATATGTATGGGCAGAAAATACTCGTATCTAATTATGAATGTCCTGGTTACGGTAAAAAGTTTCTTTACAGTAGTTGTCGAATTGGCACACTATTTTTTATAGTACTAGTAGCAGCATGGGAGAAGTACATAGAAAGTGCGACATTGTGTAACTTACGTCTCCGTATTGTGTCATGTCCACTGCGGGTTGCTGTATGTGAGCAGCGGATACTGTGCTTAAGCGGATGCTGCTTCGCACGAAATTATCTGTAAAATTTATACTTGATTGGCAAACAATTTCCAGGAGTATCTAAAAAATCTTTTATAACGAATTGTTAGTAGTATGACAATGACAATAGTAGTTACTATACGAGTATTAATTTATATTTAACTTGATATAATATACAACTTGTACAAGATACGAAGATCGCTTGTGGTTATAATAGTTTCAAGAGTATCAGCGCACCTCCGCGCACGGACTGCCTGCTGGCGGTGCTGCCGGTGCGGCGGAGGAGGTGCGCGCGCGGGAACGGACTCGCGCCCGCCGCGACCCGCTCCGCGCCCTCCGCCGCCACCACCTCCTCCTCCTCCTCCTCCTCGACACCCTCCGCTGCACTGCTCAACGTGTGCGCTATGCTCCTGCGGAACAACGCACACATTTACAAACAGTGATTTTGATTTTATTAGATACTAAATAAACTCCTATATGATAACTTAGTAAGCAGTGGTAGGACATTAATATCATAGGGACGTTAGAACTTTTAAGTATGTTCATAGGCTAACACTAACTCTGTAGGTCAAGCGCACTCACTTGCTGGTGAGATCGTCCTGCACGAGTCGCCAGTAGGCACCTTTTAGTGCCAGCAGTTCGGCGTGCGTGCCCTGCTCCAGCACCGAGCCCTGCTCCATTACCACGATGCGGGACGCGTTCACCACCGTCGATAGCCTGCCATACACATAGCTCATATTACAAATAATTGTTTAATGACTCTAATTACATACGATAAACCATATTCTTTTAAATCATTGATAAGAGTGGGTGAGCGCCTCAACCCAACGAACACTTGTGTAAAATATTTAGTTTGTTATTTTCGGGGTGTGATTTTTTTAATATTGACATATATTGGTTACGATCAGTCAACACTATGTTCAAACTGACCTGTGGGATACGACCAGTGTGGTTCTGCCCTTGCTAGCTGCATCTAACGCTGCCTGCACCTGGTGGACAAAAAGGAAATTGTGACAATGGGTGTTAAGGGACACGAGGGAAAAGCTGTCACAGTCTAGCATTTACTATATGTGAATTGACATTGTTATGACTATAGAAATGTTTTGTTTCATTTATACTACAAAAATACGTTGCCTGCCTAACGGGGCTGCTTAGCTGTTGCGGAGACACTCTAGCAATTTTCAAGAATACAGTACCTAACATACTTAGTACTAGTTACTAGAAGAACTAGCAGAAAAAATTGGAGAGCGAAGTAGTATTATTTATGAACGTAATTATTTTGGTATAAACGATTGCAGTACAGAATTCAATTTCCTCGAAAATCTATGGTTCTATTCCCCTGCCAGTTACGGGGCATTGACGTGATTACATGACGTGTGTTCGTTTGTTTGTTTGTGTGACGTGATGGTCGGGCACCTGTCTCTCGGCGGCGGGGTCGAGCGCGGAGGTGGGCTCGTCGAGCAGCAGCAGCGCGGGCCGCCGCAGCAGCGCCCGCGCCAGCGCCAGCCGCTGCTTCTGTCCGCCCGACAGCTGCGCGCCCCGCTCGCCCAGCACCGTCTCGTAGCCCTGCACCACGCACATTTCACATATTATTGTAATTTGTTATCGCTGATCTACTTTCTGTCTGTGTATTAGGTGTCTAATAGTACAGCAAAGGTGTGTTGGAGAGCACGTATTTTAGAAAGAGGAGAATGCTAAGTTGAAGAAAATGAACAAGCCGCAAAAAAGAACATAAAACTGAGATACATACATTGGCTAACTTTGTGATGAACTGGTGCGCGTGCGCCGTCTTGGTGGCGGCGAGCAGCTCCGCCTCGCTGACGTTGTCGAGGCCCAGGGTAATGTTCTCCCGGATGGTACCACTGAACAGCACCGGCTCCTGGCCCACCACGCCTGCGTGTAAGAACCATATTCAAGTTTAACACCGCTGTATCAGAGGGATTTCAGTTTAAAAAATAAGATAGCCTATTCAGAATCTACTACGAATCCTAGACCTTAAAAGCCAACACATGGGAAGCGTTGATAGTGTTTATAAAGTTATCGATGTATGTGACAATTTTCAAAATGGGATTCATTACTAAGTTTGCTAAAAACCTAACCAGAATAAATAAATAGTCTGGTGGTTAATTAGCAAATGCATCGTGCATATAATATGCTCGTTTGTTATTTGAAATAAACCAGATTTTGTTTTATGACACTTTTGTACCGGGCAAGATCGGAACGCAACGACTCACCTATGCTAGTTCTAAAGTGGTGTAGATTCAAGTCGTTGAGCTTGTAACCGTCTACTGTGATGGTGCCGCTGTCAGGCTCGTACATCCGCTGCAGGAGTTGCAGCAGTGTCGACTTGCCGCACCCGGACCCTCCCACCAGGGCTACTGTCTCCCCAGCTTTCACTTTGAGAGTCAGGCCTCGTAACACCTGCGGTTAATGAGTGACATTGTCTTATCAGATATATAGATCAAATAAAATAGATAGACTATGTTGTACTTCCTGAAATAACATATTATAGTACTTATTATGAATAGGCAGCTAACCAACAGTAGATGGGGAAGAAAGGTTCTCTAGTGGTGGCCTCGTATAGGAAAATGTATATAAAATAGAATCAATTAAGTGTGTGTGTCTCCAAGATCGAGCTTTGTTATAGTTTGCGGGAGAAACTTCACATAGTGACTTCACGTAATGGACAATAGGTTCTCATCAGTAAAGCATTCTCAGCAAATATTTTATAATTTATGCTGATTAAGTCGCGTGCAAAAGTTTTGAGTAATAAAATGTAATCACACCTTTACATCAAGCCTCGATGGGTAGTTGAAGTACAAATTATCGAAGACAATGTTCCCGGTGAACTTATCCGGTTTGATGCCAGTGTTCTGCATCCCGTTGATGTTCGATTTCCTCTCCATGATCTGAAAGACAGACTTGGCAGCGCCCCGCGCCGCTGAGAAAATCTCCAGATGTGGCTGACACATCACAATATTTTGTGATGCCATAAATGTGCAGAACAATATCTGTGGATAAACAAAGACAACATTAATATACCAAATACAGCCGGTTTACGAGATGTATGTATGTACTCATAAGATACGAGTATTATTTATGCTACTGAGGACTGTGGCTCTCAGATATATCTAGCACCTGTCGCTGTTTGGATTTGTTTGCATACCACTCTTAGTCTATACAGGTAAAATGCAGTGGGATTGCTTATGTTTTTAAATTTTTGTATTTCTTTCATTAGTACTAGAGTTAATTAGTGCAAAGATTATTGGGTGGATGTGTATACTGACGGTGAGCATGATGCCGGGGTGGTACTGCTGCTCGTCGGGCGGGAGGTCCATGTCGCGCACGCACAGCACGGCGCCGTACGCGAACACGATCGCGTTGAGCGAGTACGTGAGCAGCCAGCCCAGCCCCGCGCCCGCGCCCGCCCACACGCCGCGCACCCGCGCCTGCGCACTCGCCGGGCCCAGCGACGCCTCGTACCTGCGGGAAGCAACCAAAAACGGGCTCAATATGCGACTCTGGCAGCTCATGCAACACGTCAACGAGGCACCATGATCAGTGAGTCAGTCAGTCAGTCAGTAATATTCGGGGACGGATGAAGTATTCCTACCTCTTCACTTCGAGCTCCTCTCCGGCGTAGGCCCTCACGGTGCGTATGGCCGAGAGCACCTCCTCCACGATTCGGCCGGCGGCACCGTACGCCAGCACCTCTTTGCTCGTGCACCGCGTTTGGTACTGGCCATATAAACACGATTAAATTGGTGACTTTCAAGACATAGTTTGTTTATAGTCGAATGGATTATTAACCTGATTTCTTATTTTCGAAGCCTTCGATTATACACTAGACGTTTTTCCTTTACAAACAATCACCGTAGATAAATAAGAAATCGTTAGGTTTGCGCCGATCCTATGACGACAGTTATTCTTCACCGACATTTGTTTTTGTATTATCGTACCTAGTAGGTATATTCTTCTGTTCACAATTGTATTGATTAGATGTTTTAATAATTACTAAATTTAAGGTCACGATTACGTAAAATGATAATTAATAATGAAATGGGACTTGGCGTCTTGTGAAGTATCAACATTGCGCCTTAACACTTCTAAGTAGATACTTTTGAATTTTAGGATATTAGCATCAACATGTTGAAATGAAATGAAATGTTCTATGTAAGTACTGGTTTAGGCTCTATTATTGTTAACTTTGCCGGCATAAAATAGGTCATCCCTTCTCGTCCCGTGGGAGTCGTAAGAGCAGACTAAGAGAGAGCGAGGGATGAACAGCAGCGTCCCTCTTTAAAATGTTTAAAGCCTAATTGCGGTTGCCATTCCACCTGGCAAGCGTGGAAACTACTGATAATACCCCCTAAGAGGGGCTTATGTACAGCAGTGGACAATAAAAGGCTGATATAATGTTGATATGTAGAACGTTAACTTTCCGTGTAGTGTACCTACTCGTACGAGGTACTTATGTACAATATCGTAATATCGTTATACGAATACAAGCGAGATTTTCTCTCATTTGATAAAATTAGTAATTTCATGCCAATTTATTCTTCTATTTCTAAATTATACTAGATATTAATCTAAAATGTCTAGAACTTGAAAGCATGTTAACTTTTCAAGAGCTTAGGCATCCTCCTAGAAGAAAGGGTTTCTTAGAATTCGAAAGGGAAATACCGTGTCCCGTATGGCCATAGCGTTTCTGACATTATTAGTGAGCGAGTGCGTCACCGATCGTTTAGGAAAATTCCAAATAGACTCTCGTCCTCGCTTCGCTTGATACGACCTACTTAATAATTTCACTGAATCTTACAATTCACTGTAAAATTAGCCGGTATCTAGCTGAAACAACAATGTTGCTATTGGATTTGTACTTGAGGTATTAATTGCAACACTTCATAATTGCAATAATATTAAATAATTCTCATTGGGTCCCGGTCGGCAGCATCATAGAATAAATTATTGATAAGTTATACTCATCTTACAAAAGTACCAGCTCAATGGTCACGTGAGAGTTTCTAGTTTGCTTTTGTTGTACAAGAAAATAAAAAAATTGGTGGAGTAGTTTTAGTGAAAAGATTTCAGAATTACCACCAATTCGATGAAAATTATTGGGACAATTATGAAATTATTGGGTACTGTGTCATATAAAATTTGGGAACTGGTCAGTGATATCTGCGAGGGGGGTACCTTAGCGACGATGGTGGAGAGCAATATGGCGGCGGGCACAACAGAGACGCCAGCGAGCGTGAGCTGCCAGCCGTATGAGAAGGAAAGCGTGGCGCCCAGCACAACCGAGCCGCCCAGGTACGCCGTCATCACCACGTGCTCGCCCACGCCCGCCCGCAGCTTTTCCGTGTCCCTGGCCACATATAAGATAGATCAAGTAAAGTGATTGTTCTATGCCCACTTCATGAATATGCCAGAAGTTTTCGTGTATAATGAAGAAGATATAAAATTCTGTATTCCAAGGAATGACTTAAATGATTGAAAAAGGGTGTATTAAGGTTTCTTCAGGGTCGGCGACATGTACGTGACAGCCCTAGTGTTGCAGGCGTCCATGGGATAATGAAACCGTTTACCATCAGACGGGCTGTATGCTACCTTAGTGGTATAAAATATATATATATATATATATATAAACCTATATATTGTTAATAGTCGATATATGAGCAAAATCACAAATGCTACCCAGAAAGTAAAACTTTTTTAATATTACAATAGATAAATACTGAAAAGCCCTCTTTATCATAATTCAAACATAGATATAAAATATCTAGTGATGTTAATGAAACACACTCACTCTGTGAGCGTGGACGCGAAGTTCATGGTGGTGTTGGTGTCGAAGTAAGCTATCTCCTGGCTGAGCACGGAGCGCAGCAGCCGCCGCCGCACGCGCGCCACCTGCCACACACCACGTCCAATTATATTCCACACAGCTGGAGCTTATGATATATTCCACCAAAACATGTACAAATAAATACACAATCAACACAATGATAATAATGTTCGAAGCGGACGAAGTCCTACTACAGAACAGCCTGTTTAAATAAAATATTTATCATTTAAGTATCCCAAGAGAATATATTACCATCCGCGCAGCTGCCCAGTTGACTACCGTGACGGCGGTGGCGGCACTCACGAACTGTATGACGACGATGACCACGCTCGCCACGCCGAACGCTATCGCGTCGTCCACCAGCGCGTCCATGTGCAGCGACCGGTTGCCTTCTGGTCTGCACGCAAAGTGTTGCTAAGTTGCAAAAGTGTTGCTAAGCTAACGACCCGTGTTTATCGTTAGCTTAGCAACACTTGCAATCCTCCGTCTACTGTTCGGTCACAGTGTAGTTCGTACACTGCAGTGTAGCAATCAAGTAAAGGATCGTGATGATAAAAGCCAATGTGATGATGTTAGCCTAATATCATCACATTGGCTTCGCGGCTTGTAATAAAATTTTTGTGTTGATTCCTTCTAGTGGGTTTATATATATACATATTGAATTGTAACTTACAAGACAGACAGAAAACAAATTGTTTCAGCGAATTAAATAATATAGAGCGGTACTCACAACTGCGTCCCTCCGCCGAAGAGGCGCAGTATGTGCGCGTGGGGTGTGGTGGCGGCCGCCTTGTGCCTCTGCACGAACAGCGACGTGATCTCGCCGTAGATGACGATGGCCGCGATCAGCCCGAACGAGGCACACCAACCCAGCACCACGCCCGCCAGCGACGCCAGTCGCTCGCCCGCCGTCGCATATCGCCACTGCACACACACACACACAATTAAACATTATACATATAAATACCTATACACTTTTAAATAATTGGTGTAGCAATCATTATCTGACTGATAATATTCGGCCACAGAAGCTTCTTCTCTTTTTTTTTCTATGCAATTTACAACTACTGGCTTGTATATTTTTTTTTACAACATTTATTATTTTATCATTAAAATGTTTAATGAAATTTAGTGAAAATAGGGCCTAATTGTGCGTAGTGTCCGTAACTGCTAGAGGGAATGGCTAACGATAAATCAGCAGAGTGAATGATTCCTGCCGTTTTATAAGTGTATGTAATCTATTGATTGTTTCTTATATTGCATGCACCGCTGTCGCCAGTTCAAGACAGATCTCACACCATTTAATTAGTATCGATTTTAATATACAAGTGTTTCCAGAAAGCGGCACCTCTATCGATCCACGTAATTGAGGTATTATGCTATTAGAAGCAAGTGGAATGGTATTAATAAAATTAACACGAAAAGCTATTCGACTAATATGTCATGTTACGTAATGCTCTACTGGATACAACACTACCCCAACTCCAAGAGGTTTGAGTGGCAATGGTGTGGCCAGTACGAACCGTGGCCACGTCACTTTGTCCACTAATGAGAGACTGATCTTACACATTATATAAACAATATACTTTAGTAGTCGTTCTCAACTTATTATGCGCTACTTTTCAGTGTCCGAAACTTTACATACTAGGGTTTCGTCCTCGCATTAGAGCTTATAAGAGAACAGCAAGATTCAACGTTGTCGGACCCGCGACAAGGACATCGCCGCCGTCTTGGTACTTAATCAACGTGCAGTTTGTTGAGGCTGCTGAAGTGATTGGCATATCCGGATATGGAGGCAGAGGTCAAGAGCAGTGTCTCGGCAGGTCGCCGAGTCGTTAATCCTTGTTGGAGGACAATACCTAGTCGGTGCGACAGCTCCCAAGCACACAATGGCCGTCTCCAATGTCGCGCGTGTGAACTGGGCTTTAATATATTTCCATACAATACACAGATTTGCACATCGATTACTTCTGCGCAGACCGAGGCCAATTTTAATTATTCAATGTATTTACAATATTAAATTATATTACGAGATTGTTTCCTTTTGTTGTGTGTCTGGGAGTTCTTCCTCGTCTGTTCGTTTAAGATTGTAAAAAACTGTAAGAACGTGTCGGATCACCATGTTATTCTTTTTATATAAAAAAATATTTTGTATAATTTTTTGTATGGATTTGATAGTAAATATGTGTTTAATTAGTCATTTACACGTGCAGGCAATTTGTATTGGGTTGAAGTTTCATATCATAGCGTAACGCGAAATACTCGTAACTAAGTTTGGAGTCCAGTGACACCTGCGCTACCAAACTGAACAACCACCTACTACCAGAGACGCTATGAAGCTTCGTTTATATAATAATTCCGAAATATTTGTTAATATTATGAAAAATAACAACAAGCTGACATTGATGCTCCTTTCCACTTTGGGTGTTGCTGGAAGCAAACTCTATTAGAGATAAGCTCGCCTTTGTACATTTGATTACCTCTGTCATATTCTTATAAATAACTGGTATGTACAATAAAGAATTAATTAAATAAATAAATAAAAGTAAATAAACATTTGAAAAGACATCGCAATATTGAGATAATTGGTTAAAAATTGAAAATAACAAACTGTCGGTACTGTTAGCATTTCATACGGGGAAAACATTAATTTATTGCAAGTTTCTTTAAAATCATATTTGACTAATTCACATGACGTGCTTGATTTATGTACAAGGAAGGAAACTGCCGAGTAAACCCCGGTGAGTGTCGCGCCCGCATCGCCCGAGCTGATTCTTGTCGTTGACGGAAAGTTTCGGTGCCCACTCGTAGCTATGCAGTTGCACGAGGGAAATTTGCATAACGGCCTAGTTATTTGATACCATTCGTAGCTGCCGCCGTCGGATTTTCCTCCTGTCTGTAATTTCCCTCGTAACATTAAAATATTTTTCCATTTCTTCACAGGCAGTGGGGATGACTATCTTTATACTATAATATTATTTGTCATTTGCTTTACATAGACTTCCGCCATAGATTGTCTTAATGACTGTCCGCTTCACATATGAGATGATGCTCTATTAAGCGGAGATCGTTGTATATGGCTGCAATTATGGAGTCGCTAGTCGACAAACTTTCTAACAGCATTTATGAAATGAACAGCTCTTCCCAAAAAATCATCAATCGATATATTAAAAATAGCTTAGAAACTTTCAGAAGAGCTTAAAACGCTTTATACATATACGAGTAAGACATGATCATATAGAAAAATATAATAAATTAGATACTATCTACGATCCACCTTATATAGCTATGAATAAACCTGTGTACGAATGTGTCTAAATGTTTACATAAAAATATGCATACGTATCAAAATCCCAACTTGTGAAATTCCTGTTAGATTATATATGTAATACTCGTATTAAACGCTGCGATTTTCCTTAAAACAAAGTTAATAATTATTTAAACTCTACTTATGTTATTACAGAGCGTATATTAATATATCGATAAGCTTTATAAACAAGGAAAACGGTTAGCGCGCCCACTGATCGCCAGATGATATACTCGATTTAATTTCTCTAATAAATGTATCTCTTATAATCCATCAATCTTCACGACAGTACACTTACGAAGTTGGCAGGGAGAATCGAGTACCTGAGGTCTCTCTACTAAGTACCTTTATACGCATCTCTCAATTTCTTTACTTTGAAACTTGTTTCTTTCTTTCCGGTGATGGAAAACATCAATAACAAATCAAATTAATTCGAGTGCCGGTGAGAGTGTAGCCCCTGCTCCCTCGGGTTACAATGTGCTCTGCAAAATGTGAATATGTTACGTTAACAGCCATAGCACATGACAAATTCCTCTGACAATGGGACGTCAATGGCTTGTTATGGATAGAAGATTTCCACGGTGCTGGTTTGTTTTTGTTGTTTTATTCAAGATCCACGTGTAACCTGTTTGTCAATACGAAGTGACCAGTTAGTAAGGAAAACGTGTCACATTATTTATGTACGTACGTAAAATTAAACAAATTGGCCAACTCCGAGTCGAACTCTCGCCTCGAAGGTTCTGTACCGGGGTATCGGTGTACATAACATTACGCACATACAATACTAACAAATCTTACCAAAATTAATATAAGCCTTTTTTAAATTAAATACCTAGGTAGCGGGTACTTACGTGGTAACATTACGGTCACCATTTGCCATCCGTTTGAGTGTCATTTCAAAATAAAAACAAAAAATATAAAATACAGATTTTTTTTGTTTTTTGTTTTTAGTGTTTGTTGTTGTACTTACCATCTTATTACGTACTGATATTTCATTGTAACTAATTATATTTATACAAATAATCACATTAAATAATAATTAATATTTTGTTCCATGAAAATAACCTGATTGTAATCGGAACAACATTATAAATGAACCGATGAAGGAGGAAACCCTATACTGACTGTGAAAACAGATATCAAAATATTTTTAAAATGTAGGAATTATATATGTTGGCGCTTTATTTATTTCTAAAACCTAAGGTAAAGGTAGGTAGTTGTGTTCTGAACGACCGAAATCGTTGCATTATGTTTGTAGGTGGGCACTCATGAAGGTCTGCAGCCAAGACCACGTGACACGAAAGGACGAAATCTAAATGTTCCACTGGCTGTCCATATCAATCTCGGATCTTGTCAACACAATGAGCAATTTAGGCACTTCCGTTCCGAGTTTTTGTAATGCGACACAATTACACAAGTAATTTCGTTATTGTACGTATTTGTGACAGTCATGTGAAGGAATTGGTATAGACTACCTCCTGGCCGAGGCGCGGGGGGCGGAGGGGGGCGGGAGCAATGGCGCTAGAATGTTCTATTGACACTAGTAGCTACTTAGGTACTATATAAATTCAAGGAAAAATATGCGAATCGATTTATTTGTTTTATTGTTTTCACCCCCTGTCAAAGCAATTGGCATGAGAAAATATCAAAACACAATGGACGAGAAGATGAAGAGCTACTATTGGGAATGGTGATAAGTGTGGAATTTTTACTAAAGGTAGATGATAAACCAATAGAGGGAGGCCTATGTTCAGCAGTGGACAATTAACGATTGATATGGTATGGAATGATGGGTAATAAATACCAAACAGTAGTTATGACAACGGCAACCGACATTATAATAAATTCATTAAAGACATGTCAGTAATTACATTGAAAAAAAAAAGTTACTTAATTTGAATGATTGAGAACGCTAGGCGAGGATTTGAATTTTGGCATCCCGAACGGGTCGTGAAGCACCTATTTTTCCGACTGAACTTGCCACCTCATACTTATTCGAAATCGCGAGATTAGAACCGCTACCGAGAACTCGATTATATTGTGAACAAATATACTACAGTAGATGTGCTAAAATGTGTTATGTGTATTTAATTTGTGCATTTGGATCGCTGACCGCTCTCTCCGTAGTATCGGCGCTCCTAGCTGCTCTCAGAGGCTTTCACTTGATATACCATACACTCGTACTACACTACGAATCTTCCTCGTGCGTTTGAGATCAATCCGTTTGCGAGCGCACCACGTTATCACAGAACAACACTGCTATAAAATAAGTATTTCTCGCTACAGGTGATGTTATCTCTTCCTTACAAATCCGTATCAGGAGTACCCCAAGGATCACATTTAGGTCCGATTTTGTTCCTGGTATTTGTAAATGACATCGTCGAGGTTATAAAATATAGTAAATTCTCCCTTTTCGCCGATGATCTTAAATTATATAAGTCCATATCAGTGTCAGAGGACTCTGATCTTTTACAACAAGACCTTCAATCGGTACAAGAGTGGTGTGATGCTAATAGGATGGTTCTAAATTTTTCTAAATGTTACCATATAAAATTTACTCGAAATGTTAATATAATACCCACAAAATATAAATTATTGAATGAGTGCATTGAGGAGG